GATTAACATAATGAATCCAACCTGAAGTTTCCATCTGACATGCTTGTGGGCAATAAATCATTGTTTTAATGTTCATGTCCTTTTATTCATAAAAAGAAGGAATACGAAGTGCATACGTGTAAGTTGGGTATGAAAGTGTAAGGTTTTGATGAAATGCATCACTAACATTACCACCGGTGTATCTGTCTTCACCTAGGTTGAATTTGATGCACCAATGGAAGGTGACAGTGGCGCAACAACCATTGCCAAAGCAACATTTGATGGGAATGATCTCGAAAAAAAGGAAACTGGATGGGACCGCGTCAAACAGGCATTTGTAGCTGAGTGAGTATGGTTTGTTGGATGCAATTGGTTGATCCGCATGATTGCCTGATCATGCTGTGGTGTTGGTCGATGCTTCAGTTATTCTCAAACTTGTACAGTGTACTTCCTTCTTTTGAAACGGTCTCTCACAGTTGTGAATTAGAAAGAAAGGGTGCCAATTGGATGAAGATAAAATTATCGACAAATTCTTTCATTCATTCTTTATTTCCACCTAATTATATGCAGTAAAGATATAACAGGAAGGAAAATGGTTGTGGAGGGTGTCCCATAGAAGCAGTGCTTGTCGAGTAGGGATCCCATTTGGAATAATACTCATTATTACGAACAATGCAATAATTATGACATACAAGAAGACAGACGCGTAAACACTTAGTCTTGTAAACCTGTAAGACACAAAAACTAAATGATGTTAAATAGAATTTGAATACCCACTTCATAGTTTAGTTTTATATTTACGTTTGAATGTCCATAGGTTCCCTAGATTCTTTGTAGCGGTGTCATGCAAATCATGCAATAAGATCAACCGATAGCGCAAAGATCAGTTGATGCGTAGATCAAGCAATCAGGCCCAACATGTTTGGCTTTGATGAGGCCTTGTAAACAATGCAGTTTCTTGACAAAGATTTTTGGGGAGATGGAGGAAGAGGGCATTAATTTCTGTTTTCCTCTTAACTTTTGGCACATTTTCGCAACTCCTTTTCCAATGCGTTTGTGTCAATAAACAAATTAGGGCCTACCGCCCTGTGTAAGACATTTTGAACTGGCAGCCACAATTTAATATGTTTTTTCGAAACTTAGCTATGACAAAACATACAATAAAAAAATGAAAAAAGAAGATCTGCAGGAACTACGAAATGGTTGGGTCGAGAAATGTATTTATGACTGGGCCATATTACTTTGACATTGGTTTCTTTGCAAAGTTACAGTTGTTTTTCTCATTTTCCTTAAAATCTCATATAATTTTAACATCTCAACAGATTTTAATTACCTGTTTAAATGAGTTTAAGCGGTACCCTTAAAAAGGTTGGATTTGGTTTGTAAATTTTCAGCATTAGTAGATTCCCTTTTGAAGCAAAGCCTGATACTTGTGTGTTGACTAGAAACATTAGAAATGAAGTTCTTCGGTTTTAGTCATAATATACAGGTTGTAAAAGTTTTGTTTAGACATTCCATACGGACACTTCCAAACACAGGTACTGAAGAGGAATTGGTCTGTATTCCGATGATGGTATGTTAACTTCTAGTAAGAACTGATTTCAAGTTAGAAAAATCTACTTTTGGAAAAGGTGAATAATTTGCCTCATTGTTTTGTTCTCATTGTTCAACAGCCAGGAAAATAAGGATATCCCGCGGGAGTTGTACGAAATGATCCTGATGGCGACGATGGGCATGCTGATGGGGTATGCCTACGGCGGAGTCCCAGCTTCCAGACATGCCAGAGAACGCTACATACAGAAGAGCGGGGCAGCGATATACAGCAGTCGTCTGGAAGCTACGGTAAGTCTCACTGTCACACCAAGCATTGGTCTTGCTGACTTAAAAGCCATCGCTGCGGTCGCACACTGCTGCTTGCTCACAAGAGGTTTACAGTTATCAACCCTAACTCCCTTGTTGCTAGGAGGCAACCTCAGTCCCGCAAAATCTCCCAACTGCGTCCATGTAAAAATTGGAAGGAGCCTCAGCTTGCCAAAGACCCCAATTCTTTCTTGAATATGTACCTTGGAGGGGTGACCACTGCCTCAATCTGTCACTGAAATCGTCCGGCAATTTCTCTCAGTGCAAATCAAAGATCGTATAGCGCCAAAGGTGCAAGATGGATAACTCTGCCCAAAAGGTGTAATTACCATGGGCGCCATGTAAGCAAGCGATACGCCTGCGCAGTTTACGGTAATGCTTGGGCACAGGCTCATCAGGTGCACGTGCCTGCCGTGGCACCTGCGCCTTTGCATTAATGTGCATTGCACAGGCCTAATGCTCGCTCAAATGGCACCCATGCGATTTCACGTTTTACGTGTATTCACTGTGAAGTTCGCCATCTTGCGTGGCGCTATACGATCTTTGGTGCAAATGATATCCCGGCGCAGTGTGGACAATTCCCAAGTATAATTGGGGCCTTTTTTTTGCTCAGCTGAGCATAACCAACACAAGATCTTTATACAGTGCCTCCTTTGAAATCAGCCGCACATCTTAGCAGCACGCCTTCTCAATCCTTCAAATCGTCCACTCGTGCAAAGAGCATTGTTGAGGGTCTGGTAAAGTTCAGTGCTCACTGTGGGTGCGGTGACTTGGTCAAAACAAGCACTTACCCCAAGTTTAAGAACCTGCCACTTTAGTAATGGTGTTTCCCCAGTTTAGCCTATTAAGCAATTTTTACAAAAAAAAAAAATCTGTTTTCTGCACATTTATTTCACATGGACTTCCTCCGTGTCCGAATTCTCGGCTGTGGCCAAAACTAATAGGTGTCCCTATGGCAGCCACTGGCTAGCTGCACCATCCACTTTCCATGGACTTGTGTGTTCCTGTCAGCCATAGCCAGTTGATTTGGACACGGCTATATATTCAGTTCACATTTTCTGCTAACCGTGCAAGAAGCGCAGCAAACAGCACACTTAAATTCAGAACTACGACTGTCCATGCGTGCAAACATTGGAACATTTATGCCATGGGAGGGTTTCCAGATCTTTATTCCTCTCTGTCTTTGGCTTCATATTTGTTTTTTTGTGAGTGTGAATTAAACCACACCTGTTGAGATCCTCAAGCTCAGTGCATTTACTATCGCAGTTTGCTGCCAAAGTTTGGAGAATGGCCATAAATACAGTTCTTAAATAGTAATCATTGTAACCTGATTCTGAAGCTCGAGATGAAACTAAAGATGAGATTAACCACTTGCTGCCGGGGACCCGTTTTTCGAGCACATGGGCTTTAAACACGAAGCCGGGGAGCCCAAAACCGGGACAAAAGAGCTGGGCCTTGTAACAAAAGACCGTGCCCAGTACAAAAGACTGAGCTGCTGGGCATTACCGACAATTTTTCACTCTCAATTGTGGAGATAATCCTGCCTTATTTTGAAACAGTATACCATGGTTTCGGGCATTCAGTGCGAGCGGATTACCACCGGGGACAAAAGCGCTCTACCACTGCAGCAATGAGCCACACAGCACCGCTGCACGCTTATCTGGCCCCTATTGAAAAGAGGTCAGCAGCGCACTGTGCCAGGTTCATGAACAAAAGAAAGTTATATAACACCGCACAATCTGGGCTCTTTTTACAAGGCTGCAGGCCTGGCTGAAATACTCGGGTGTCAATAGATTTTGTTTGTCAGGCCACCAGAGAGTAATTCATGTGGGTGTAAATGTCCATTAATTGAAATGATGAATTTTTGAAAATTTTTGAAAAATGAAAATCTTGAAACTCGCCCGTATGTGTGCACTACATTTTTCAAACCGGCAGCATGTGGTTAAGCCAAAATTTGGAGAGAAGATGGTAAAATATCATACCCTTTTGTTCAGAAAAAACATTTAATGATGCACGTGGCACGGTATCTGTGGTAATAGTTAAACTTCAGCAGCATTAGCAAGCCTTTGGTGTGAATAGTTTGGATTTTGTTCTTTTTTTTCTTTGTTTTGATTTTGTTTTTCTCATTTACAGGGTGCTTCTTACAATGCAGGAATGCGAGGCTTCATACGTTATGGGTATCGCTGGGGCTGGCGGACGGCATTGTTGGCAGCTGGCTTCCAGTGAGTTGTCCAACATTGACCCTGTGTTGATCAGTAATAATAACCCAGCACTAAGGTTTAGCTTGAAATAGTTATTAACACCATCGAGGATAACATGCTACTGAAGCAGCCAAACTGTGCTAATTTTACCCTAGTATTGCCCACTTGTGCCTCGTGATGGTTTATTCGGGTTCAGACCACGTACAGACCACATACTTTCCAAACCGTATTCAGAGGGAGAACTGCTCAATGTGATTATGTCAGCTTTTTCACATAATTTACTACATCCATGGCAACCTAATATGGTGGTTTACTGTGTCTGTCTTTTCCAAGCCCAGAATCGATTGCAGTTAAAAAAAGAATTTCTTAAATGTAATACCAAACCTGCCCTTATTGTAATCTGGAAAATTGATCCCTATCATTTCAACTTCTTTCAACACACTTTCATATATTTATCTCCCATGTACTTGGAAACGTCTTGCGAACTTGAACTGTCTTTTCCTAATCTCTGTAGTGGCATCAGCACATTCATGGCAGTGTACAGAGACAAGGTAGACATGACAAATTACGTCAGTGCAGCAGGTGAGCTGAGCTGGTCGCTTTGTGGCAACCATAGTCATCTTAAAAGCCTAGATGAGACATTTCCTTGTGAAATTACTGTCAAATGCTGCATGTTAATGATGCGCGCGAATGTGACTCAACTCCACAGAGTGTTACATAATGGTGCTACAGTCTGCTTGAAGCACTCTTTTTTACATACGAAAAGTTACAGTGTACGTAATGCTTTGTCCGGTTTCTGCATAGTAAAAGTGCATACTATTTGTAGTTTTGCAAGTGTATCCGGTTCGTAAGTGTGACGTCATTCAGCTTAAACCACGCCCACTGCACATGCACCGCACATAGAGATAAATGCACTGATCGCCGTTTACATGGAACCGGAAGTAAACAGGCAACTTCAGCGATCGTTTAATGGGAGCCTGTAAATCGTGGCGTGTCTGCCTTTGTGATGAAGTCACTTACGAACCGGATAGCCACACCCTCTGGATACCGGATACCGGTGAGAGGTACTCTTACGGTGTATGTTTGTACGTTTGATTCTGCTACTTTAACGGTAACTGTCATTAAAATTTGAACTGTCTGTTGTAAAAAAGAGTAGGATGGTTCTAAGAATTTTTCTTAATATGAATGGTTCTAAGATTAATTGTTTTCAGAAGTGATGTACACTGTTTCTGGTTATAGCAAATATAAAACCTTGGTCCCGACTGCGTTATGTGCACAGTGAATGAGAATGGCACTCCTCTTCGTATGAAATTCTGATATAACAAACGCCATAGCTAAATCCAGCTGAGTTTGTATTAACGAGAGAGGGTTTTAACTTGATTGTGTCAGTTGGATGTAATGGCACTCTTCATGCAAAATATTAGATTAAGCACCAACCCTGTTTGCCTCAAATTTCAATCTCTGATGTATCTTTTCCAATTTTCATTCCCTGCCCTCTCACTCCTCTTGTCTCTGTGTGTCTGTCACTTTGTCCGTCTTTCGCATTGCCACAATCAGTGGTAACAGGTTCACTGTACAGAGTCAACCTTGGTCTGAGGGGTTTAGTCGGGGGGGCATTTGTCGGTGCCGTCGTCGGGTAAGTAGAACAACCTGAACTGATTGAAGAATAGTGAAATACAAAGAGGTCAGAACAGCATAAAAGCACACGTGTGCACGAGAAGCCTATGTACTGATGGTGCACTTTGTTTACATATGCACTTTTCCTGTGGAGCCACTGGGAGCCCATGGTCCACTGACCACCATAGGAAAGCACACATAAACCAAGCGTGGTACCGTGAGTAGAGCGGCAGATTGGTATCTTGAAACTAAGCCAGGTTCATTGTTAATGTGTGCATTATTTGTTTTTTGGATGGCCGCAAATGTAATATTTGTAACCAAATGTTCTCCTTGTCTTTTGTGTGCAGTATTCCAGCTGGCCTTATCTTAATTGGAGTGCAGAAACTGCAAGGAGAGACTATGTTGGAGAAGAATAAACGAGACCGTCGGGAAAAAGCAATTGCCAGAGAAAAAGAGTTGTAAGTGACCGACTGCTCTGTAAGAGTAGGGCCAGAAGGCTGTAGTTCCCCAGGGGTCCATCCCCACCCCTTTCCCCCTCCCTGAGGACAGTCATTCAGCTGACGGAGATTTGAGTTAATTAGTCTCTCATCCATCCATCCATTGATCAACCACCAACCCTTCAGCAGGGAAATTTAAACCGAATGTGATCAGAACGTCGATCCATAGTTTTCAACAAGGGTTGTTAATAAGCTCGTCTAAATCAAAGTGTTTTAAACAGTAATAGGTTTGAGTGACGGTTCTTTCCTTTATACTCTGTACGCAATCTTTTTTTTTTTTCTTCAGGGAATTAAGGAGGCAAACAACGCCTCTGCTGCTTGACTACATGGAGAAGAATATGAAACAGAGCAGCAAGCCGGAGAACAGTGAGGCTGCTTCAAGTTGATGAAATGCTCACGTTTGACCCTGGCCCTTTCACCTAACCACTTAAATATGAGTATTCTTCAAGCTGTAGCCACCTGCCAGTGGTGGGCCACTGGTGGGCCAGTGTGTGCATTGTGTGTGCCGTGGACCACGCGCAGGAGCAATAGGTGATACCTTTTGATGACCCATAAGAGTTCCTGTGTGGGGCACTCACCACGTGTGCATGCGACATGGAGTTCATGGGACTTTTTCATTGGAATGTGCACAACTTTTGCATCATTGGGTGGGTACCAGAGCGTGGTAGCAATGGCACACAAGTGATTGTCGTCTGTTTGTCACCGTGTAGGGAACGGCAGAGATTCACTCGTGGAGTCCATACACAGAGCTAGAGGCCTACGTCATTGCTGAGGGACCTTATCAGTGACTGGCAACATTGGCTCAAAAGGAGAATTGTCTTCCAAGGTGACAGGTTATCAAAGTGCTGCCGTCAAACTGCTGCCCTAACCTCGTGTACAAAATGGATGGAAATAGATTGATATGAAAATGGTAACCGGACAAGACATATTATTTCACATGTACACAGTGCTTTTCCCTGCTCTCTCCACCTTGATGAGCAGGAGCACTCCCTCATCGGTTGGAAAGAGCCACAACGGTGGGGAATTTTGTTGGTAGTGACACGCATGCAACACATACATCTTGTAGTCATTCATGAACCATTGAAGTGGAACTTTCCTACCAAAGGAGCCTCGAGTGCCAGGAAAATTGCGCCCTCTCTTGGTCCCGCTCGGGTCCCATTAGGCAGCATCACAGCTTTAATGATTTGAATGCTATACTGTGAGAACTGAACAGTGTCACAGTTCATCAGACCGGCTTTTGATTTTAAGATTACTCTTTTAAACTGGAAAGTACAATACAAAGTAAAAATCTGCATTTCATCAGTTTGCGTATTATGTTCTTTATTTAACTGTGACTGATTGCCTGTGGATGTGTAGAAAAGTCAACATGACCAAAAATGTATTTTTCCAAGGCAAAATTACTAAAAAGGGACTGTATACTTCAGTCAAGTGAAGGAATATATAAAATGCAGGGAAGTCGTGTAAGGAAGAAAGAATCTAAATTTATCCATTCCACATGCTTAGTATAAAAATGTGGAATTAAATGATGTACAAGAAACTGATGGTTGCCGTGGATTCAGAGTTACAAGAGTTACGTTTTTACCAACTTACATTAAACTGTACTGAAGATTAGATCTTCATCCTCTCTGTGCTTAACTTTTAGAGGAGTTATTTCACATTTTAGTGCAATTTCACCCACCCCCCTGCCACCAGAGGACTGGAGCCAATGCAGAAAGTCAAGCTGAGGGAAACCTATTTAAAACTTGTCGTCTATCCACAGTTCAACGGGACAAGTGACTGGGCCTGTGTGCCTTTTTCACCCACATGACTGGATTGCGCTAAATGTAAACAATACCACCACATGTGGACCGCCTTGGCCACGGTGATCGCATATATTCCTACGGGCAGCTTCAACCACGTACAAGGGCATGCGCAAACGCTGTATGTTTGACTAATTTGTCTTGAATAAGTAGATTACCACCACAACACATGGCAGTTCGGCATGGTTGTGACATCACAGGAAAAAGGTCTATAGCTTATCCCAGATTAGACACTGACTTGGCTTAGAGGTCAGATGCAAGATTCTCCACTTATCTGTTATGTCCTTTGACACCATACCTTCTGTATCTCGTGATGAAGTACAGGGCAAGTGTTCTGGGTCATCCATGGGCTAATCAAGTGTACCTTCGTACTACTGATACACCTATAATGCCTTTATGATGTTTCTTATACAACGGTGTATCATGAACCGTTTTTTTGGGGGGGAGGTGGCAGGGGACAGTTTTTTTCTATAGATGCAAAAACTAGGGATTTCTTTATGTAACCTTGGCAACGTGCGAGGCAACATTCTTGGGCTTTCTTTATGCTTTGGGGAAAAAGGGAAATGAAGTAGTCCCAAAACTGTATCGTTCTTCGCATAAAAATGAACCCGGGAGTATGATGACCCCTATTCCCCCCTTCCAAATAAACCTGTGTACTGACCTAGGGGCTGCTTCCTAGGTTGAGCACACTCGGGATCCATTTAAGCACTGATGGCATGTAAGAAAAGTTTAAATCTTCCATTTTTGGTGAATTTGCAAAATTTCTTTCAAAATTCCTGTGCAAATGCTTGGATTCAATAAAACCAATACAGAAAGGCTTGTGGTAAGGTTTTAACCTTGTTCAAAGTTATTACGTGATACAGGTAGTTTTATGTACAATTTGAGATACATCCTCAGTGCATTTAATAATAAGAAAGCTTTTCTAATACAATTCAGACAAGTGTGACCTGTCACCACAAAATGAGCTTCAAATTGGACTTTTAAAAATAGATCTGTATTTGAGGAAAATGCAGAACAAGAGCTTTTCCACGGTATACAGCATCGCAGTGCTGGACTGCATTACCCCAAATGCATGTATTGATTGCAAACTGAAGTTGTAAAAACAGCATTTGTGAAAATGACACTTGTAAATCTCACATCATATTAACCCCTTCATGACGGGATTATTTTGACCGCGACTGCTGGACTGTGACATGCCATGAATGGAGGGCTTTGTCCAGCAGCAGGCCCCATTGATGAACCAGCAGCTTCATGGTGAATAGACTGTATGTGTGGTATGCACTAATGCTCACACAGTGGTGCAGTAGTAGCAGTCATCCGTAGTGAAGGGGTTAAAGTAAGAAACCTGTCAGCTAACAGAAATGGCATGACATTACATCTAAAAGATGTTCCATAGATGACAACTGACAAATAAGCACAGGACTTGGAGATGAACGTTTGCTTGACAACAAAACAAAAATCGGCCGCAGGCCTCCAAATTCAGCTTTGACTCAATGCACTGAGATAGAACAATTGCTTTTTTTACAGCCCGTTTCGTTGTGACAGGTCACAAAGAGCAGTAGACATACTTCAAAATATCTATTACCTGATAAATGACAAAATTAAGAATTCTAGTTAAAGACACACTTCCTCCAAATTTCACCCTACTAGATCAAAACTGCAAAAATATACTTTTGGCCAATCATTTACAGAGTCCATTCATTTAGTATAAAAAAAAATTGATTCTAAACCATTAGAAGCCTAAACCATTTGAAAATTTGCCAGTATCAACTGACGGGTCCAAGACCGCCGCACTGATGGAAGTCATGTTGATGATTAGGTTGAGCTCGCAGTCAGACTCCTTCAGACCGTGTCGCTGATCTCCACGTGAAGTGAACAGGAACTCAATATTGACTCAAAATGCAACATTCCCTTAGTTTGCCACTGAGCCTTCTCCACTTTGACATAATATGGGCGTTTCACAATAGTGTGCCTCCGAGAGTTTGCAACGTGTTGGCCAATCACAGTGCGTGAAATCTGTCGACCCAATGTGCATTTGGAAAGGGTCAGCAGATTTCGCGCGCTGTGATTGGCCAACCCATTGCAAACTCTTGGAGGCGCACTATTGTGAATAGCCCGTATTGGAAGTGACAAGTTTGATTTAACATTAAAATGAAAGGGTAAAACTTTTTGCCAGGTGAATAAATCAACTTTGCTTTTCGTGGAAAGCAGCAATTCAGTGGGATAGGATTCCAACCTCCGACTGCTGGAATACTTCATTGGTTCAACTGACTGAGATGTGTTGCCTATGTATAACTCTCGTGCAAACATTTCTGAGTTACACAGTTCTAGCATGCATTTTGTCTTGATTGAAAAGCTGGAGTAAAGCTGTTTCTTTTGTAAGCCCGCTCCTAAAAAACCCCAAATGAGGTTTAAGTACAACCTAGCTACCTTGTATAAATGTAACATCCAAGTAACTGTGTGGTGGTTTACAAAGCTCTATGTATACAAGCAATTCTATTCTGTGACCACTGTTGCAAAACTTGCCAGCAAAAATGACCTACCTCGCCGATGGTACAAACATATTATCACTTAACCACCGACATCAGGCTGCATGTGAATGTCATGACTGCAGCTTACTGTAACACACGTGCTTATGGGAAGTAACTTAAGCCACTAGCCAGAGGCTTTCACTTTTGCATGTGTTGCATGCTGGTTGTAGACGGAACTGTTGGATGCAGCCTTGTGCATCAAAAATCAACCGAAGATATACAATGTTGAGCCAATCTAGGAATTTTGTAACGGTGAAGCCCCGTGATTCTAATGCAACCCTGAATGGGTACTAAAGGGCATCTGGCATGAGAATGAACCAAACACCACAAGCCATCTCAATGGCCACTTGAAAACAAAAAACTTGAAAAAATGGACTATTGGATTAAGGCCAGTGATAACAATTGCAAGACAAACTGATAAAATAGTTAACACTGATCGGTGTTCACAGTTTGGTGTTCAAGGGAGGTCCACACGAATTAAGTTCGAACTTAGATTAGGAGAAAATAATAAAATGATCAAATTTTTATGTCATGAATATATGGTTGCTGTCAGGAACATCATAACTCGCTTTAACAGTAGCATGTTTTGTTGTTTCATTGATGGGCAGAATTCAGTTCAAACAGGAAAGTGTTCACTGTTGACAATCTCTCAACCAAAAACCTCCTAGTCACCTTGATGTCTATGAGGTTTTGGAGGATTTCACATAGCCCAGCCAACACTGCCTTGGGTCTTGAGTTTAGGTAGAAAAACCTTCTTTGCTGAATTCCTAGGGAGTTAAGGCAGTCAATCCCTGATGATTCCTCAGCTAGTAGAAATTGTTGGCAACAAAATTATATCAGCATACAGTTCATGTTTTCCCCCAACTTTTTTAGTTCCACAAAACATTTGTGAATCCTGCTGCCAATCCTGTTTTCACACCAAGAGGGTTCGTATTATCCATTCCATCAGATTTCTTTTTCATAACTACAACTGTTATTAAAGGCCTTGATATTACTTAAAAAAAAAATTGATTTTACTGGTCTTCATCCTTTAACAACCGCCGTTGTCCCCGCTTCCCTGCCGGCCCTTTAGGCTTTGCAAATGCCGGCCGGTGTAGATTACGGACGGGGTGGACTTCGTCCATCAAGAAGGCCTCTGTGAGGACCTCGCCCGAGTTGATTTCAATCTGTAAGGACAAACACGGACATCTACTTGTTAGAGGAATTGTACATGGCTTGGTGGGGAATGTGATTAGCGGTTGGTGACTCCTCATTGCAGGGACTAGGGGTTTTGAATCTACTGGCTGCTAGCTATTGGTTGTGGCCTTGGACAAGTCGCTTCAACCCTCCTCACCTCTGTATACACAGGCATATAGCTGGTTGCTAGTATTAGCCTGGGAGCATCCTGATGTGGACTGGCATCTCACCCAGGAGGAAACAGAATTGTGCCCAATCACTTCATGCCAAGGAAACCGGAGATAAACACCAGCCTGATGAGCCACAGTGACTCGGGACAGACTAACATTTTATATGGTTCAGGGCAATCGTTGAATCTAAAAGGCCTTTTGTGAGTTAAATTTGAATAAAATCTAGAAAACTGAGTTACCGGATTGCACATAAACATAAAAATTTGAATTCCCCAGACTAAAGACACTGTTGCCATACCACATGATTCGGGACAAGCTTTTGCATAGCGACCGTCATCTCTGTGCCCTTCTTATCCATTGAAAATAGTGTATTGATGCAAGGCGTTTCTTGTGTAACTAAGCAACAGCTTGCCCTGAATCACAAGGTATAGTAACAGTGTCTTTAGTATGGAGAATTTAAATTATGTTCACGTGCATTTAAAGATCTCAGTGTACCAGATTTTATTCAAATTTAACTGGTAAAAGGCTTATTCAACAAAGTTTGAAAGGAAAGGAATGCACCTCCAGTCACGGGGACCAGGTAAAAGTTACTTTGTAAGAACAATTGTTTACTTACCCGTTTGGCGCATTTAATGTCAAACTCGGCTTCTAGCTGACCAATCAGAGGACCAAGACAACTCGTGTACAGCATACGTTCCTTGACCGGGCATTTGTAGCCGGGCATTGAATATATCAACACTGCAACAACAAAAACCAAGTTCCAATCAAAATTTTAAAAGGAGAGAATTGAATCAAACCCCACAAGTTAAATCAAGAACAGTCTAAGATTGACCATGCTTACTTTGATGATAGTTTGACAAGTCTAATCGACTACTCCCATGAAAATTGGTACCAAGAGCTAAGATCTCAGTGAGTGAATGCCACATCACCAATGCATACCTGGACTTTCTTGGTAATCACCCTCGTGCGTGTGCTTGAATGTGAAGACATGGTAGCCCCCTGAATCTGATGAGATCTTAGCTGGGAGTGCGTTGACGCCAATGCTGTCTGCCTCGTCTAAAAAGATTTCTTCCTTGGAAGTATCCACACACTGACAAAAAGGGAAAAAAACACATTGGATCAAAGTTTGTAATATTGAAACATTTTGGTTTGGTGGTTGGTTGAAAAAAAAACGGGATGCGTCACTATTTTAATTTTTCGGAGGAGCAGAGGTGGAACTCTGGAGGGGGAGCATTGTGAAATACTTCAAGGCGATGTTACTTCACAACAGATTGGTCCACAGAGCAGTCTCACTTTTGTCTGAAAATCTTAACTTTTTATAAATGACAAGCTACTTTTGCCACTCAATTTCACTGTTCCAATATAATGGAAGTGCTTCAAGCTTTGCCCGCGGATTATACAATATGATGCTAACTGTGGCACAAAAAAGTTCCATTAACACAGAGGTCTCAACTCAAGGCAGCAATTTCATGAAACTGAAGCCCAAGCGTGAGACGAAGCAACAATTCAGGAAAAACCTTCCAATCTAAGGCTGAGTTTGAAACAGGTGCTTCTGTAGACGGCTACTGCTACCCACACAGATGGCGTAAGGCTATAGCCACAGCCACGACACGTCCACGTCCTACGCGGCTTCAGCCACTCACCAGCCTGACGTAGGTGTAGTCCCCATTCTTCAGGCCCAGCAGCTTGTCCTTGGCCTCGTCGCGTATGTGGAAGGCGATCCCCTGGAGGTGGCTCTGCTTGGTGGAGCTGCCGATGTCCATGTGGCCCTCCTCCTCCCTCAAAAGCTTCAGTTCCTCCTCGCTGGCCGTCAGTGGAGCCGGAGCCTCCTCGTGTTCCCTGTGTCTCATGTAGCCATCAAACGTCATCTCTGCCTGGAATGAAACGGAGGAATTTCTTGAAAAAGTGAAGAAATACGGGCATAAATAGGATATTCTGCTGCAGTCTGGGTCTGGATTCATGCTGTGCAAACACCCTGTGAAGGGTTCTTATCGTGCAAGCACGATGCTGGCAGCAAAAAGTATGTTTTTACTAGGGTGAGTGGGATTGAGGAGATCCCCAAAATCTAAATGTAGTAACCTAGATTTAAAAGTGTCAACAGTTGTTGCTTCGTTGATAGACCCAGAAGAAAGATTCCACTCTTGATTTTTGGCAAAGAGAATATATAGAACAATTCTGTCCTGGATTGGGATAAGTGAAATATTCAATGTACAACCAACGATTGCACTAGCTAAGTTACGTGACCTATAGTGGGTATCAAACCATCCAACATCAACAAATGACAACATTTCTATAGCAATGTGTGTTTTAAGTGTTGTTTATCAAAAATAGAGACTATTTTCGGTATAGCACTCAGCACATGGGTAGTATGAATACTGCACCAACCGTCAGCTTTAGTTTTAGTAAATGACACTTATGTCATGAATTTGTTTACCTGGTTACATAATTTGTGCAACTTGGTATCCTTTTTTGGTCAGTGTTGTTGAAAAGCAGAAGATCCTCCTCATTTCTAGGATCCCAAAATCTGTTAACTAACATTATTGGTGAAAAACTTAGGACGCTGACCTACTGTAATGTGCTGAAGCAATACATGTAATATATCAACCAAAAAAGAAAAACCAAACAAAGCTAAGATGGCAAATTCTGGCATAAAAGCTCTAAAATCACCTAAATCCCCTTACATTGTAAAGTGAGATCAAACGGAAAATTGACAATAAGATCAAAGGAACCACAAAGATGCATTTACGAGGACTGCATAAAAACTACATTTCATCAGCTCTTGAAGATATAGTCAGCAGGTGCATACATCCTCGGTTCGGGTTAAACTAACATTTTTCCCTATTCAAGGGCCCACAGCCTGCATATAGCCCACTCTGTCGAATCACAATGAGCCAATTCGTTTTTTTTTTCAACAGTGCATGCTCAAAATGAGGTGTGCCATAGGTCATTCGAAAAACGTCAACATGATAAAGGCTGATAAAGGCTGATAAAGCACGAGGCCCGCTTTATCAGCCTGGCCATACATCGACTCACATGCAACGTACACTTCTCCAATAGACATGACAGCAGGTGCCATTGTTATAGAAAGACCATTCCTTCTTGAACTACTGATCTGACTCATTACAAAAGGGTTTCAGACTTTGTGAAATTGGGGGATGGATCAAAAGAGGGCCTAAACAATCCAATGAGCACAAGGCAAAGAGATTTCAATTTGCTCATAGCCAGTTGCATTTTGGTGTCCACTCCCATTGTACTGTCAATTGTATTGCAATTCAGTTCCCCCCCCTTCCTCATGTCATAGTTACATGTATTATCCAGTTCCTCCCAGACAGAGAAGTCCGTTTACTAGACACTGTTCCTTCCTGCTTCAATGGGCGTCAGCAGGAAACTGAACAGCGGCTCACGTGCTAATTGAGGGAGGGAGCCTTGAACATTGAAAGTTAGAACCGACAATATATCTAATAAATACAGTTTGTCTGCGATGCAGTAGCATACCCAATTCAACAATATTCAGCCATGTGATGGGTTTCTGGTAGCTCAAGCTATGTAATTTTGGAATACATTATTTATTGTTTTTCTCTGGGACTTTTTGGATGAAGAAGGAAGTGTGAAACAAGCATTAGCTATATTACAGTTCACTACTTAACTCCTACTTCCATGCAATTTTTTCCCTGAAACCTTAATGAATCTTCCAGTTTACCATGGGAGGAAGTCCCAAAGGCAGGCTCTTTGTAATTTAACTTTTCAGGGGTGTCAAGTCCCATGTCAAGTAAATATTTGATGGGGGTTTACATTTACCTCCCTTAACCCTACAAAACTGTCCAAATGAGTCCTGGTGGATTTTAATAGATCTTAAAAAGATTGGTTAACAAATCTTTCAAAATCTAATCCTGGATCACAACCTAAAATAGTGCAGTAATACTCCAGTAGACGCAGCCCCTTGCATTAACTAAGTTGCCCAGGAACAAACAGACCCAGAAATGTTTCCTTGAAGTGAAGTGACTCATATTTACCTCTGCTGTCGCAAATACTTCGTCCTTGATTTGACCAGTGCCAAATATTGACTTGACCGTCGTGTTGGTGGCTGCGTACACCATTTTGTGTTTCACCTTATCAAAGTAGCATAACAGAAACATTGCAAATTTACAAACACATAAGCACGAGTCAATTTACTTCTGCTGTGATTCTGCAATCAATGAAATTTGGTCCTTTGTTCCACAATGGCACTTTGCATTAAGGAGAAGTAATTTGGTCTTCCATGGACCCCTACTTTCATTCAGTAATTGCTCGATTAATTGAGGGTTCCAGACTTCATGTTGAAAATGTGTCTTTCAATTACAGCGAGTTACACCTTCTGAAAAAGTAAATGCAAAGTTTGTGGTTGGAATTTGACGCTTTCAAATGGTATGTACGTGTACACGAGTGAATCATTCCTAAATTACACGTATTTCTCCTGATACCCTCATTTATGCCCCAGGAAGCACTAGAAAGCCAGACCATACCACAAACGGTGCAAATGTTGTGACTGGCATGGAAATCAACATGGGTAGGTGCAGTGGTCTAACAACAAAGGGCATGGAAGAGAACACCCCCTCTGATTAAGTCTGTGTCCCCGCCCCCTTTGAAATTTTGAAACGAGCAAAGCCTACGACTCTATGAGTACATGTATGTACAAGCCACAGTTAATTTGCTTTCAGTGCCCCCACGAAACAGTTTGTGCAGACCCTCGGTTAGGCCACTGGGTAGGTGTTGGGTGGGGGTGTTGATAAGCAGGGATCCATCTGTAGGTTGGACATATGCCAAATTGATTTCAGTACCTCAGCGTGGTCTGGAGAGTAGCGCATGAAGATCCACTTGTGCTGATTCTGCGAGTCTTTTTCATCAAGACGGTAAAAGAAGTAGCAGGGACTCTTGTCATCAAGCAACGGGTGAATCATACTGTAATGTGTCATTTCACACGTCAAGGAAATGCAAATTATGAGAAGAGTATTTGTTCCAAATCAAGGCAAGCTCATCATGGACAGTTGAAATTAGTGCCGAGCTAATCTGAATGATTCACTATTCAAATATTCAATCTCCAATTCAATCAAACATCCGACTATTCGATCATAGCAACTGGCAAATTGTTGATGAAAGATACCATACACAAACCAGTTGCAATAACACACACAATTGTTCATTATAATCACCATGACAGCTTTTCACAACTAGGAGTATCTCCAGCCAAGATTTAGCAAGATTTAAGAAACAAACAATACTTCTTGTCCTGATAAAAATTTCTATTCTTTTTATATTTTTAATGAATAAGTTACTTTTTGAATCGTACGATTTCTGTCGCTTTCATTTGAATCTGCTTGAAACAAGCCTTCACAGTGCACTTTTTCTCTTTCGTGAATTTTGCATTCAGAAAATAATATTTGAATATTCGATAATCAATTAAATATTCAGATATTTAGATACAATGTATTCGGCACAGCCCTAATCAAATGTGGCCTTGGTATTTCAGTCAAAGAGTTACAGAAAGGCCAGTGTATTGTTGATTTAATGACCTCTGACAAAGAGGCAGCTTCATTTCAAATATTCAGGTGCAGGTCCATCACAAGTCATCTTGTCTCAATAAGCTTGCCATTTCAATGAACTGTAACGAAAGCAGTCCTTTGTCATGGTTAAAATTTTAACTTATGATTGGTTATGAAAGGTCTTGTAACTGGACTTGTGATGGACTGAACAACAATACTGTAACCAGATGAGCAGAATATGTAATCCTACATATTTCACCAGTCTCTAAATCAATGTTTTCATTTTATCCAATTAAGAGGATATCTTCTTCCCATGTTCCAGACTCTTCGCAGTGCTCCTTAGGAACCAACTTTTCAATCTCTGAAAAATAAAAAATTCAAGCAAAAGGGCCAAAAACATGTAAGTAACCATCCTGATTTGAAAGAAATACTCTTTAAAGTGTCCGAATTTTTAAAAAAATGAAAGCAGCTCAATGAACTTGCAGTTCACCTCACTGACTTTACGTCTCAGTGTGAGATGAAAGACAATAAAACCACTAAACTAAAGTGTTTGAGAAAAAAAACAGAGGTTGGAATACCAGCAACTACTTATGCGTTTCATGCAGGAAATTTTCGAAGGACTTTATCTAGGTAACATTTTTTGTTCAGAATTTTAAAAAACTGAGTCTGACAATTGCTGAAGTGAAGGGAACTGCAATTTATGTATCCAACACAAACAGGACCATTTGTTTCTTACCTAAATCAATGCAAACCTTGAGCAGTCGGTAGTTCTTCAGCTTGGCTTCAGCAAAGGCTTTCTTTAGCTCATCTGAGGCTGTGCGCAAACAATCCGCAAAATTATCAAGCAAACTTTAAAAACACTACTTAACTGCAAAAAGTAATTCCTGCAAAATTTAATTAACCACGATCATGGTTAATTAAATTTTGTCCAACATTCTTTGTCAAGATTGATGCAGATTTTTTTTTCTTTTGGTGGGGATAAGATGGGAAGAAAGGCCAGATAATCTTTACCATACCTATAATCATAAATCTGGGCGGCAATCAACTCCAGAGTATACATGCAGATGTATTTTGCTTTCAAGCTTTGCCAAAAATGGGCAATTTTGAAGGAGCACAAGGGTTCAGGCATTCAGCAACTTTGAAAACCATTTTCCCTTCCAAAATACTCATCAAATGTATCTTTTTGTGTAATTACAATTTTGTGATTTGTACCCGTACATTAAATGTTGTCAATGCTGAATTAAACAATAAAAGTATTAAATGTGAAAAGTACATACATTTATTTCACGTAAAGTGTTTAATCCTAAGTGCAAGGTATAAAACATGTACATATAGGCACCAGCTAATGTTTCTGCATCACGTTAGACCCAAAACAGATGTAACACAATAAGACTCAGGTAGGCCCACTACCAAACTAACACGAGCACGTACAGTGTATGTTATGGAATACAATGTAACTGAATCTTCTTGTGGTTTACAGAACGAATTAGTTGGCATGGCTGTTATTTTAGAGGGAAAGTTTTTACTGGTGAAGTTATAAATTTAGGCCTATCTTTTCCATTTTAGATGGAAATTTTTCATAAAATAAACATGGATGATTTAAATGAAGCATTTCTAAAAAGGAAAAAACAGTTTTGTGGTCTAATCATGGAGGTACCTCCATGGTCTAATCATCATTGTCATAAGCAGAGCATGTGGAGAGAGAACTAACGTAAAAATTACCTTTGATTCCCGTTTGGTGAGACATGTTGAAATGGTTCTCTGTGCGGCTGGGTGGATCTCGACGCTAGGTGAAGGACTTCAAAACTAAATTCCGCTGTAATTTACAACAAGCACAGCGCCAAAGTAACCTTATTATTTCCGATTAATTTCTCAACATGGGCGGAGCTGAAACAATATTATTTTCTTTCGGGCTGTCGTTCGAGGAAGTAATTAGCGGATGCTGTCAATACTCAACGTTAGCAGGGTTAGGATCGAGTGTGTAAACTCTCTCCCAACGCGAGTTGAAGCTGAAGCACGAAAGTGGGCGGTAAACCTCTTTGATGAGTCAGCGTTGTCGATTGGGTATTTTCTTATCTTTGAAGCTCATTTGACCAATGGAACTTTCGGTGACATAATACACATGGCCTCACCCTTTGCCCTTTTCATTTAAAGATGGCGGCCTCCAGAAGAGGGTAGCATGACTAACATAGTGTTCTGGGCTCTGTGTGTATAGTTTAAATGGTGTTTAATAAAAAAAAAGTGATTTCAAAGTTTTAAGGTCCAGAGGAAGTGTTGGTGATGGCGCACAGTTATTCATCAAAAGAACGCACCAGCGATGTTTTAAATGAAGAAAATGTGAACATCGATTTTGGATCGTTGCTGTTGTCTCGAGCTGTGTTAACTGGTTTGTCGCAAGCAGGGTTTGAGCGACCATCGCCAATACAGTTGAAAGCTATACCACTCGGGCGGTGTGGACTAGGTGGATATCGAATTTTAGTCAATTGAGATCTTGTGTGCCTTAATTAACAGATTAGTCATATTAATTTACTTGCGTAGGCCTAAACCCCTACTTTGTTTATGCCTATAAATAAGCCAATCTCCCGTTCTGTGACCATGTTGATTGTAGCAACCCCGTGTGATGAAGTGAGCAAAGCTAGAGGGGAACAAATTGTCTACAACAATAACAATTGTGAACAGCAATTCGTTAAATGTTGCGCAACGTTCTTGTCATGAATATGTTCCCTTCTATTCTGTCTTCTGAGCATGCATACATGAAACGTGAAAAAGGCATATTATACAATTTAACCTGCCCCAATTAGGTTTGGGGTTTGTTTAATTTGGGAATTATTTAGAATCACTCTCTTGTATTCATTTTTTCGGCTAATTACATGTTAACAGGTCGTTGACCAAACCACAATCTAGCGACGACGCCAGACTATGCATACGCGGCTCGTTTGTGCAACGATGATGTATTTTTGGAACTAATTTTAGATTTTGGTTCGCAGATGACATCGATCTCCTTATTGGCCAAAACCTTCAATACAAATTGCTCTGATTGATCAGATTTACAGGAAACCTGCTACCCAAGATCTAAATGAAACTTTCCTTTCATTTGATATCTATAAAAGTGGACTGAAGAGATTTTTCAGTCAAATCTTGCCGTGGATGTGTCAAATTTGGTGGGCAGGCGAGTTCAATTCTGCTGATGAAAACGGTTACGCGAAAAAAATAAAGCTTTACCAAAGTTTACTTTATGCATGAAAATGTTGCCGTTACAAATCTCCATCGATTCACCGTGGCAAATTTTATGTTTACAGTGGCGGTTTTCCAAAATAGTGATTGGAAACAATTTTGCCATAGACTCCAACGGTAACAGTAATGGCAACGGTGGCCATGTTGGCTGCCAGAATTTCAAATCTCATTATTTTCGTAAAATCGCAAAATTACATTATTATCATGTGACCTGATAAAAATGACATCTTTGCCGCTTGAACAAGCGACATAAGCAGAAACAAGGGACATAGCTAGATTGTGATTTGGTCCACAACCTGGTTAATAGTATAGAGTAACTATATAAGCCTTGTCGCAAATACTGCATGGGTGATTTTGCACAATGGTAGAAAGGCATTGTGGGAAGGCAGAAGGAGCAAACATTGCCCCATATTCCTTCCCATGATGCCTTTCTACCATTGTGCTAAATCACCCATGCAGTATTTGCAATAAGGCTTATTGACATAGTGACTTTATTTACTTTGGTAATTCATTTGGAGGCATTTTTCCTGAAAATCCTACCATGAAGAGACAAAACTTGCTAGTGTGTTTTTAAGTTGAAAATAATGTGCAAACTGCAGTATATCGTCATGTAAAGCAAGCCTTGCCCTTGAGATGCCACATTGCAGAACAATGCATACCCAGCCGTCGCTTTAATGAATGAGTTTTAAAATTGTATTTTGCATTAGAAGATTTTTGCACACATTTTATTGGGCACATTGATAACTGACGACTAATGTAAAGTGCAATCTTGAGCCTTGCACAAATTTCTTTTACTCCATCGTGAGTCGATTTGCCATTGAAAACATCCAATTTTTTATAGGATTATCAACTCAGGAGGGAGTACAATAAACTTGCACAAGGTTCAAGTTCAACACTATTGCTCTTTTTTTTAACACAGATATGATCGTCCAAGCCAAGTCAGGAACGGGTAAGACATGTGTCTTCAGTGTGATAATTCTGGAAAGTTTGGATCTGCAGTGTGCAGGTGTACAAGCCTTGGTCCTGACCCCTACTCGGGAGATAGCTACCCAGGTGCAAGGGGTGATTCAGTCCATCGGACGCGCCATGCAGGGCTTGCGATGCCACACGTTTATTGGCGGCACACTCTTTGGGCCTGATCGACAGAAGCTGAAGAAATGCCACATAGCAGTCGGCACTCCAGGTATAATGCCCTAATCCGTTAATTCAAATCAGGTGAATGGAAATGGTTTTGAAAAGCTAAACCTGTTGTTGAAATCCTTTTTGAAGCTGGTATTTTGAACCAAGGAAATGACTTCCACGTACAGAATAAAATTTTGATCTTGGAAAGTCAACAGATATCCTCACAGCAGCACAAGTGACATCATTTCACATAAAGCTAAACTGAGAAAGTGTTGTTTGTAGGACGTGTGAAGCAGCTCATCGAGTATGATGTCATGCGTACAGAGAGCATCCGGCTTCTTATCTTAGATGAAGCAGACAAGCTCCTGGACGACAAATTCCAGGATCAGATTAAGTAAGTTTACATAACCAGTGATGATGTGGAAGATACATGTAAATACCGCGACGAGATGGAAAAGTGTGCTCAACTGAGGTGTCACCCTTTCCGTATTCCACCCCAACCTAAACTCAACCCCAAACCGACCCCAACTCCATCCAAACCTGATCCCAACTCATCCTCACCCTAACCCCAACTTCACTCCCCCAGTCCAACCTTACCCTATCCCAACCCAACTTCAACCAAATCCAATTCCAGCTCAACTGACCCCATTCTGTTCCCCCCCCTCCGACTTCAACCCAACCTTCAATCCAAACCCCATCCAAAACACCAATCCCTAAAAAGCCTGGCAAATACCTACAAGTTTGAACAAATTCACTACCAACTGCAGCTGTATGTGAAAGCTTCCCTCTGAGAGGGAGGAGCATATCCCACTTGTATTTTTTTCAAGTTTCCATCAATTTCAGTAGTTTCAAGCAAAACTGTTGACTTGATTGTTTCGCCATCTGTTATCCCTTTATTTTTGGTAATAGCTGGATATACAACCACTTACCTGTCAACAAGCAGATGCTTGCCCTATCAGCCACCTATCCTGAGGCTCTGGCAAAAGGCTTGACCTCTTACATGAGAGACCCAACGTTTGTCAGACTGAACCCCAGGAAAGTGGCTCTCAAAGGTTGGTCATTTGGATTGTTCATCTGTTTGGCTACTGCCATTGCAGTGGTTGGTCAAATGACTACGATTTAAAGGATTGCCAGAGGAGATGAAAGTCAGAGGTACTGTAATTTCCTCGACTGCAACTTTGTGGCATAATGAAAGTTATTCTCCTCTCCCCCTCAGAAAACAAAACAAGAACAATTCAGATCCAGATCTCGCAGAACTTATGAATGCATAGCCTACTAAAAGTGTGATATAGAACTCTTTCTTTACCTGCTCACAGACAAATTAACTGTGAAGGGCTTTATGTTCTGTGAACAATGTTTTGTTTCTGATTGCTTAACTTTATTCATGTTTACTCAGGAATCAAGCAGTTCTACAAGGTTGTCCCAAGTCATGGGTTGTACCATAAAGCTTTTGAGGTCAAAGTTGAACATCTGCTGCAGCTGTTGACGCGGGTGTCCTTCAGCCAGTGCTTGGTTTTCTCCAATCTGTCCAGCAGGTGAGACACCTTGCCACAGGAGTGTAAATTTAATTGCATTTACAAGTATGGTAGCTGCTTTGTGATTCCATTTGGGGATAATTTATATGTCTAGAAAGTTTCAACATCTTAAAACTTTTGAAAAGTAGTGAGCAGGAAGCTGGAAAGACACTTGTGAAAACCTCTGTTATTCCAGCTTTTTTCCAGTTTAGCATGTCTTAATCAATCCCTTTAGAGATGAGAGGAACTTAAGCACTAGGTGGTTACTTCCTAGATGTATCATTTGTTTCCATAATGGGTTATATAAATATTATTTGTGGTTTCTAGATTTGTTCAGACCCAAAGCATGGAGTACAAAAATCATAAACAATTCCTGTTTTGTTTTTCCTTTCTATTTCCTTACATGTACCAGAGCCCAGAATCTGTCTGACATTTTGTGTGACCGTGGCTGGCCAAGCACCTGCATTTCAGGGAATCAGGACCAGGTGCAGCGACACAGCGCAATGTCCATGCTCAAGACCTTCAAGTGCCGTGTGTTGATATCGACCGACCTGGTGAGAACAGGGTTATTGAAGTTAACTTGTAGAGGGCTGGATTTGGGGAAGTGTGTGGCAAGAATGTGTTTAGAGTTAAGTTGAAAGAATGACCTGTGACCTCCAGAGTGTTTTTGGTTGCAACATTCTTGAATTCTTCATCTATGAATGAACCGAGTAGCAACTTCTTTTTCTTCAGTTTTTCAACAGGTCATCAAGCCTCCTGTAAAGTGTTTGTGGCCATGTTTACCCTCCTAAATTCTTCACAATTCTTCACAGGATGTGAAGGGTTGGGGTCAAGAAATCCAAGTTTTGGAGCTTTGACAGTTAACTTTGAATGTGTACCTTAACCCCAACCCTCCTCAATCCTTCACCTGTTAGAGGACTGAGGAGTGTTAGGGTTAATATTCTCATGGTAGCTAGTCAAGGGCACTTTCTTGGTTGCGTGCTCTGTATACTGCTATTCTCAACGTACATGTACACAGCAATCGTGATACACTGTTTTTGCATTTTGATTTGAATCATGCTCTGCACTCATTCTCACTTGACAGACAGCCCGCGGAATAGATGCTGAGAATGTGAACCTTATTGTAAACCTAGATGTCCCATCTGATGGCAAGACCTACATGCATCGCATAGGGAGGGCAGGTCGTTTCGGCAGCAAGGGGGTTGCGGTGACGTTTGCAAGCGAGGGCAACGAGGAGACCTTGCTGAGAAACATCCAGAAGCAGTGCCATGTTAGTCTTCAACTTCTGCCAGGTTGGACTCAGACCAAATGTTTTTGGAGTGTAAAATTAGAGTACTGAATCTGTAATACTACAATGTGAGTTTATCAGTCACTAGACCTCACCTTGAATCTGCTGGATTTTCTCTTTTAACTTCCTTGCCATTCTGATTATAGGTAAAAACAGTGTTGAAAAGTTTCATTAGTCCTTTTTGTGACCACTCAGTTGTATGTCTTGTTAATTGACTGGAATCACTGTTCCAGTCTTTTAAAAAAAATTGAAATTTGATTATTTGTGTGTATTTAATGAATTACGAGCATAAATGCATACCATTGTGTTTGGGCTTAAAAATGTTTCGTGCCATTCCTCTTCTACATTTTCATTGGTAGTTGATTATTCAATCCCAGTTTCTGCTTTCTGTTTCTCAGACCCGGTACCATCAGATTTGGTGAATTCCATCAGTGTCGATCGAAGCTGTATTGACACCGAGGAGGAATCAACCTCTGGGTTTGAATGTGATTCTGATAGTCAAGACAATCCAGACATTGACGCAGAGATCGGCATGGAGGAATTACAGTGTGTATCAGGAGCCAGAGAAGCCAGTGATAAAGTTGTGAAGGAGCCTCCTTTGACTAACAAGACAGCTGTGACATCTCACAGAAATAGAGATCAAAGGTCTAATTCCTGGTTGGAGGTCAACAAACAAGGGGACTCTGTCTTAAATGCAGCCTGCACAGGTGTCTCCGATAAATCCTGCCAGGTGGACACGCTGGGCATGCCCCTAAAAATGGATGGAGTAATCGACTTCAAGATTCCCTCACTGGCTGAGAAGTTTAGCCCAAGGAGGGAGGATGAGATGTGGACCTGGGAGAAAGCTGCCAAGGATTTTGTGGAATTCATGAGTGGATGTTCAGAATCGGTGGACATGCAGCTGGGAGGTCTCTTAGACACAGTCAAAGATGAAACTGCTGAAGAGCCAGTTTGTTTCGCTGGAAGTGGTGCTTTGAAGAATGAGTCTGAAGATGAACAAAGAACTGCTTCGGAAGTTAAAGATTTAAGCTGCTCAGTTGAAGAAATGTTTGTTCATCGCATGAATGGTGAGGAGATAAATGAGCTTGATCGACTTGCAGTTGATGATGTCTTGAGATCCCAAACACGGGACCAAATTATTAGCATCTCTGACTTTGGTCACGACTCAGTAGGGAAAAGTGATGACTTTGAAGCACGTGATGAGACACTCAGCCAAAATGGCACGAAGGAAGCTGATAAGGGAGAAGCTACTGATCCATGCATTTCTCTGACGACAGTATCTGATGAGAAACAGAATGATACTGAAGAGACTGAGAAGGGAAAAGACAAAAGAGCAGACGTTCACGATTCAGGCAAAAAGGTGGAAGCTTGTGCTGAACCAGACAAGGGATACAAGGTAGCGTTTTCATGGCGGCCATCTCAGGCCTTCTTCAGCGGGCTTGTGACCGAAGAAATGACAAGATTACATATCACAGAGACCAGGCGCAGCGATGATGATGACACTTACCCGGAAAGTATGAACCCTCCTGCTGACAGTTATGCAGTAGGAACTATGTCCAACATTTCTCTGACTGCTCTCGGGAGTGATTCTGCCAAGCTGGATAATGTAGGCAGAAGCGAAGCAAGGAAATTAGCATCTGAAAGGTCGGAAAGACGGACCCAAGTAGAGAGGAGACCATCTAAAGCTTCACCAGGTGTAACAGAATCAAAGCAACCAGGTGAAGTGACATTAACATCGGAAGAATCAAAGTTTCAATGCAGAGCAAGTGGTAAGCCTTCATCAGCTCCTCCCTTACACCATGCTAACCAAAGAAATGCCAAAGAAGTCATGCCAGACTGGCAAGAACCAGAAGCAAACAGCAGCTCAACTCATGGTCAGCAGCAGACAGATGCTTCAGTCTCCAACAGTCATCCATCCAGGAAGACATGTCCACCAGGTGAGGATCCCATATGGCAAGCCTACACAACTTACCTTTCAAATCTTGAAGATGCACAGAGTGATGCTGACAGCTGCAGTGAGACGGATGATTCTATTACAGAGAGCATCGGGACATCAGACTGTCAAGAAAGTTCAGATGGTTCTGAAAGTGGTCCTGCTGCACCCAGTGGAAGCCAAAACTCTCAGGAGTGGAAATCTAAACCTGAAACTACCGCACATTATGGCTGGTTACCTACACCATATGATCCTTCTGCATACAGTAGTTGGTACAGGGTACCAAACTTCACCTCATCTGCGACCACAAATTTTCCCAATCCAACTGATCAGGAAAACCCTTTGCATTATGGCCCAAGTGATTATCACGAATCACCATACAGTGGGCAGTATGCATACTGGCCATATGCTTACTACTAAATCTTAGGATCGTGTTCTGAATCACCAGCCTGTTTACCCCAAACTTGCCAAGTATCATGTTGTCATGTTTCAACATGCTCACATTACTTGTAAAAGTTCGAGGGCCTGGTGTCATGATCCTGTTATATATTTGCTCATCCATATCACCCTCACAGGGCACTTGGAAGAGCAGATGCTTGTCACAGAATTTTGTGAAGGAAGTACATCACAGCTACAGACTCACAAATCATTGTGGGCTACAATGCTGACCCCTCGTATTCATTTATTGAATTGTATCCAATATGTGCTTGAAAATAAAAATTAGGGCTTGCATCCTGAATTAGTTGCCGTAGCCCTTTATAAAGCCTGGTGGGAATGAGCAAAAGAAATATTTTGAAGGGAGCAGTAGGCCACCTTATTTTCTGGAGGATAACATGGTCTCCTGACGGCGGGCAGAGCATACAGTCGAGAATATTGAGATTTCTTTCAGAACCACACGTACTCAGAAAGAGATATCCTTGCATGGTGCTACCGCAAACCTCTATAACTTACTTGCTACCTTCATCTCAACATTCTGAATTTGGAGATACATGAAACCAGGCTTTGGGAAGAGGAAGGGAACCTCATGGTTGCGCCCAACACAAGCTATACCACTGCTCATGGTCGAATCCAGGGAGATGCCATTACTGTTTTGGCACTGTGCGAAGGCACAGCACCCTGTTGGTTAGAGATTTCTTTTAGGCACAGATACCTCCTACGCGTAAAAGTGTTGTAGTCCAGACTGTCACAAGACCATAATTAGCAAGATCAGAGGTAAGACCTTGCGCAAGACCTGTTATAGGTAGTACGGTGATCAGTGATAAAGGAATGCTTAAGTTGCATTGTTTTGAATAGCTTGCAACTTTAACCCACTCTGGAGGTCTTGTGTTGGTCTTTTGATGGTCTTTTGATGGGCTTGCGAGGTCTGGACTACATCATTGGTGTCTTATGCTGGTACCTCTGCAGTAATGGTCTCTAATTCTGGTAACCAGATTAGCATGTGTCAAAGCTGTTTGCACATTGCCAAATCTGATTCGCAAAAGAGTGAACTAAAATTCAGCATGAGTGAGAAATGGATGTTGTACATGTACACTGCTCATAGATATTCGCTAGAATCAGTTCTGGGATTCAGTTTTTGTTCGGCTGACTGTCTGAACTAAATATTCACTGATAAGGCTAGGCATTTTGTGATCTGTTTGGAATGTTTGTTTGCTCCTTGTTTTAATCGAGAATCCAAACTAAAGATCTCTTAGAAGTATTTTTTTATTATCAATCTGAGTTACAGTAAAGTTACACACACAGTCACACATGCATAGCCAAAAACATAAACCATTTAACTGTCGCAATGCCATTTGAACTAGTAGCTAAAATACCGGTCTCCGTACTTTGTGTATAGCGAAAACTATAAGTATGTACATGCATAGATCTATTCCAACAAATGTCTAACCTATGAAAGAGCAGGCTTTCATATAACAGTAGGTTGCATTGAAATGACATTTTTTAATAAACTAGGATTATTTTTGAGTTTAAAGGCAAACCGGAATGTCAGATTAAATACCGCTGTTCTTGACCTTTAAGAGTTTCTTAATAAATATCTTCTGGTAATACTGAAACTGTTTTACTGACTTAAATTACTGGTAGGTAAAGCATACATATCATTTGAAGAATCGGGTTGCGTATAAAATCATTGCTTTCCACAGCTACGGCAGCCTACACTGTGTGCAAATGACGGGGAAAAAACGAAGCCGTCCCCATGCCGCCTTGGCTACCTTTGTGCAACTCTTTTAGTCCCCAGTTTTTATCTTCTTTTTTTCCAACATACTTCTCAAACTTCCGTTTAAAGTATTGCTTAATGGAAATTACCCACTTCCCAGAGTTTATTTGTCAACTGATTCCGTGGATAGGCCTACTTGATCAGTTTTAAAGCTTGGTCTCAGACAGTGACTATATTAAGCCAAAGGTGCAGACGCCATCATTGTATCGCTTCCGCTTGGAAACTTGCTCCTTGCTAGAAAATTTATTTCTCTAAATAATGACCAAACACATCCGTTTTTGAAGAATTTTATTCCAGGTTGGGCATTCACAACTCTTGCCAAACTGTCAAATGACGTCAACGCACCGAACATGATTGTTTGTGCGCCGTTACTTCACTAAAAATACCGTGTCTCGCTTGGAAGAACTATTTTCTGCAAAAGGAAACATCGAACCACTTAAATCAGTTTCATTTGAGGTGGGACCACTCGTAGATTCAAAAGATACCGGGTCAGCACATCTTGCCACAGACCACAGAGGGCCCAGCACGGCGCGTAGGCCAGCGTGATCAAGCCCATGAAGTTGTAGGCGTGGTCGCTGTAGTCCCAGGAGCACGCATCGAACTGGCGCAGCAGCAGTCCGCTGCAGAGCTCCCAGGTGTACGCCACGCAGACGTAGAGGGCGATCCGCGGAGCGAGCGGGACTCGGTGACGGAGGCTAACGTAGAGCCTCTCCACCACGTAGCTCGCGCTGCCGTAGATGAAGAAAGAGTAGATGGAGGTGTATCCAACCAGCTGGTGAGATAAAAGAGAAATGTAGAACTGTAAACCTTGAGGTGAGGGTAAAACTAAGCTACCCCTAGCCTTTTTAGTCGGAGTTGTCGGGGACAAGGGAACTCTAAACCACATGTCCCGTTAAACCCCCCTCCGTTAACCTCCCCTTTACGTAACTTTCGTGTCGACGCTCCCCAATCAAAACATTCTAGTAAGTATAGCGACACTCGCGCTTTTGCCCGATGTAACTGATGTGACATTCCCAGGGGGGCACATAGTTCGCAATGGGGGAGCCGAAGGCAAATAAACTCTTGTTTGTATTTGTATTCGTTTCAAAGGGGGTCGCACCCTTGAGGGACAAGCATCCGTTGGACAGCTTTCACCTACCCAAAACCATCCTCCCTGCGCTTGAATGAGAAGACAGTGTTATTAATCAACGGGCGACTTTCCATTATGTATGCTATTTGGGTGCGTTGCGTACACGATGCGTTTATGCGTTTCACTTTCACGGACACATACGAGTGCGTTGTCTATCTTCGGCCGGCCGTGAAAATCACCCCGGGGGCGAGTTTATCGGATACGCAACGCTTGGCGCAAGTATCGCATTACTGAATGTCACTCCAACAAAATGAACTCTAAAATACCAAAATCATTTTTTCTACGCCATTGTGTATATCACCATGCAATGGTTCAGGACTTACTGCTCGAGCTCTGCTTTTGTCATCCCTCTACAACTTATACAACTTGCCTGTTGCAGTCTAGTCGGTAGTAACACACATTGAAGTGGTCTTGGGTTCGGTGGTGTAGCAAAATGGATTTTGTTTTTAACATGCGACTGATCAATTTTTTCCACCCGTAAAATCTTGTTGGGGGCAGTATGGAAGACTTTGATGCCATGGTGTAGAAGGATGCACTGGATCCGGTGGGAGGTATTGCCTATGTAGGAGAGGGTGACAGAACTAATGTGCCTAATGGGTTCCTTCTACCCCATGGCATCAAAGTCTTCCATACCGCCCCCAACAAGATCCAAGCAGCTCTCCAGTCTCACAAGGACAAGCAAGACCCCAGGACCAAGCCAGGCGTCTACAGGATCCCCTGCGAATGCGGCAAGGTGTATATCGGCGAGACTGGTAGAGATCTCACTACCAGACTCAATGAACACCGAGCCCACGGACGACGGGGGGATCTCGAGAAATCTGCCATCATCAAACACTCCAGCACTGAAGACCACCAAGTCCTCTGGCAACAAGCCCATCTCATTGCCAACATAGAACAATGGCATCCACGCCGTGTTCGTGAGGCAGTTGAGATTCACAAGAACAGAACAGTTCCGCAAGACACAGGCTTCACCATCAGTGACATCTGGCGCCCCATCCTCAACCCTTCTTAGTTCGCCTTATGGGTCATCTATACCCTTGGCACCCTGCCCCAGTTCTTCCTTTAGTCTGCGTATGGGCCCTCTATACCCTTGGCACCCATGTTTACCCATGCACAACCCCATCAGTACTGCCACACCTGAGTAAGTTTACCGCCACGCATCACCGAGCCAGCCTAATCCCTTCTCCAGAGTTCCCGCCTTCACGCTTCATCGGACTAATCCCTGTCTCCAGAATCCTCCACCAGACTACTTAACCTCCACTCCCAGTCAGTATCCGGCATTCTCCTGAGGACGAGCAGAGCATACTGCTCGAAACGTCGAGTACCACTGGTTCTTTTCAGAACTGCAAATTAATACTCACAAAAGAGATGCGTCAATGGTGCTACCGCAAACCTACTTTCTATTACACTGTAATATTGTGGCAAGCAAGGTGCTGTATTGACCGCACTGCGTGCACATAGTGTATGTAGTAGTCCGTATCTACGACCAACTTCGTCATTCTAGGTGGTACAAGCTCCGAGGCGGACTCAAATTATTCCAGGGGGACCAGGCCCATCGTTTGTTTTACGTCAGTTAAGGACATGCGGGTACGTTGCCACGTGCCTGCAGGATGCCATCCTTGATACTGAAATAGTTTTCCTGTTTTGTGTGTTCGAGCATTTAGGCCAAGATCGACATCCATCCCAGAACCGTAAAGCCTGTAGTTTGCTTTTTGCCAAGGCATTTTTTTTACATTTGCCGTGGCGCTTTTGCCTTCGACAGTTGTGGGACACCGTAATGTGCCCTTTTCGTTCCGTTTGCAAAAACAGGATGATTCAGTCTTGTGAAGTCTAAGCTGGAAAATCATAACCGATGGCAGTTGATGCAGCAAATGCGATAACGTATAACCATGCAAGCTCCCCAGCCTTAAATGTCCCCTTCGTATTAAATAAATAACATCGCACAACAAAATTCCACATCATTTTTCCAGATTTAGATACCTGTGTGAAACTTTCAAATTTCGTGTTACTACCTAGTTACTTAACTTCGGTTAAGCCTGTGCTTCTGTATCGATTAATTAAGTGCTATTCTGACACATGTCCACTCGTATAGATCTTGCTCACGTTTGCGTTCAGGTTATATAACAGATTCGATTAATACAGCATTAAATTTTCGTCAGCAGGTCATAATAATGCGACCGGCATTTCCAGTAATAGTGTTCGAAAGAAATGATTATGGTAAGATAAGCAAAGATCTTTTCATCTCAAAATTAAACTTGTTTCTTTTGTTTTGTTTCCTCATTGGTTTTCTTTTGAGCGACACTAACCCTTTCTTTATGACCACGCTGATGTGTTACACCCAAAGAGATGAAATAAATGTTATTTTATATAAAAACGATTTGTTGCCAATGTACTGAAGGCGAGATAGCGGTGACTGACAAGGGGAAATGAGAACCGTCTTTACCACAGGGGGCTTAACTAATAGCTAGGTGCATGAGTGTCGCTGGGGAAGGACATCGTTAACACAAATGGTTTTCATTTGGGGAGTTAAAGGGGAAAGTAAACAAACGCTAAATGTCATGGAAAAGTGTCAGAATTGACCCTTCTGTTGGAGTGAGTTACCCCCGGCCTCTCCCTATAGAGAGGGCAATAGGCCCATCCCTATTCCCCAGCTCTACCGGCAACGACGGCCAGATGGATGCATTCGAACTTAAGAGAAAGTGAATGATGACAAAATAATTATAAAACTGAGACAGGTGAAACATACAGAGCAAAGAAGACACTGTATATTAGTGAAGTTCACTTTCAGTTAATGCCATCCTTCTCACCTGGTAATTGGGCTTGTTGTGTATAACGATCTCATACAATGCGGTGAAGATGACCTCGTCCAGGAACCCGTGCATCCCGTAGAAAAACAGGCGCGCCATCAAGGGCAGGGGCTGGTAACTAGACTCGTCTTGCCTCACGTCGGACACAGATGATGATTCGGTCGAGCGGTTGTCACTGACATCCATTCTTGGCGTTGCTTTGGCGCGTTTGCCACGTTTGCCGTGCATCATCCTGGTTACTGCACCGTTTGAAGTGTTGCTCGATCCCCTCATGCCTGTTTTTCTCTATTTCGACCCCCGAATGACTAAATTGTGCCTGCGATCTCGCGCTCGCGTGCATGCAGTGTTTGTTTGCAGTATGACGAACACTGCGTTCCCAGCTAAAATTTCTGCTTGTGTGGGGTTCTGCTATAGCTGTCTTCGTTGAAACAGATTTTTGGTGGCTCTAAACACGTGTGCGTGGTCGCTACACTCTTCTTATCAAGATAGCAGACAATGGACATTTTTCCGGGTGGCGCATTGCCGATACAGTGACTAATACAGCTAATCGCTGAATCAATATGCCATTGGAGAGTAGGTCCCCGAAGTTCATCATGCATGCACTCAATCAGCCTGCCCTGTGCTAACGTGCAGGTACCCGTGCATGTGCCGAACCAGTGAAGAGGAAATGACGAGCCTCAGCGAAAAGGGCAAACTGTTGTAATGTAACTCGCCGTGACTTTCATAGTAAAATGCACTGAACATAGTGACCTTGAATATGAAAGCAAACACAGTACAGCAAAGTAACAGCCTGGCTTTTGAGCCTGGAACTATTCGGGTACTAAATTGTGATCCTGTGCTGCTCACTGTTCGCGACAATTGAAAGACAGTTGCAGAGGGGAAGGGTTGCAGCTTGATACAGAGTGCAATGCCTGCCTGGGCACAGCACAGCCTGTATAACTGTACACGTACAATTTTACGTGTGTTAATAATTATATTGCAAATCTGTACAGAAGAGAGAGAGGGTATGGGAAATTGTATCATAAACGGAAATACAAAAAATCAACAATTCAGCCCCAGAGGTGTTTGTTCTGAAACAAGAAATTAGTAGTCAGATGTATTTGTAGACGCTGGACAAATGGTCAGACGGCCACTTTCTTTAACCACTGGCAACGGGCAAGTTGAGTGCACGGGAAGCATTCAGGTGGGTGAGGTCATCACGTACGCAATGTACCCTTCTTCACTTCCAATATTCCACACTACATACGAAGTTTTGCGTAACATAATTAGAACTTGATTTTTTTTGCCCAACTGAAAATAATGAAATTTCTTCTTTTTTAACCTGAGAAATCGATTAGATATTTGCAAGGAAGTCGTGTAGATATCGTCAAATATCAAAGGCAATTAAATAAAACAGTAATTACTTTTTAAAGCATTTTTAAGTGCAAAAATGGGTGCGGGGAATAGTTGCTCCACACACGCAGATGCAGCAACTCCAACCTCATTTTTCCCCGGCCACACTTAACCTCAGCTCGTATTATTCAACATTATGTAATATTAAGGTAAGCTAATTTGCATAACTGCATAAATTTATTAGTAGCCATAAGCGTAGCCATAACACCTACAGGGGGCTTGAACTCACGACTTCGCTACCAGACGACTGGAGGGTGGCCGATAGGATGGACGAGCTACTAGGGGCGGGGGAGGGGGACGGGGTGGTCAGTGGCCCCAACTTTTTCGATTGGGAGGCCTGCCCCCACCACATTTTGCAGGTCCTATAATTGGGTAAAGCTCACTGGATTGAGCTATAAATGGCTAATGCCTGATGATCTAACAAATCCCCCCCCCACACACACACACACTTCAAAAATCGTTCCGCAACCGGTGGTATACGAGCCACTGTCTTGGACCTGAAATACAGTGAAAAAAAAATAAATACCGAATTGGCCGGCTGAGTTTCACCCCATTGTTTTTTTGGGGGGTGTTGATGAAATTGCCTAGAAGAATTGGACATGTTCATTGGACTACCGAAGCAATCTGATCACAATGACTTGTGAACTTTTTGAAGTGAGAACAAGATAGGAAGTTCCCACCAAGCACTGTGAGAACAGTGAGAGTGAACAGATTTTGGATGGAATCCCCGGATCACTTCCTACGAACAAATACCTTTGCAATTATGTTTTCTGGTGGTTTTTCGTAATTTTTTCCCCATTTGAAATTAGGTTTTTGTATTTGTAGGGCCCCATGCAGAAGTAAAGTTATTCACTGTAGCTATACAGACTCAGATACGTTAAAATTAATTTGTGAGCATGGCGGTAATCTCATGCCATTACATAATAAATGTCCCTAAGCAAATCCGGTTCGTAAGTGACTTTGTCGCAAAGGCGGGCGCGCCACGATTTACTGGCTCTCATTGGACCATCGCTGAAGTTGCGCGTTAGTAACTTCCGGTTCCACGGTTCCGGCAATTCCGTGTAAAAGGCGATCAATGCATGTAACCCTATAATCGTGTCCGAAACGGGCTTCCAAAGCTACGTCAAGGTCTATTGTCTCTGCGTCTCCACACATTGCCAATGGAGAGAAGACCTAGACCTAGCTCTAGACAAGAGATTCGGATATTATTAGTGCAGTGCGCGTGTGCAGTGGGCGTGGTTTAAACTGAAGTGACGTCACATTTACGAACCGGATTGGTCGAAGAGGCGTGTACCTGTCCACGAGCATTGTGCCACCGCAGTAATGGCTTCTGATTCTGGTGGTCGAATTACACTATAGTATAACTCAGTTCATATTTAGAATATTTAGGGGGCTCACAAGTTCGTGAGCATTTTGTGTTCAATTCGTTATCTGTGATAAGAGATTCTCAGGGGCGGATGGGGGGGGGGGTCAACGCCCCCTGCTCTGAGACAACACAACAAAAGGGTGAAGGTAAAAAATATCGGGGAAATGATTTTAAAATAACTGAAGTAAATTACAAAATAGCATCTCGCAGATTCTTTTTTTTGTGTACAAGATGAGTGTTACAAATAGGAGACTATAGTCAGCCAAACGTGAGACATTAACAAAATCTCCAGCTTGACCCCTTGCAAAATTCATGGATCTGGCCCCCTCAAAACTTGAAATAACAGAGACTGGTGGTCAATAGAGGCGACGGTAGCCACAGAGGGGGGCTGGGGGCACGCCCCTCTACAAATTCCCGATGCCCCCAGGTGCCCCCTACTAAAAACCCCCGGATGAATGGATATTGAACAAAGCTGACAAAAGCTTGCCCCCCCAAATTTAAAAACGCACCTCTGAAAGCTGATCCCCCCATAAGATGCCGGTGCCCCCTTCTGCCCCCTACAAGTAAAATCCTAGCTACGCTACTGGTGGTCGAAGCAGTCCATTTATATATATCCTGATTAAAAATTTCGAAGTAGGTTAAATGGTGAACTTAACTTTTTAATTATCCGCCCAAATCAAACTCACCCCCAAAAGTGAACGTTCAAAAGTCTTTTCAGCAGCCATTTTTTAGTTGACTCCCCTCACCTTTTCGGGCTCCTCTGACAATTTAATAACATTTTTTTTGTCTGCTTTACCCCCATACGAGAGCCCCTGAATCCACAGAGATACTGGGCCATACTTGGCCAGCACAGACTCCTCTTTTTGAAAGAATTTGAAAGGCGTAGGCCTACTTTTTGAGCACTTTGGTCTGGCGAAGAATTTTCCTTGAACTTGACACAGTGCACTCAAATGACCCAAATGCACTCAATAGAAAGAAGAATGTCTCCCTCTAGTGGTAGCTGGACTCGAAACCGCGCGACTTGTAACTTCATCACTGTCTCATTTCATGGACGATTCACTTTATTAACTATATTTTTAGATTGCTTTCGGTTCAGAGTCCTAAAATTGATTTTATGCAAGCTCAGGGCATGAGGTGGGTACACTGCTTGTAGTTGTCTGTATCATTTGAAGTTAAAAAATGAACTGCTCAGTAACTGTAAGCCAGGATGGTAACCATTCTGATTTCTGGGGAAGAGTTCCATTTCCAATACGGACGCCAGTAGTAAAATCCCCCACAGCATGTACAGTGACCCATGTTTAGCCATGAGAAAGCAAAACATGTCCAGAAAAGCTCGATTTAGGAGGGAAAATACCAAGTCGTTTACTTGGAAAACATTCAGAATTATTCAGATCAGTCTACTACTAGTACTAGTGTCAAGTCATGCAAGTGGTCACCATATGGCATATGGTCCTATATCGATATCAATGGAACTCTTTCCCAATTCTGCCCACTGATGTTAGATTAAATGGCCTTTCTTGAATGGAGGGGGTGGGGCCTCTGGAGCTTACAAGGGGCGGAGAGGAGAATAGTTGTTTGTTTATATATTTTTTTTAAAACAACTCTTTAGAAGCATGTTAGCATGATGATGATTTGATGACTGCCTAGTACTAGTTCTGATGTCTTGGATGACATGACAGGACAGTTTTCACTTTTTTTAGGACACCAGCTGACTAGGCTTATTTAATCAGTCATGTAGGCCTAGGCCAAGTATTCGTACTTGCAGGCCTTTCTTGTTTTTTGGGAAAGAGTTGCATATATGGACGACACTCAATACCCCCGTGCACGCTACAAACCTATGAGACTTGTCTGAAAAAAATCTAGGGTTTATAAAGTGTTTTCTAAGTAACTGCTTCAGAATTTTTCAGCTAAATTTTCCAATTTGTGTAGGACATGTTAAAAATTCTGGCAACATTTGAAGGGAAACTTAGTGTTTTCCATATAATTAAAGGAACACTTTCCTGTTTTTTCATCATGTCGGTGTTCACTAAATTTGTTAAGTTTGCCCAACTATGAAAATGAGTTTGGACAACGCAGTGGACCAAGATTTATAGCTAAGAGTAAAGTGACATTTCCATAAAATGCAGATGCCCTCACTGTGAGCAAAAATGGCAGTGTGCTTTCTCCGACAAGCAGCCAGATTCTCTACGAGAGGGTGCTGCGTCCTCGTGAGTAGACTGCCCCATTGTCATGACAACGTCAGACAGGATGGAGACAGAAAGTGGCTGTCCAGCAGTGGATTTGGGGTAACTCAAGTTGAGATTGTATTTAAATGAGAGGCTGTTACTAGTTGTAGGCTGCGCGCCCCAAGGGGGACCAAGAGAGGAGGTAATTTTCCTAGCAGTAGGGGCTTCTTTGGTGGGAACTACACTTTGCTGGGTCACAAAAGACTAAGAAATTCCTGCGTTGTGGTCATGTCGCTACCAACAAAATGAGCACTCTCCACCGACATGGCTCTTTTCAACTGATGAGAGGGGCCTCTTCTTAAGGCAGACAGGCTATTGCTACAACATTTTCACTCGACCGCTTGGTTTGGACTACAGCCCTGTTGTGTTTTGAGTCTACAAGTAGTATGCTCGGGTCTTGGTGAGAGTACCAACACTTCAGGTAGTAAAGATCAGCATCGAAAGAAAGAAACATTCCTTTCACGAAACTGGAACAGCCCGTCCAAGGCATCTTTTGTAGTACTGCATGAGAGTTTAATGTATCACCAGAAACTGCTGATCAGCTTGATTAAAGCTTGCTCCAATTTCACCATACCACTTGTAGGATGAAGAGACGGAGCTGGGAGTTTCCACTCTAAAGAATAAAAATGAGCCGTTTCACTATACCAACAGTGCATGCCCAAAATGAAGCACGTCCGAGGTCTTTCGGGCCCGCGTGTGAAATCTGCCCTGTCAGCGCTTCCCTACATGATGGACTCATGTGCATGCTTTGTTCCCGAAACTGTTTTGGCAAAGCAGAACAGTTACGCGCTTAGTAATTTCTTTGATTTTGGTTAAATTGTTCGGTGCCAAGGAGGTTCATGAGACCCTGGACGGTTTGATAAAAAGTCTTTTGTTTCTTTCTCTAGCAACATAATAACATCATCTTGATAGGAAGTCCGGGTTGTGGGAAGACCACCGTAGGCAGAATTCTTGCCCAGAGACTGGGTCGACCAGCGGTCGACTTTGACAACGACTATCTGGAGAGGCGGTGGGGCATGACAGTGGCAGAAAAGGTTCAGAACGTTAATCCCCATATACGGGCAATTCACAGTTCCATGTACCACCAGGAGCTTGCCACAAAAGGCCATTTTTCGCAGTGTGTTGTGGGAAACAGTCGGCAAATTTTATTCGCCAGCTGTACATTGGGACCTTGAATTATTCTGGATGTTTGTATGCCAGGGAAGGAGATTCGCATGTGTAACTTGAGGAACAATTTTAAACCTTTCTTCTGTCAATGGCATGGAATGCCCCAATTTATCAAAATTTCCCAAAGTTGTCTACTGACATGCACTCAAACACAAAACGAGGCAAATGCACCTGTGCTTTTGTTGACCATAAACATGAGAAATGGCCTCACTGTTGTTGCAACCTCTTGGTGGGGCAGAGGATTGTGAATCACCCTTGTTCATTATTGAGAAGAGTGAAATGAGCAGTTGTGAATTCTGATTATTTTTGTTCCCAAGAGGATATTCAAACATCTAGCTTATTAATCTACCAAGGAGACGCCGTACTGTGGTGGCACTTCACTCATGTGCATACGATAAAACTTTAGGAGTAGGCACATTTTTGGAAGTCACAACCCTGTCTCGATTGAATAGGTGTTTGATGGGCACTGGCCTCTTGTGTACATATGTGGTGTCACTGCAGTAATGGCTTATAAGTCTGGTTTCTGGAATATCCTATAGTTGAGACATATGAAGTGTGTCAAGATGCCTGCCTATTCCTAAGCATGATGCAGGTGTCTTCAGGTTAATCTGAACCATCTTCGAGAAAGGGGGGACCGCAACTTGCTGTGAGTGACCAGATATCCGAGGCTTCTGGACATAACGTGAACAGATCCTATGAAATAGGTCTTGAGGTCACTTATAATATGTTATTCTGTTTTTAGTTTGCATTAAAAAGAACTAACAAAGGTTTCTGTTTTGTGTTATTTGCTGAGTTTGGCACCCTGATGAACATGGATATAAAGTTGTTAAAAATGTTGGTAGTTCTTTGTTCCACTGTGCGAAGGTCTTTTGAAGGCCTGTAACTCCTAGTTGGCTCATTAACTCATTACTCACTTTGTTAGATTGAGTTATATATGCTCATGACCTTGTCAGGCCAAGTCCTTTTGTTATTTTAAGAAAAAAGAGCTTTATTTTTGTAATTTTATTTGTCATACAGCTCACTGAAGTGGGAGGAGAGAGCTTTGTAGCTGCAGAGGGTGATGCCTTGTTAAACCTCGACCTGAGAGACAGCGTTCTCTCCCTGAGCGGGTCGGTGCCCATGCATCAGCTGGCCATGCGGCAAGCTGCCAAATCGGGCGTGGTCGTGTTCCTAGACACAGACTCGCACGACATCGCTGATCGCCTGCACAGGATGAAGGTGGACCGCATCGTGGGGCAGGCCCCAGGCGTCTCCATGTTGGACCTGCTGGCATACAGGCAGCCGTTCTACGAGGGAGCCCACGACATCAGGATTGTCTGCGAGAGGTTTCAGAACCCTGACGACGTCAGTGAGAAGGTTCTAAAGGCCCTCAGAGATTACCAGAAACCCCCCGGATACATTTCCACCCGAAGTGACCCGCAGACCAAAGACCCTGCTCCACCTCATCAGCTGCCCAATTTTCCCGACGTGGTCTTGCAGGGCCTGGCGAGCGACTCAGGGCTGTACATTCCCAACAGCGAACCCCCGCATTTCAGCCAGGGGGAATGGGCGCGACTCCTCGGGTGCACATACCAACAGCGAGCGCTGCGAATACTAGAAAAATGGATCCATGCTAGGGATTTTCACCCCAGCAATCTCGCCACTGCCATCCAGAGGGCATACTCCCTGGAGAATTTTCAGAACGAGAGTGTCGTCCCGGTGACTCATCTCCAAGATAATCAGTACATCATGGAGGTGTTCCACGGACCCACCGCATCCTTCAAAGATGCTGCTTTACAATTAATGCCCCAATTCTTCACAGAGGCTGTGCAGAGAGAGGGTGAAAAAGTAAGGTACCTGTACCGCTAGAAATTCCTTAATCACGTTGTCCTACTTGAATATTTACTAATTGTCACATCAGTGCTACAAGGTCGTATCTCGTGTACAAAACAAACAGCAGTTACGACCATGTTGCACTGACACAACGTTATTATGGTCACAAAAGGTTGGGATAATCTTCTAGCGAACAGCTATCTTGCTCAGCATTATCCTAAGGAAAACAATCTGTTCTTGTCTTAGCCCATTCCTATTTTCAAATTTATTGCACGCTGAATGGAATCCAAATCTAATTGATTTTTTTTCACCCGAGCACTGTTTTTTTTTTCTGCTGTTCGACAAACAGATTCATTAGAGATAAAATTGTTCATTTTATGATTAAAAAATTAGAAGGATTTCATTACCAAGATTTAACCAATTCTTATCTTTAAATCTCAGGTATCTGATATTGGTCGCAACATCGGGGGATACTGGGAGTGCAGTCCTGGATGGATTCAGTAAATTTGCTGGTTGGTTGCTTTATAGTTTCTGCTTTGAACAGTAATCCCAATGACATGGACTAAGAAAGTCATTAAGAGCCAGTATTCTTGTATGGCATAAAAAAATAAACCTATCTGTGGCTCACCGCAAGCCAAATGGGCAAAAAAGTGAAATTCAAGGCCTACTTGATTAAAAATGGGGAGTTTTAATGATGCAATCCCTTGGATATCTAATGTAATAATGCCTACATGATGTATACACCACTTTGCACAAATGTCTCATAGTGTTTCAGTGCTACTATCCCCTTCACAAGGAACTGTGATGTCAGTTCCATCAGTTCTTTGCCGTCACAAGGACCCATTTATGCTCATACTGGCATAGACGGGCAGGTAAAGTGCCTTGCCTATGGACATAAGCATCATCTCATTGGAGTTAATGCTGTGTATCAATACCACACCACGCAAGTCCTATGCTGTACGGGCCTTTAGTGGGACCAAGAGAGGGTGCAGTTTTCCCAGCAACAGAGGCTCCTTTGGTGGGAACTCCACTTACCTGATTCACAATGCATACGTTAGGTATGCATCACTACCAACAAAACGAACACTCCCTACCAGCATGGCTCTTTTCAACCAATGTCGGGGTCTCTGTTTCAGGCAGATAACCTCTGGACAATTGCACCAAGCAGACAGTGGCTACAATACTTCATAAAGGATCGAATGCGTGGCTGTGAAATTTTACTCTGCTCCAAAAAAGCCTGACTTCTGGCTGTTGGGGACAGCTAGTGAGCATTGGGTTTCATTTTGTCTCCAGGTGAAAGTGGTACTCTGGTGATGGTCTTGTACCCAGAGAATGGGATCAGTGAAGTGCAGAAACTGCTCATGACAGCTGCAACAGGGGACAACGTCCATGTCATCGGTGAGTTTATAAAACCCATGACCAAATCAGTGTTGCAGTCAGAGACTTTTGTGTATTACAGCATGCAAAAGGCCAGCATCACAGACAAACTCTGAAGATGCATGATGTGGGATGTAGTGGATAACAGGTGTGTGGGTTGGTTTGAGAGTGAAGGAATATAGTCCATGTTTTTTTTGCTTCAATGTTATCAGATAAGGCAATGAATGAATGTGCAAGCGCAAGTCTTAATATAACATACATGTACCGAAAGCTTCAGTGCAAATTTTGTTTTTGCTATCCACTCCATATGGCAGGCACTGCGTTGGACTTAAATTTCTGGTGTTATTGTCATGAAGTAACAATGAAGCAGTGAAGATAAGAAACCTACATTGAAGATGGGAATGAAGATTGGAGTAGTTTCCTCGACTTTTCCGCACAGAGAATAAGTGAACTTTAATAGCAGACTTGCCTTGTGCGTGTGTCCAGGTGTTGACAGCGACTTTGACTTCTGCCAAACTGCTATTAAGGGAATCTTTGCTGATGGCGCCCTCGCCGCTGACCTCCTGGCCAATCATGGAGTGCGGCTGAGTGCCGCAAACTCCATCAACTGGGGCCGGCTGGTACCCCAGGTCGTGTACCACGCCTCAGCCTATCTTGACCTGGTCCAGCAGGGGGTAGTTTCCATGGGGGATGAGTGCGATATCTGCATCCCTACTGGCAACTTTGGGAACATCCTTGGTGCCATTTATGCCAAGGTATAAAGAACTATTTTTAGTACAAAATATGAGTGCTTAATATGAGTGCTAAATATTTGTGGTAAATGTAATTGCTAAATATTAGAGCTAAATATAAGAAACTCAAATATGGGTGCTTAATCTCAAGTGCTAAATAATAAAGCTGAATATTAGTGCTAAATATGAGTTCTAGATGTAAGTGCTAAGTATAAGTGCCAAATGCAAGTGCCAGATTGCAAAACATCATGGGCAGGGTCAAGAGAGGATGGTAGAAATAGTACGGTTAAATTTCAAGAGGCACTGAAATTATTCACACTGTTTTCGTTTCAGACAATGGGCATCCCTTTCCGTAAGTTCATCTGTGCCTCCAATGAAAATGATGTTCTGATGGAGTTCATCCAGACTGGTTGCTATGATCTGCGGCATCGTCATTTGCATGTTACCATGGCGCCAGCCATCGACATCCTGAAGTCTTCCAATCTGGAAAGGTATCCACACTCGCCTTTATTGCAATGATGTGATCAAACTGCTATGAGTGGTACCGTGGAATCATTGCGTTGAGATTATGTACAACATTAGAATTTCAGTTCAACAGTTCAATCTTAGATGGAAAATGTCACACCAAAGAGACTCCTAGATAATTTGTTGGTCTTAATGTGATCAGAAGATCGTTTTTAATTGCCGTAAACATTGCCTTCTAAATTGTTGAGCAAAACCTTACTCTAGACAAAGGGACTAGTTCAAAACATCTTGTGGAAATGGTTCCATTTTGCATGTCGTCAGACAGGTAGTCAAGGAGGGGTACCAGTGCAATGCATATTTAAACACACCAAAGTGCTTCAGATCCTCAGCACCCAGTTATTCAAGTTTGCTCTGTGCATATTGAGGCAATTTGAAACACTCCTGTCATAACCAGCATGAGCCTAGACTGGCCTGAACCGGTATGTATTATGAATACAGCACAAACCAACATGGTGTACGTGCAGAGGTGTACAATGTGACTAGGGTGCTACAGCTGAGGGGGCACCTGGGGGTGCTCAACTTTTTTCAGGGGGCACTGAAAATAATTGAACTGATTTGGAAAGCCAGTTATATATATTTTTGTCCATTTTAAAATTTCAAATGGGGGGGGGGCACCGGGGGTCATGGGCCTCCGTTGGGGGGCTCATGGTCCCCCGTAGTTACACCACTGAGTATGTGTTTAAAAATTACTTGACACCAGCTTGTATTGTGTTACTTTGGGGATTCCCCCATAAGTTCTTTGTACCATTTCCTCATGTTAAAAACTGCACTTGTTTTGTTGTATTTTATCAAGATTTTGGATTAGCTATATGATAATTTATTTTTGTTGGATAGGTTTTTATTCCTCGCTAGTGGTGGTGATGGTGCAGAGGTCAGACGGTGTTATGAACAGCTTGCCAGGGAAAAGTACTTCCAGATCTCTCCAAAGGTAGGGCTGTGGCAAAAGTATTAATGGTGTAGAGTGATATCAGTGGACAGTAACGTCTGATTGGCCTAGGTTTAATGATCTTGACTACTATGCATGTTCAATTCATGGAACATTTCTTGAAGATTTCCTCCCATCAAGGCATAAAATATTAGTGGATGTCTCTCATGCAATTTTTGTTTAATACACATCTGTGTTGTTAGCCATTTCAAATCCGTTGTCATACATTAAATTGACTATCAGAAGGCAGGAGTGACAGTCTTATGTAATTGAAAAGATGTAAGTTTCCAACTTGTGTCCCTCTTTTCCCGAGTCTTGAACGCTGACCACCGGCCACACTCTATCTCCAGGTACTGGATAGCATCCAGAATGAGTTTGGCCTGACGGGAGACTGCTGTGAGGAGAAGGAGTACGCTGCTTCCATAAAGAAGACCCTGACCCAAACAGGTATGGCTCAAGGCTGGGTTGAAAGGTGCCTGTTGAAATCTGAGGTTGCCGTCGATGGCAGTACCCATTCACCTCTGGTCGTGTACGCAAAAATGCAGTCAAGTGATCTGTACATTTCTGTTGTGGAATGCATGCACTCCATGCATGCTTAGTCTGGAGATGGGGTTGAAACATACGTTCATGTCACTGCATGTAACAACATGCACCTGTATATGCACCTGTAGATGATGTGTGAGGCAAATGAGCGACTTACAGACTTAAGGTGATGAATTTTCTAAGACACAGTTCATTGTGCAACTTTATACTCTTCTGAAATATGCTAAAACAATTTGATGGTCTTTTGGGGGTTAAGTGTATGAAAAAGTGTGCTTTTTCAAACACTTAAAATTGGCCATGCGGTTGATAATTTTCTGGCAACAGAGGGCGCTGTTGTGGTGTCATCAATCAGAGAAGACCCTGCTCAATTCATAGGCTTTTCTGTTCACATTGTGAACCCAAAATTTGCTCATTGAAAACATTTCTGGGAGAAGGTTGTTCTTCGGCTTTTAACCCTCAAACAATGAATCACCAGAGAAATTTAGAATAGTAAAATATGAAAATTTCAGGAGCTTTGGAGCACAAATCCTCGGAAGATTGAGGTGTTCTCCCCCGAATAACATCTTAGATTTATGGGATTTCAAGCATTCTAGTACTCCCAGTCAGCTTATAAGCCCCACTCTATGTCGGCTTCTCTTCAGTCTCCTGACGACGGACAGAGCATACTGTCCGAAACGTTGAGTTCCTCGCGGCTCTTTTCAGAACCATACAGACTCACAAAGAGATCGTATCCTTGCATGGTGCTACCGCAAGCTTTCCATCTTAGATTTACTGCACCAAAATACCTTAAAACAGCAAAACAAAAATTGACACTGAGGTCAATCGAAACAAGAAAATTGCATTTTCAGGGATTGCAGTGCAAAAAATTGTGTTGCATTCACCTTGTAAATGATGTTTCTTCTACGAACAAGTCACGCCACTTTGTGGCCAAGTTTGTTTTTACATACTTTGCCATCCCAGACCAGTGAAATTATTGTCTGCGGATTGCTCTGCATAGGAATCAACACACAATTGTTGTTACAGTGGCTGGTCACAGTATGTTGACTTTGTCTTTAGGGTATTTAATGGATCCCCATACTGCCGTGGCCAAAGTGGTGGCTGACCGGCGCCGACCGAGAGACGTCCCCCTCTTGCTCTGCTCCACAGCCCACTACGGCAAGTTCCCCGTGGACGTTGCCAAATCCCTGGGTCGCCGCCTTGTCTCCTCAACCGATAACCCTAGGGAGAGTCTGCGCGACTTGGAGACGGTTGCCTCTCGGCCAGGGGTCCACAGAGAGCTGAGGGCAGTCCTGGAGAGACCAAGGTTGCATCACAGGACACTGAGAGCTTCACGGGACGAGATAGTCGAGGAAATGGTGGACTTTGTTTCTAGTGTAACTCGTTGAATCAAGTATACACTCATATATATTTGTTTCCTCCTGAAATGTTTTCTTGAGCGTCATGTCTTTCCAGAACAAAAACAATATAGTTTGGGTCCTATGCTAGTCACAGAATGTGTGCACAGAGTTTTCAAGTAAGCGAAACAATACTTGTGCTAAATCAGTAAATACCAAAATTAAATTACTACCAAAGCTAAATCAAACACTGCCAAAATGAAATCAATTGATACCAATGCTATTAAATTAATCAATACAAAAGCAAAATTACTTAACACAAAACAAAATCAATCAATACCAAACAATTAATCAATACCAAACAAAATTAATGAATATTAAAATTTAATTTAGATTTAATCAATACCAAATTTAGTTAAAAGTAAAATTGAATTCATTAAACAGCAAGTGTAGGTTATTACCAAAGTTAATTTTATCATTACCTAAGTGAAATTTACAATCATGAATTCTTCAGTAGTGGGGTCAAATTAAAAGAATATGTATATCTATTGTCTTAATAAACAACAAATATAAAAAATAAGAAACGAAAATAAATTTAAATGCTGCCGCAAACTATTTACTGATAGAAATGTCCTTGTAGGATCACTCTCTGCCACTGAAGAAGGCTCGTCCAGATCTCTTTCTTTTTTTCGACTGGAATGCATACAAAAGAGGTGCTACTAGTCACGGTGCCTCATAATAAAAGGCACAGGGCACAAAGTGAAGTGTTTGTGTGTGCAGTGTACTCAGCAGAAAGCATTTTGTTACAACCTTGGAATGTGACTGCCAGGTGTGTGTGCAAATATTGCACTGGCCAAAATGCCCTGGGTGTGCTTTGGTTGCCCTTTTCCTTTTCTGTAATCACCACTTTACACAAGTGAAGGGATTAACATGGTGGGTAATAATGCACAGTGATGGCCTAATGGTCTCCATAAAGCATTGATAAACCTGCTTTATTCTTAAAGCAACTAACATCACTGGGCAGTATGGGATTGTAACTGCAGTACATGTACCGTGCATTTCAAGGGAGATCATTTTGCCGCCTGTGGAGGGATATTTTAAACTATTTAAAAATGTGTCAGTATGGGTCATGCTGTACCTAAGACGAGCATCGACACAAATGTGCTGAGAAGTTATCCAGCCTGTAAAGAATTCAAATTTCTCTTCTGAGAAGGAAAAAAAAAATTCATATTTTTGACCCTGGGAACTGTGAGCTTGACGGTACCTTTTTTTTCACTGCCAATGCTGAAATTTGAATTCATTGACCTTCATCCTGGTCAGCGTATTCTGTGAGGAGACTATCCTACAGGCAATGGTATATTGTAGTTTTCAAGTCTGTGAATTCTGCCCTCCCTTTCCATTTGACAGTGTGCATGTCAAATTTGCACATCGGAACACTTATTATGTTAATCAATTACTGGATGGTGACTTACATGTGGCCCGTCCCCCCCTCCGTTTTTGTCTTCTTTCCCCCTTCCTGTCTTTTTTAGGGTGGGGGAAAAAAGGACAAAACAGCTACTGATGAGCAACTATTTGGTCATCGAGTGCCGTCAGTTTTCCTTTGATCAAAAATATTCTTTATAATCCGTTACAATATCAATTGAGCACTTGCCAGGTTTTTTAGAGATTCGAAGTAATTTTGGCGATGTGGAACGGTTACACAGTATTGTGCGTGGTAGAGTTTCTGACATCGCCCAACGTGCACATGTCCTGCCCCACTACCATTCCGTGGCATTCACCTTGTATATGAGGCCAGTGAACAAAACCAGAATGGGCGTACAAAGCACTCCGCCAAACCAGAACTAAGGCTCTCCAGTTGGAGGTTGCATGCTTACACAATGCGGGTTCACGCCTGAGCGACTTGGAATTATTAAGCTGGTGGGTTTGGAAGCGAAGTTTGCATTCCAGAGAGGGCATTTCATTTCTCTCCATGGGAATGCCTGGAGTGAATGTGTTTGTGTGAAGTTTTGACAGGACTTAACTCACTGGAATAGTGCCAGACCAGTCGGGGGAATCTAAACTCCGGAGAGTACCCGCAGCGTTAGTGTCAACAGTGCATGTCTTAACACTGAGCCTGAACCAAAGACTGGGTGGTGATAGTTCACCCTAAAAAGTTCACCTGTGCTTCCGGCAGTTTGCCAACGTGTGTGTTTGGATGGTTTTAAAGTGCTGTGTAGCAGAACACCGTTATATATGTGCAGGGTGTGTTTGGAGTACAGATTTACATAATTTTGTTCTGATGAGAGAGTGAACTGTACAGAGAAGCCTGAACCCACACACCAGGACTGAAGTAAGTCAGAAATGTATCTTTCTATGAACTTTTAATAATCTATCATTTAACAGAATGTTCACATTCCTATTCTCTGTCCTTAGTTGTGAAAGACTTGGACTTGTATGGATATACATGTCTTTGTCAGTGTGTTTTGCCTGGAACTTTGGAAGAGTATATGTGAATTTTTAGCGAACATTAAAATGAAAATCTAATGAAAACAGTTCCAAGTTAAAAACATTGGTTATTCTATCTTCAAAGGAAATGATTTCTCATGAATTTGTTCTAGTTCTGTAGCTTGTGAGTGTTTGGTTTGCCATGAGACCCTTTTCGTCTAAAATGTGTGTAATATGTCAGTTTGCAGTTTGTCAGAATTGGTCATTTAATCATGTGACACTTTTGCTTCAACTGTTTTAGCCATTTTTCTTTTTCACTTAATGATGGTGCCATTAAATGTATCAATCTGTTAAAATTGTGTGTTCCTTTTAACACAAGGGTTTTGCCTTTTTTTGAGTAATTGGTAGCAAATTTGTTGTAAGTGGTCTAAAAGTCTTTGGGGAATAACAGTTTTATTCCAGACAGCCCCCTTCAGGATAGAAAGTCTAATTTCTTTTCTAAGATAAATATCCGCTTGCACTGTTGCCAAACTGAATCAATGTTATAAAAAGGGCCAGAAAAATATTTAGTGAAACTTCAACGCGATTTACTGGTTTCTCAGAAAAAAATCAAACTGTTGGGATCCAGTGACTATTTCCCCTTTCTTAAATGTGCACATTTAAAGAGTTTCGCTTGCTTAGACAGTGGCTTAATCTATGAAAACTCGCCTCTGGATACATTGTTATGTTGAAATGATTTGCATTCAGTATTTCTGCTTCTCACAGGGCGCACAGAATGTTATCTACAAACTTCTTTAATCCTCCTAAATATTTGTACACTTACAGATGTTGGTGGTTGATGGGACTTACCATGTTTTCTTAGAGTTGAACACATACTCTGAATTTTTAAACTACCTGCAATATCCTTTGTAGAATACTGTACCTTGAAACAGAAGTGTGAACCTTTAAGATTTGTGTATGAATTGACCAAATTTTTCACTAGGATTAAAATTATTCAATTACTGGCATGTTTTTGCAACTGACAGGCTCACAGAAATCTGTTTTCCAGTATTGGATGCAGTTTTAATAACTGAAGTTCTTCAATGTTTCTTGTTAAAGAGAATTTTTAAATTGTCTCCTGTTTAATTTTATTTCTTATATTTTTGTTTATTTTTTTTCAGAGTGAACAAAAATTATAAGAAATTTGGCCAGCAGGAATAGAACTGAACTGGTGCTGTACTTTCCAACTAATTTGGAACTCCTGGTAGGTGTGCTCCTACAAGAAGATGCCACATGAAAGAGTGTCTAGGAAGTCGGGGCACCAGGGTGCTAGGTCCCCATCATCAAACCAACAACCAACCCGTGCCATGTCACCCAACCGGAGGGTGACTCCTCGCTCTCCTTCACCCGATCGCAGGAGGGCCCGCTCACCATCCCCAGCGCGGAAAGCTGTTCGCTCATCGAAGGCACAAATCAGTCGTGAAGAACGCTCCTTCTCTCCGACCCGCAATGGCTTGCGTTCCCCAGGCCAGATCCGCAAGGCCAACCGCTCCAAGTCACCAGACGACAAGGGGTACCACTCCCTGCCCTCACGGAGCCATAAGGGACCCTACACGTTGGAGCGCTTCGCCATGATGAACTTCAGTATCAAGCCTGCCAAACGACCCACGGTCATCGCAAAATCAGGCTCGGGTGGAGGAATGATTTGGCAGCACACCACTGAACCAATTCAGAAGCCGTTGCTCCAGCATCTCTCCGGGAACCAGCAGCTGTCTGGTCGAGCATGCTCTGCTTTCAAAGATATCCTTTCTCAAGATGGTTGTAGGATTGCTTGTTTGATGGAAAGAGTCCACACTGACGCGAATCGTTTCATTTTCCAAAAATTTGTGTACGTAGAAGCATGAAGTGAAATGAAATTTCTTGTGGTTTGCTTGGTTGAACTTGTGAGTGGAGTGGATGCAGACTGGAATGAGGTTGACCTCTCGAGGGGGACAAGGGTTTCACACATTTTTGAAGGGGAACCGAAGCAAATAAACTGCAACTCTGCACTTTTCAAGTTTTCATTTGGCGGAGGGGTCATGGGGATAGACATGCGTGCAGTACAGGGCACTACAGTGTCGAAGACCCTTTTCCTCGGGTTACTGTATATTATAAAACCATGCTAGATACAAGAACGCTGTGAGATTGAAACACCCACCGACCCTTGCTTCAGACTGTAATTTCTTTCAGGACCCTCCATATGGAGTGCATCAAAGGATGCAACAGCTCTTTGAGCAGACACTCAAAATGGAATGGGTAGTAAAGGTGCACCAGATGATGGAGGAGGCATTACCTGCTCGTGTTACAACTGCTTTTACTGAGGCCCTTCTTGGAATGCATGGGATCTGGTTTGTGTATAATGTGTCGGATTATGAAGGTCTGTGCCGTGAAGAAATAAGGGTATTTTATGTGGCAAATGTTGAAGTGTCTTGGGGAGGTCTGCTGGGGCAGGAACCAAAGGGCAGATTGTACAATGGCAAGTTGGCACTTACTCGGAGCAGTAAATTGAAGTTGGTGGTGCACAACAAGGACAGGCTTTTCAAGGGAGTTTAATTCTTACATCAGTTGCAGGGAAACTGCAAAATATCTTGTCTTTTCAGTTGTGCTTTTAACTGGCGGTTATTTTATCCATGACCCATTTACTAATGGTTCTTTTTCAAATGTCACTTTCATCTTTATGGCATTCTCGGGTTGTGTTTATGCCTCTGTGTGCATTTTGCTTGTAGTCAGCTTTCCTTAACTGGTCACACCAATCATGAAGTACATGGGCGACTACCCTACCAAGAAGGCAAACCTTCAAGGAACTCTCATGACAGATAAGATCTTCAGCGATGCTATGAGATATGAGGAACTCAGGGATGAGATATATTGCCAAATTATCAAGCAGTTGACCAACAATATTCTCAAGTAAGCCACTGTGATACAAAGCAAAGTTTCAGCAAATCTGATCAAAATCAGTCAGGCATACGTGGGATTTGCCAGGATTTTTTTCGGTGGGACGAAAACACTTTTTTCCAGTGACGAAGATTTTCGGGGATGGGGGGAGGGGAGTAGTCAGGAATGAACTGAGTAACTTTACAGTGGAATTGAGGCAGTTTCCTCTTTTTTCTTTTCTTTTTTTTCAAGCAAATTGGGAGATTTTCTTCCCCATTCTTCTCTCTTTTGTCCATTTTTGTTTTCCTTTTTTCATTTTATTTCTGGGGGGGTTGAGCCCCTCCTTCCTCCCCTTTGTGACACCCATGTAGGCAAACCCTGTTGAGCTCAATGGTTGAATGACATAGCCTTTTCTTTTACAAACAGGACATTGTGGTTTTGAGTTCCATCTGAGTTTCACATTTTGATTTCACGATGTAATTATACGAGTGCAAATTTTAATCTCTTAGAAAAGTTTCGTAGGAATTTGTTATAGTTAAAAAATAAATGCAGGATAGTGACAGAAAATAGTCAAAGTCCGAGCCCATGCATGTCTCCTTGCAATTAGACTGGGTATTTTATGCATTTAAATACCATTGCTGATGGGCTTGCTCGCTGGCAAAGGTGATTCACATTTGATGAAAACTGGTTGTGGATGCTTTGTGCTCCATGCTCATGAACAAGTGTTCCTTGGTTTACCCCACATGGGGGGACAAAGTCAAGTTTCCTGTTACCTTTCCTTTTTTTTTATCAAGTGTTAGTGAGGAGCGTGGTTGGGAGCTGATGTGGCTGGCCACAGGCCTCTTCCCCAGCAGCGACACCCTCAGGCCTGAACTGACCAAGTTCCTGCGCTGGGCCCAGCACAAGCTGGCGGAGGACTGCCAGAGGCGGCTGCAGATGGTCAGCGGGCTGCCGCAGCAGCGCAAGTACCCACCCCACTGGGTGGAGGTGGAGACCATACAGCACCACTACACCCAGATCTTCCATTTCATCTTCCTGCCTGATGACAAGTCCAACGCGGTAAAGGCAACACTCACACACAAAAACTCCCCTTGACAGCTCTACATTTACACAACAGAATGCAACACATGTGAAATAAGAACCTTGCTGAACGCAACAGAATGCAACACATCTGAAATAAAAAGCATGCTGAATGGGACAGCTGATGAAATGAGAACCCTGCTTAATGCACTTAAATGCATTTTCGTTGTATCACTCTGCAGTGCACTGGATAAACACCAGCCTTGGCCCTTTCAAGTTTGTGTTCTCTGCCAACAGTATATAGTTTTTCACCATTGCATGGTGCATTTCGTTGCCTTTAGCAAGGATGGAGTTTGTACTGTAGAAGATTTCCATCGAAAACAGGAATTAACTTTTGCACATTATTTATGTTTTTTCTTACCCTATCTCCTTGCTCTGAACCATCCCGATTCCTACAAAATCCTGCACTCTAGATGCTCATAATGTTTTACTGTAACTCTTCCGGGACCTCAACACCTTGTGAGCTGTACATTCATTTATCTTGGAAAATCCCTGAAAACGTTTTTTGTTTGGAATCTGGAGGCCGGGTGTGACTCTCTAAAGTGTAAACAAGTTTTACATTTCCATATCTCAACTTAAACCGATTAGCCCATTCACAACCAGGACATACCTAATTGAAGTTAATTCCAAATTTTCTTTACTCCTATAATTAGTTGAGGTTTAGCTAGTGTTTGACTTGAATTTTCTAAAGCTTGTTAATATGTTGCTACTTTTCTCTTGCACAGTCCTTCCAAGTTTCATCCACCATGACGGTTGCTGACCTGTGTAAGAGCATTGCGAATCGACTGGGGCTTACATCCAACAAGGGATTCGGTCTCTTCTTGATAATGTCCTCTAAGGGTATGGAAAAGTCACTTGAATCCTTTGTCACCTGAGAAAGTCCAAGAAAACTTGTTTCAGCATGACTGGATTGAATAGGGATAAGGTCCAAGGAGGTTGTTTGGGTAAAACCATCTGCATGCAAATGGTTTTCCAAAGTGTCAATATGCAAAATGCATCCAAGAAAAAGTGGACCAGCATGACCAGATTTTTGAACTGACGAACGACGGCGGGAGGTGAACAAATTGCAGGCACACATTGACAGAATTTGATCAGAGGTCCCTAGAAGGTTGGACCTAAGGCCTTTGCCAGTTCCTGAGGCCTTTTCTTGATGAAATCATATTTCATCAATTGTTTCAAATTCTTACATCTTGCAGAGATTTGTGGATTGGATAATTACTTATTATAAGTATTATTTTGAATTGCATAATTCCTGGATAATGTAACATGTTGATCCAGCAGACAAAGAAAAATTCACCTGGCAATTGTACTTATGGAATAAATGTGTGCTTTACCAGTCTTAAATGAACTGAGCGGCCAAGGACATATTTACTCCATTCATGAATACCTTTGGAATCATGAAGTCCAACAAATTTTAAAAAATAATAAATACCCAACAATTTGTCCAATAATTTTATTTTTCTTTCAAACACCCCTGTGGAAAATTTTCGGTCACATGATTTTCGATGGTCAGCGTTCAATTTACACAGATGTACGTGGAAATGCGCATACCTTCGAAGTCTGTCAACATTCTGGCATACATGAAACTGCCAATAGAAGTACACAAATTAGACAATGGTGCGCTTCCTGAAATGCATTTGCCCGTTATGTTACGTCATGTGAAAAACCTTTATAGCCAAGTCATGGTATGTTTCTCTCACAAACAGTCATAAATTGTTTTCTTCTGAGGAGATTGGCATGCACATGGCACGTGCTGTGTGAGGTGGGGCTCAGCCTGCTGATACTTTATCAGATGTTTAATACCGGTCATGTGACAAGCTCTCGGCCAATAGGACTGGCTACCCTGTCTTAAGTATTTGACAAATTTGGACTTAATTCCTTTTGTTTTGGTCCAAGGAAGTTCAGTCACAGCGTCTGTTTGCAAACAGTTGTTGAAACTAACAAAAACCTTCTAGTTTCAAGTTCTAAATGGGATGAAGTGTTTCATCATTTGTTAAAATCATTTTTAGTGAAGTATAGTGTCGTGGTATGTTCAGTGTTTCACATTTCTGGAAATCTTATTCTCCTTTCAGTTGTTGCTCTGCATGAGGAGAGTGACTTCTTCTTTGATGCCCTGCGGCGACAAATCGACTGGGAACAGGAAGGTATCAAATCCGCTAGAAGTGAGGGTAGGCGCTCAAGCTCTGCTTGCTTTTCTCGTAGTTGTATGCCCTGACTTCTATCTTGCATTTTGCTTTTTTTTTTTTTTAACAGGCAGTAGTAAAATCACAGTTTTGTGATTGACTTGGGAACTGAATAGGAATAGCAGTTGTACACAGCACATTTTTAAAACTGTTCCTTGTGATTTCGTTGCCAAGAATCAGCATTAGTGCTACACAAGCAAGAGCGTCGTAAGCTGAAGTGCACGTCTGAAAGTGGCTGAAACTCACCCTGCGCATAGAGCATAGTCAGAGCTAATTGGCCTGCACCTGTGCAAGTGGCACATTTAGTGAAGTAGATGCAAAAAAAGCTAAAACCAGAAGTAGAACTTGTACATTTTAGTTTATCTGAGGACGTCACGAATAGAAAATAAAAGAGTATGAATTTTATGCCCTGGATTATGTCCCCATCAGCTGTGAAAATGTCAAAAATAATTACTGTTATTATAGAGCTTTTTTCGTCATTGTTGCCATGCACCCACATTCACAAGCAAATATGCAAATGCACCTAGAGAACTTAAAACCTCAGCAACTTGCTGTTTGATTTTGAAGGCAAATTTGTGCACCTGGTTTGGGAATAATAGCTGAAGCTGAACCTCTTAAGCATGCATGCCGAGTTCGTTTCTGTACACATTCAGGTGAAAAATCAACCGCGCCCACCCTTTTCAAAATTCTGCACCAAAATTGTTAGCGCATGCATGCTATGTGTGCTTAAGCCTTTGTCCAAAAATGTGGTTGTTATATGCTCGTGGAGGCCACACTGGCTTCTAGTGGCTAGTGGGCACAGACATTACCCAAGGATGTGTTGCTCCTGGATTCAACCAGTTTCTTGGGATGTCGCTTCGGCCATACAGAGCCATCAATATCTACAGCACTCTTACAGAGTCCATAATTTATAATGTTGGCTGGTGTAATGCCGTGATGATTAAGCAAAAGCTTGAAAAGCACATACAATGCTTTTACTTGTACAGGAGGGTCAGTAAGACAAAAATCAAAAGGGATGTTCAAGTTTTGGATTTGTGGACGTTCACTCAGGCAATTTGCTATTGGATGATGTGACTTAAACCAACAAAACAAGTCTTTACCTCCATTTGGACGAAAAATTCTGACTTTTGAGCGAATGATGTTATCTATTTATAAGTCATAGATGAATCTGTTATTGAATTTGAATGTCAGAAACCAGTAAATGCGTGAGAAATGCTGGTGTACAAAAGTTTTAACACATTCACCCAACATAAGGCCTTTCAATGGCCTCCTTGGTGAGGGATACAAAGCAACACAAGGGTAGAAAGAAGAGGTGAATCATAGAAAAGGAAGGCACGTCATGTTCAATGTGGAAGCTGCATTTTCATGTTACACTTGAAAGGGGTATGGTGTAGTTGTTTGGAAAACAACATGAAGACAGAATTCTTATTAGACTTTTTCATGGACAGACACTTCGGAAGTACATTTTGGAAGTAGGATTTGTTAAAATATGACTATATACGAGTGCAATTGAATGGAAGGGTGATCGTACAATATCAACTGGAGATTGTGAGAAACCGGCAAGAGACTATTAGGCGCGCATTCCATAATAGTATTGGATTTCTTGCATCATCTCATCTCAGCATCAATTCCTTTGTCTCCTGCCCCTGCAGAGAACGACATGCCTGTGCTTGCCTACCAGATGTTCTTCCTGCGCAAGATTTGGACGGATGTGGTGCCCGGGGAGGACTCCCAGGCTGACACCATCTTCCACTACCACCAGGAGCTGTCGAAGTTCCTACGTGGCTACCACCACTGCCCACACCAGGAGGATGCCGCCAAGCTGGCTGCACTACAATTCCGGGCCCGCTACGGCAGTGACAAGGCAGAGCTGCAGAACGTAGCCAAGAGGCTGGCCGACTTCCTGCCCAAGGACTTGCTGAGGAGTAGATCCGTAGACGACTGGAAAAGAGTGAGTTCTGGTTCTCAGTTTTTCTCGTAAAATATGAAACATTAGGTGTTTTCAGATAATAGACATTTTGTGCTCCGTCACATTTATCATTTGCTATTTTCATAAGTGTACCAAACCAACTGATATGGTGGCTGATATAATTGTTTCAGGAGACAATTGATCAGTGTTGATCGAAGCTTTGCATAGGGAAGAAGTGTACAGAGAGGTATTGCTCACGGGTGCACCATGGAAGGCTTGTCTTTTGGGAGAAGTGCAAAGGTCTTAACGTTTCAAACAGTTTGTTCTACTTAGTAATCTTCTGTAACTCCCTGAAAATGAACAGAGCTCATTGTTTGAAACATCAAGACCTTTTCTCACCGATGATTGTTTCCAGAGCCAACATTTCTTCCTGAATAGATTGCTCTCCGTGGTGCATCCTTGAACGAAACATCTCTGTAGACAGTTCATGATTTAAGCAGAATGCATTAGAGCCGGTTAAACATAGGTTTCTGTTTGGGGATTTCAAGAACAGAGTTGCGTCAGTTTCCGTGTAAGAATTATAAATGTAAACCGCCTGGCTTCCCCATATGTGGAGGTAAACAAGGGGTAAACACCTGTTAACTGTCATTGCGGCCAGTGCAGAAGTAAGCATACACAGGAATTTGGATGATTTAAGCAGAATTCATTTGAGCCTCTTAAATGTACCTAATTGCTTTCAGATTTCAGAGTGTCTTGTATGCAGTGTAGAGGGCAAACACAAACACCACTTTGATGCCACAAAGCATTCTAGCCAAATTTGCCAAAGTTGTAAAGCTTTCTGAATATGCAGTATTTTGCGCTGTCTGTGATTTCACATTCATGTTTGTGTTCAATTTCACATCAAGATTACATCAGCCTTTACACCCCTGAGATCATGTGCTCTGGTATAATTTTGAGGGTGCGGTTGCATGTATACCAAATGTATGTAATGTCTGAAACCCTGACAGAAAAGGGGGGTATTTCAAAAGTGAGTTCATTGCTTGAAGGGTTGACCTGCAATGGTTTTTGGTCTTGCTCCAGGCCATCATTTCCACTTACAACCAGCCATGGATTACCAGCATGACCAAGGATGCGGCCAAGGTGGCCTTTCTGAAGATAATGTACCGCTGGCCCACGTTCGGCTCGTCGTTCTTTGAAGTAGCCGTAAGTGTTCATTTCAGCAACCAGATTTTCTCAAAGTTGGTCAGGGTAGCATTATTGATATCAGATTTAATAGAGTCTGGGTTCTGATGGGCAGGGGATCAGACTAAATGAGAAATCCTCGAGACACATGTGGCTCCCATCACTCTTTGTTTTGTTCTGTAGAGAGTGAAATTTCTTGAACATTTTATTGCCATTTCTCTTTACAGAAAGTAACAGGGTCTGAAAACACGGAGAATGTACTTCTGGCGATCAACAAGCAGGGCGTTCTCATCATCGATCAACAGACCAAAGTGAGTCTGCATTGTTTCTCATAAAATTATCAGCTAAAAGATTTTTGTTGCTACCCTTGATGACTACAGGACCACAAAGATGGAGGTATCAAAATTGACCCGTCTTTCCCCTCTCCAGTGAAATGTCCATCACTACCTCCCCCCACATGACCCATCCCCTAGCTTGAGAAGCCCCAACGCTGGTCAAATCTGGAATTCTCAGTATGCTGAATTTCCAGATGTCAAAATGACCCATTCCTTAGCTTGAGAAGCCCTAACGCTGGTCAAATCTGGAAATTGTCAGTATGCTGAATTTCCAGATGTCAAAAGCATCAGGGCTTGACTTACTGGAGGTACCCATCCCCCAGTCACAGTGGCCAGTCAAAATTGGAGACATACCCTTTGCAAATGTACCCACCACAGGGTACTTCTGGGATTGCAGTATCCTCTTTTGAAGTATCAAGAAACCTTTGAGCCAATAGAGTTCATTTTGCAAAACTAACTATTCGTTTTGTACCATTTTTCAGGAGGTCCAGAAGACCTTTCTGTACAGTGAGATCCAGGGCTGGTCCGGATCAGAGCAGAGTGACTTCTTCTTAACTGTCGGTAACGAGAGCAAAGGAGTCATGAAACTCCACTTCAAAACCAAGCTGGTGAGTTTGTCAAGGAATTCATTACTCTGTGTGAAAGTGTCTCTAGGGTTGCATTGGAACATTGGTGGAATGTAATAGTAGGCCTGCACTCATGGACAACCCTATTTGTGTATTTTGTTCTAGTTGTGGGAAACATTTTACCTTGTATTTTCACTTGCACGTTTGAGAAAGCACTGGAATGCAACTGGTGCTCTTGACTGAAACACACTTACTCTTCATTAATTCCCACATACATATTTATTGCTTCTTTCGCAATGCGTAATTCTTAGCAGGTTTAGTTTCTAAACCATTTCCTGCGGGGTGCTTTTAAAAATGCACTGCCTACATATGGACGATTTTTCAATATCTTCAGTTTTCTTTTTTCCTGAACGGCTAAACCCCATGGAGTGTTTGTCTGGTGTCTACTCTAATCCGACGGACAAAATCTATTGATGCCAGATTATTGCAGCCAGGCCTGCCACCTTGTAAAAAGAGCCCAGATTGTGTGGTGTTACATAGGTTTCTTTTGTTCCCGAAGCTGGCACAGTGCGCTTCTGGCGTCTTTTCAATACAGGCTAGATTAGCGTGCAGCGGTGTTGTATCGCTCATCTCTGGAGTGCTGGAGTGCTTTTGTCCCCAGTGGTGAATGCCACAAGCAGTAGTATATTTTTCAAAACAATGACAGATTTCCTCTGCTATTGACTACTGAAAAAAGTATGGTCTTTTGTTACAAGGCCCAAGCTCTTTTGTCCGATTTCGGGCACCACGGCTATGCATACAAACCCAAGGTACCCCAAAACGGGCTCCCTGGCAGGATATGGTTAAAAGAAAATGAGAAGCATTACATTGTTTAAGAAATCCCCCCTTGACCAGTAGGTATTTACCTCTTAAAGTTTGCATTCTGAGACATTTTCAAACTCTATTTATCTTGCAGTGTTGTCAGATTTCTCAGTTGCAGATTGTTGAAAAAATTATCATCAATATGTCACAAAGTGTCCAAATGATAAATTACATTTGTATTTGGGAGCCATAAGCTTTGGCTGAATTCCTCATAGAATGAAAAAGGTAGTTGACTTCAAGTTTTACTGGCTGGCATCTGTTTCCTTCCAGGGCTATAAGATGGATGACCTCTTGACCTCCTACGTGCGCTACAAGCAGAAGAGGCCAGCGTCGGGCCAAAACTCCACAAAAGCTAAACTGTTATAATACAGTGGAAGGGAGCACATAGTTTGCTTTATTTGTACTGGTGAAAAGGGCCTAGTTTTTGTGCCAAGCTTTCATGTCATACTGGAACCAATTTTAAAGAGCAGCTGTGTAATATATTTGCTTTAGCACAGAAAATTGTACCGCACAAAAAAAAAATTTGCTAAGCCCAGTTATTTTGAACTCCCTTGGGGAGTCCCCCACCCCCCAGATTGTTAAAAAATCATATCCCACGTCATCGTGGTCAATAATTGTTAACTATATCCCTTCTGTAAATTTTATATTGTTTCCACAAGACACGATGAATGATGCTAGAACAACTCACAGTCTTACCCCATTTATCAGTGTGGTACTTCTATTCCCAAATGCTTGATTTTGGGATAACGGCAGTCAGTCCATTGGCACAAACAACTCTTAGGCAGAAAGTATTTTATCAGAACGTTGAAAACAGTGACAATCATTTGTATAAATCGGAAGTTTTTATTCTACATGTATTATTTTTCACAGATTTTGTATCAAATTCAGTATTGGAGCAACTCTTGAAAAGTCAGTAAAAAAATTGCCAGTGATAAAATACTTTTGTAATACTTAAATGCTTACACTTCACGTGTACTCTGCTTTTTGATTTGCCAAGTGTATCATTTTGTAAACTGTTGAAAATAACGGATAAAATTTCTGTGCATTGTGTATTTTACTGTTTAGCAGGGCATACTAAAACTGTAGTCTGTACTTTCTTGAAGGTTGAGAAGATATCAGATTGCAGCTGACAGAATTGATTTGTTACAGGGTTCCAGTTCAGACTGTACAATTTTGAAGGGTCTAGAAACTATAGAGGATAGAGGTGTTTCAGGGAATCATCCCGGAAAACCTGGGCAAGTTTGAGATTTGGCGTAAAATTTGTTCTTTGAGAAAATGTTTTTTTGGAGGAGGTAAATGTACTGATTGAAGTGAACTTTAAAAAGTTGACACTTCATCTTCTGTTAAGAAGTCCCATTTCGGCTGTAAATAGCCACGACTATTTATTGAGCACATGCCTTTTATCTATAAAGTGTGTATTTTAATAATGCTCTTCTTTAGCAGTTGCATAAGTGGAAAATTTATACCAGCAAAATTTACTTATTCAGAGCCGTAGAGGCTATGCTTATCTTGTAACCCAGTACTCCAAATACTTACTCAGTATTATACTTAGATACAGAGTCAGAGACAGGTGAATTTTTGTTCATAAGACCTCTAACTTGGCAACAAAAAGGCACTGTGTTCCATGGTTTGTATATACAAGTACTTCTGAGCTTGACTAATCAGATATCAGGGAAGGTGTACACACAGTGTCATGCAACCGATACTAATTCAGAAACTTTCATCAATTTAGTCGCGGCTGGGGCCCAGAATATGTTCCTCAGTGTGACCTACCTGGTGGGAGACATGAAAATGCGTGGTGGCCACTCACATACCGGTCCCAAGTGACTGGTCTACTGTTGTTTGCATCGCATTTTAGCTAATGAACATGTGCTCAAAATGATGGATACAAAAGTGGACTGGTCAAGTGGAAGCAGAATGTTCGTCGTGGCCTAGCCAGTTGCTACTGGAGGGATACAATTTCTAACCAACTATTAGATCCACATTCTTGGGGCTGAAAGGAAGTACAAACCAAAGTTATTCGTCCGTGGAAATGGGATAAATGAATAGAAATAACATAAAAAATCCAAAAACATGGTGCTAAAATGATAAAAAAGAAAAGGCTCCAAGTAAAAAAAGCTGAATATATGTTGCTACAACTTACAATTCAAAATTTGCAAGTCAAGGTAGTTAAATCCCTCAAGAACCACACTCCTGTAGACAGAGCCCTTTGAAGAATAAAGAATGCTCAACAGTCATACTATGAAACACCAAAGTGTATTTCTTGTGTAGAAGAGAGAGAACTGAAGCATATTATACAAGATCGCGTCTTGTGATGATTCCAATTAAGCATTGATTCACATGCTAAGAACAACTTTTTTTTCAGACAACACCCACATTTTCTGCAGGGTGAGCTATGAGGCCGTTGTCTATACAGTGTGCTTTGAAGGACACAAGGTACCGCCTCCAACAGAGGTGTTCCTGAAATAAAAGTAATCCAAGTGACAAACCGTGATCAAACAAGTGTGAAATTTACATTATCTCTTTACAGATTGATTGATTTACTGATTTGAAAGCGGAAAGCATTCAAATTTACACTTGGAATTTTAGTTAAAAACAATCAATGCATCCAATGATGACAAGAAGATATAAAGCTGGCATGAGAAATTAATCCTTAGAATGGAACAAAAAGAAGCAAAAATTCACAAATGTGAATTTAAAGAACAATAAAATTCAATGATAGTTATTAAAAGTAAGAAATTAATAGAAGGAAATATATGAATAAACAAACATCAAAATAATGTCAAAGTTATGTTAAAATAAAGTACATGCAGAAGTTCCCCACTCATGAAATGCTGAAAGAGTCTGAGATTAGTTCACACACCTGTTACTGAAACTAACCCGTTAGAAAGCTGAAAAGTAAATGAATAACCCTGAAAAATACAGAATATTAAATGACTCTTGGGAAAGAGGACTGGCTGGGTGATAATTATACATGTTTATACTGGTATATTTAAATTCATTTCAGATATGTTCAGCTTCAAAAAAGAAAATATGAGTTTATCTTACATAGTCTTATGCTTCCAATTTCAATTCATTACGTTTGACTTTCTTGTACAAATGCTTCAATATTTTTTGTTTTCATATTTTAATTGAGATTTTTAAACTAGGCCAGTGAATTTCCAGGCCTTAATCTTTGCTTTTGGTAACTTTCGAGATTTTCTGGGGTTAAGGATAAGAAACAAGTTGAATCGATTTTGTTTTGCATCTTTAATTTGAGGTCTCGGTCTGATCCTTGACGATCTTCTCACCTGATCCTCTACCGTGCATTCAAATGTTGACCTGTGCCTGTCAAAGAACGTGTATGAGTTGGGGCAGATCTCCTCCCCAAACAGAGAGTAGTCTCTGTGATCAATAATGACTAGTCTCATGGCGATAGATGCTCAGTGCAGGCTACTCTGTCAAAACCAACAAATCCAAACATGAACATGGAGCTAGATAATGAATCATTACTGCAAAATGTGAAGTGGATGCAAATGAATTTCAATACAAAATACTACAAAAGGTGTGATTTTTTGTAGGATATACATAGTTTGGGTGAAAAGGAAAATATCAGCTCTTTCTAAAAACCAGTTACATTAAGTAAAGTGTTCTAGGCTGGATTTGATTTTGAATTTAGATTTGAGTAAAATATGAAGTCAAATTGTACACATATGGCTGTAGCGGTATGAATTGAAAAGAATGCTGATTGAAAACAATTATTTGTTTCATATCTGATGAATGCTGATCAGCCACAACCTCTCATAATAAAATTTTTTAACCTCACAAGTCAATGCAAGTCCATCGGAATCACCGCACCTGCGATAGGCTTACTGGGAATTCCCATAGGCCTAAATCCCACTTAATTTCTATTAATAAATTAGGCTGCCAGTCAGTGAAACCTCTCTATAAAATTATACTTCGTTGATATGTCCAGGCTTGAGTGTTTTGTGTGTTGTGGCAATTTACTTTAAACCAGGCAAAATACACCAACATCACACACCTGAATCCTTAAATTATCATAGTCCTTTGGTCTATGCGTAGGCCTAGCACCACTTCAATTCGAACACTGTCACTAGAAATGGAATTCCCCAAAATTGGGCAGCTGATGAACGGTAATCAGCGCATCCAGTTTTTTAGTGCCACAGAAAGGTCGACAAACTGTAAAAAAACTGCTTAAGTTTCAAGTTACTTTTTGTTCACATAAATCGCAACAGTATGTCTTCAAAGAATTTTTGGTTTTTCTGCGACTACCTAAACTAAGACCGCAACAAACACTAACAAATTATCAGTCACTGCCGAAAACTTTATTCTTAATCTTATCAGTCACGCTGGGGATCGGGACTGCTAACCTTTGACCAGAATGGTAATTTTATGATAATTTATCCCACCCAATTGCGAATCCCAGTTTGGAACCATTTTACGGTGTGCGAGCTGTTCTCAGTTGGACTGACATTCTAACATTGTTCGCTTATAAATTCAAAGTTCAAACAACGGACACGGCGCGTGTGCTATGTTGGTTTCAAGTTTAGTTTGCGGAATGGTGGAAGTGTTTCGTTGTCTCAATTTTTCCATTGAATTTGTGGTTTTCCTTATGTTAATTGATTTAGTAGCGCTCATGTACCTTTTCGAGCTTCACTAACGTGGATCTAGTGTCATTTTTCAAGTGTAAGTACAGCCTAACGTTAGTCCCGAAAGTTGCGAAGCCTTTCGTTGCGGCGCCGGTCGGTCATGTCGGTAGCCAGCAGCGGATAGCCTACCTCCACCTTAGGCATGGAGCTAGGATATAAAACCATTCCTAGCTCTGTAAACACAGCTCCGTGGTTAGGCTAAAACTTATGATTTTACTGTTTCAGAGTTCAACGCGGAAAGAGTTCCATATAGGGCCTATAAATTAATCATGGAGGAATAAAACACACCCTCCATGCTATAACTTAATAGGCCTATGGACAACACTTGACGTGCTTGATGCCTATCACTGTGTCAGTGTCATGGTATCATGCCTGTGCACAAACCCACAGGCACAAGACTTGTCTGACAAAACCTAGGCCTAGGGCCTGAAGGGTTTTCTAAGTAAATGCATTGGAATTTTCCTTGCTAAATTTCACTTCTTTTGAGGGCATGTTATCACTTTCTGGCTAATGTTATGCTGATGGCTATCGTAACATTTTAAGGGAAAGTCAGCCTGGTGACAGTGTTGTTACTATAGGCATGATAGGCCTATGGAACTCTTTCCTTCAACGCAGTCAAACTTTTGCCCAAATTTATTGTACTCCTGAGTTAATTATGCTGTGAATGGATTCAATTCAAAAGCAAATCGACTCTGGACATGCAGGGTCAGGGTGGAGTACAGTAACTTTGAGCAGGATTTAAGATTGCGCTGCACATGCTGAATGTTGCCATTATTTGAACGACAACCATGGCATGTGAGAACAGTGCTGAACGTCCTTTTTATACCCCAAGATTCAGAATAGTTTTGGGGGTACTTTTTAATGCAAGGATGATGGGGTGCTCTCTCCTTGGACTATGCTAATTCTATCCATCATTATTTATTGTAGAGTACATCTAAGCCTGACATGAACCATTGTGACCAGGTCTCATTTTGACCCTCTATCTCCAGAAGTGGTATCTTTCCTGAACTTCCCGACCTTTAGTCATATCTCTGCCCGAAACGTCCCAGCCTCACTATGAACAGACTGGGACATGCCACCACCCCGGTGACCCAGAAGGCCCTGCAGCGACAGGCTGCCAGCAAGGAGACACGGCTGGCCCTGCTCTGGGGTCTGCTGAATCTGGCCCTGGCTGGCCTCTGCTTCTTGGAAATGTAAGTTGAGCTCAAGAAAACTCTGTTTGAGTCGGTTGTTTAAATTCCAGAAAGTGAACAGAAGATCTTCCAGCTGCAGGATTCCAGTAAATTTGGCAAACTTCTCTCTGTCTTCAACATTTTCATAAATTTGAAAAGAGTTCCAGAATGCTACAAAATATTTGTGTTCCTGCCAATTTAAGGAGGCTTAAACATGTTCACTGTAATTCTTGAGAAACTTGTTCCAGAAGACTGTCCCAAAGGCAGTGTGGAATTGAACCAGATATCTTTAAAAAAAAACCAAAAATGAATACCCTAACCTTTCATTCCTTCACTTTTTCTTTAAACCCTTTAGGAATCCCCCAACATCGACTGCTACATATGTTCACGAGTCCTGTGGTGCATTTAACCTTTTAAATTAAAATACTATCAGTTTGACGTATGTCTCTCAGTCCTGAAATATCCTCCAAAACCTTGCGAGAAGTTTGTGAAGGATCAGGCTAGGGCTATTGTTAGTGTTTTGGATGTTGTGCCTTGTTTTTTTCAAGGGGAGACATTTTGGTCTCTTGGTGGTGCTAAAATACTGGTCCATGTGATCGGTCCACAGTTGCGAGCATCATTTTGAGCATGTGCATGTTCGCTCAAATGTGATGCAACAGTTGAAAAGGACCAGCATGTTTGTAGTCACCAAGGGTCTCAAAAGTTTTACATTTCTAACTCTGTGTCAAAAGTAACTTTTAATTTCCTTTTCTGATATTGCAGAACGTTCCACTCGCTAGCAGATTTCTTCAACCTTCAGCCGCAGTTCGTTTGGTACCCCGTATGCTTCCTTGCAGTCTTGTTCAGCATCAACACTGTGGTTGATCTGGCCAGGTACGCCTTGCCCATAATGCAGTGGACCCACCAGCCTATCCACCTGTCACTGCAAGAGAGAAATCTCCTGGGAGTCAACGAGAATGGTAAGTTTGCAAAATTTAAAGAAAAAGGAAAGGACAAGAAAAAACAAACTGAAAACTGCAGAGCTTTGATGACGGTTGGTATCTTGAAATGCTTGACAAAAAAAAGTAGACTGATTTGTCAGAATTAACTTTGTGTAAATTATGTAAATGCAAAGGGCATAGATAAGATTATTTTGGGCATGTTGTGGTTTCCCCTTAGGGTATTAGTTGCAATGCTAGGCACAAAAATGTGCCTAGCATTGCAACTAATATTAGAAAAAAATTTTTATTCATTCATTGTTTCACTGTTTTTAAAATAAAAATTACACTTCCACAAAGGAAAAGAGAAAAAATCTGATATTTTTCTGGTCTAAGGGTGGGACGTTTAAACGTTTAAATGAAAAAAGTTCCAAATCTGTTTACAGATTTTCCCAAACGTTTAAACAGAACTGATATTTTAATTGACAAAATCTGGTATTCGCTTTTTTTGTGAACGATGCCGGTAAATGTAATCTGATTTTCAGAACACTTTACTGCTCGGCCATTTCAAAGGAATACCACAAAGTCATCACCAGAACTTTGTGTCAACTATTTATATTGTATACAATTTGTTGTGTTCAAAGTTTTAAAGGACGCCGCTGTAAGGGTAGGACCTTTACACGTTTAAACAGCATGGGAAAGAGTTTGAAACGTTTTGCAAATTAAACGTAAATTCCCACCCTTACTGCAGTCTTCCTCAAGAAGTACTGAAGTTCTTTATATGGCATTTTAAATTATCAAGTAACCAAAAGAGATCAAGAACAGCAAATCTCCATTCAGAATGAAAACACTTGAATTCAGAACGTACATCCAACTTATCTTTGCTGAGCAGTCACTGATATCAAGTGTAGCACTTTGTAACTTGTTAAAATCTGACCAGGTTTATTTGGTAGAACTCTGTCGTTTCCCCCCTCCCCAGCTGTCGGGTTCAAGACCTCAACTCCTTTCAGACCCCGTGTGGCCTCGGCCCCAGCAAACCTCTCCTCCCAGGGCGTGGCCAGCAGGAGTCCCTCCCTTCAGCCGTCCAGCACCTACCTCTACCAGACCACGCCCACCCTGGGCATGCCCTCCATGAGCTTCTACAACACACCTCAGGGGGCCGGCGAGAGGTCCCTGGTGTCACCTGTGTTTTCGACACCCCAAGGGAGTCCATACACAACACCCCAGCAGTCCTTTAGCAGAGTGGTATGACCTCTTTTTGAGGTGGCCTAATATATGATGCCACTTTCTGTCACAAAAGCCTTCGTATTTAATGATGTCATACTTTTTTTACACTTTCCTACAGAGTGTCAAATCCGTCTTCTTCGTGGCTTCCTGAACAGTACCCCCGCGGTGTATATAAAATCATATTGAATTCGGAGGATTTGGGATTGTTAGGACACCTTTAAACAAAATGTGACGTCATCAGTACAGAGGCCTATCCTGTCATGCATGTTTATGGGCACAATGATGAATTGGTTATTCATAAATCATAGTTGGGTGGATCATTTGGTTACAGTCGTTGCTTCCATTGACAGCAAACTTTATAATGATAAAGGCTTTCATTTTCAGGAGAGAAAAATGCAAACATCAAAATTTTAAACTTCAAAAATGCTGTGCACAGAACTGTTTCAAAACAGACTTGGATATATTTACTCAATTCTCGCAGTCGACATGATGTCACTACGGACTTTTAACACACGGTAAAGGGGCAAATTTTCCCTACGTGCTATTCAGTTATGTACACAAGTTCCCTGATGTCCGGCCACGAAATTGTCTGTTTAAAAGTGCCTTTCTGAGCTGACAGCGAGCAGGGATTTTTTTGGTGCAATCACTTCATGCCAACATTAATCAACTGCTTTATAAACAAAACTGTAACTGAAAAAGACAAGACTTGTTTTATCTGAATATGACCTGTTTGTGTGCTTTGGTTAGACATTGACCTGCAAGCACAGTATTTTTCACAAATTCATTTTTGAGGGAAAAACTGTGAAGGTTTCTCCTGCCTCATTTGAACAGACACCACATGGTAGCCCTCATACATCGATGTCTGGCGTCTCGCCTTCTCCGCTCTTGCGTGATGGCAACAGCAGCATGCTACTACGAAATCGGCACCAGTCTTCTCCGGTCACCCACTCTCCACGTGAGTATTGCACTGCAAGAAAGTGTGCGAAGATATCCACCCAACCTTCCGTCAGTCCTCAAAAATGAATTGTTTGGAGTATTGTGGTGGAGGACTTTGATGATATGCTTCATTGACTGTAGAGCTTAGCTGTCAACATACGGGCCTACCTTCTCAGTTTTGAGTATAAAAGACCACGTTTGCTTCACTGCAAAGTAGTGAAGTTGAAAAGTAGAGGAAGAGCTCGTTACAAAAATCCATTGATTATTTATTTGAAATTTTCTCACTGACATGCATAGATGAGATTTGTACCCGTTTTGCTGGATTTTGTTTTCATAATCCGTGCAAGACTCTAGATTGATGATGTTACTGACATTCATTGAAATGATATGAATTGAACCAGGCTGTTGTACTGTACCGTCCTTTTGTAGTGACCTCTGAGGAAGCCATCACTGACCCTGCATCACTCAGTAGCTACTTGAAGACAGTGGAGGAGATGGAGAGAAAGTACCAACTCGGTAGGTCTTGGTAGAGGCTAGTTGCTCATCAAATCTTTTTGGAGTAGTCTGTCTGTTACTTGTTTGCGGGAGAGTGTGGCCCTGTGGTTTGGGTCCTTGAGCCGTGATCAGAAGGGCTGTATCCTGTGTCCCTAGGCAAGCCACTTTACCCCTACCTGCCTCTCTCCAGCCAGGATTATAAATGGATACTGACGTTAGCCAGGGAGTAGCCCACGGTAGACTAGCAATCCTTCCAGGGGAAAGCGAAACATTCTCGGTCATTTAGTGATACTTAAGATAAGTTATGGCTTAATTGAGCACAGTGGTTTGGGATAGACTCTACTTTTTTAGTCATCGATTCCTTGGAAGTTTGGTTTATACCCTGGCAGGAGTTTCAGTTTTCTTTGTGACAGAAACATTTGATATATGTTAAAAATATATTTAGACAAAAAAAAATGCCCAAATAATTGAGAAGTATATATCGAGTCTGTTTTTGATGTAACAGCTATGTAAAATTCTTCTGTTTTTCCCCCTGAAGTCTGGACATTTCAACTGCAGCTTTAATCTGTGGATTATTTGCAATATGAGCCAGCTTTCTTCAAAACTCTTTAAGTCTTCCGCTCAGGAAGGGAAAAGTCAAAACATGCCAGATTGAAGCATTCCTCACCCTTTCAGGAATCCCGATGAAATGATGACACAATTGTTTTCCCTTTTCACCTTTGTCCCTTGTCGATTTTCTTTATTTTAAATCTGAATCGCAGTTTTGATTTTCAATTTTGAAACGACTTTTAGCTTTAATACATCAGTTTGAAATGTTTTTCTTCTTTTGGTTTTCCCACCGTAGGCAGCAACGAATCCTCCCCCAGTGGAAGCCCATCCTTCTGGGCCTACAACCGCTCGGCAGCTGACTACACCCCCCTCCTGCGCAAATTCCAGTACCAGCTGGCCAGCCGCTCCCCACAGTCACCCACCTCGCGCAAGGATGACCCCGACTACCCGTCCACCTACCGCGCTGATGAGGTGTGGGGAAGAGTCGGGGTCCGTCGGGACCAGCTGGACCACTGGATCGAAAACCTTCGCAAGGTAAAGAATATTGTCGGCTTGGACTCCGTCCTGGGACTCCAAAATTTGTTACTTAACCCAATGAAATGAGTCCCAAGTTGCGGGGATCACCTTTTGAGTTCAGGACCTTTGAAAGAACCTTGCACAATGCAATTCAATAGGAGCCCATGATATTTTTCACCCTAGTAATGCCGATTTTCATCAGGATGCCAAATCGAAAGAGCTCGGTTTGCTCTTTCTAACTCAAAATAAAATTTGAATTACTGGAAAGGGCTTACTACTCATTCTGTGGTATTCATTCCCATTTATCGCAAACTTCTGTTTGTAAAAATTGAAGCATGTAAAAAGGGAAAAAGGGAGAGCAGTGAAAAAAGACAAGTTGAAAAATCATGTTTTGTGAAAAATTTTGTAGCACTAGTTTGTTGCTAAGAAGATAAGATTGCAGCACTTGTAATGTATGCATATGCAAAACAGGATAATTTTCTGACTGATATGTCTCGCGAAGTAATTGAGAGGTCTTCCCTTAAATGCAGGAAAACATCTATCACAGCAGTAAACTTAAGTCACCACTTATTGATTCGCTCTTTTCTTTTACGTCATCAATTTTCATTAATTTGTCATCAATGATAGAATGATCCAGTGAATGCGTTTATCCGTAGCCTAAAAAATGAGTTTGCAGTTCGAGTTAGAAAGCACGCAATGTACTAACTATATCTGTGGATGTATTGCTTCTTAGTGGATGTGCTAACTATATCTGTGGATGTATTGTTTCATAGTGGATGTACTAACTATATCTGTGGATGTATTGTTTCATAGTGGATGTACTAACTATATCTGTGGATGTATTGCTTCTTAGTGGATGTGCTAACTATATCTGTGGATGTATTGCTTCTTAGTGGATGTACTAACTATATCTGTGGATGTATTGCTTCTTAGTGGATCTCCCAGACAATAATGGCACCGCTGGCAAAGGCCATAGACGAACTGAATATCACCCTGACTAAGCTGGGAAGGGCGGAGCTTCAAATCGGAGGTGGGTACTTGATACATAGACATGTTGGAACAGAAAGATCTACCGGAATGGCTTAGTAATACTTGGCTGTTCCTGGACACGTCGAATGCTTAATGGGTAGTGATACACCTGCGTGGACACTGGTTGTTATCAAACCTAGGACTCAACTGCTCGACCCACAGTTTTTACCAGTCATTGCGACTGGTTACATTTTAGTAACACTTGCGTGACATTTAACCGACACTCTTTTGCCTTCTAGTCCCGATATTTAATCTACTAGACAGGTGGATTAACTATTGATAGTGAAAGTTTCAGTCTTAAGCAACACTCTTGGGTAACCCATCCACAACCTCTTTCATCCTTGTCTTTGCAGTTTAAGCACCGGACCGCTAAATTATTTTCCATTGTTTCTTGTGTTAGTCATTGAAGAAAACAACTTTAACCAGGTGCTTTTTCCCTTGTCTTGGCAGAGGTCAGTTTATCCTCGTTGCGTCAGGTGTCCCTCACAAAGAGTCAGGTTGTCCCCACACTGTCAATGGTACTACCCTACCTGGATGTCTCAGCCAATCAGGAGTATGTTGTACAGAGAATACGAGGCAAGTCCGTTCACTTTAATTAAGGGGAAAGTAACCAAACAAGTTGTCTAATATTAAATGTATTTCATACACTATGAGTGCTCACTTTTTTAAAATGAAATTTGCTGTGATGGTTACGCATGGCACAGAAATAGAAAAAAAAATTGAAAATAAATAGAATGTTTAACATGCCACAATGTAAATAGTTGAATCTGGCAGTTTACATGTTGTGCCTTTGTTTCAACCCAGAATTGGCATCGGGTGGTTGCATAAGTGACTTCCGATGGGACAGAGGAGGCGATTTCAAGGGGCGTAAATGGGATGAAGATCTACCCTCTGATTGTGTGGTAATGCCCATGGAAAATGAAGCCATTTTTTTTTCAAAAGCACTTAGCTACATCATTTACTTTGTCGGGGTCCCAATGTTCAGTCACCGTTGTCACCAAATTGCCAATATTTGCAAGCTTCAGTCACAATCCTGAGCAGTTGGTGAGAAAAAAATTTATCTATTCCATGCGGCATAAAAATAAAGTGGGTGCTAAAACATGCATTCAGCTGAAACTTTGGTTGTGTATTTCAAAATTGCCCGCAAGAACCCTGCTTTGTTCAGTACTCGTGCTCATCGCTTGTGGAAACATTCTGGTTTTTAGTCGATTTTAGATGGAGGAAAACTTAAAAACTTGAGCTCTGAACCTCAAAAATAAGGTCCCAATCGCTCCCTGATTGTGTCCCCAGATGGTGATGCACATGCTGTGTTCCTACTTGGACTTCCAATTGCCCAGCGATCCCAAACACCCCGACGGCAAAACCTTCACCAGCCAGTACTTCATGAAAACACCCGATAAGCCAGGTATGCATGACGCTAACAGAGAGAAAACAAACCTTGTCAGGAAATGCAGAAGTTAAATCATTACATCTTTGAGTTTGTCGCAACAGCTTTTGGATTGCTCCGAAGATCTGAAACCCATCTGACAACTTCCAAACTTCAAGACGCTATTTACGTTGTCAGTGGAAGAGATGACGTTCCGTGTCAGGATCTGTCTTCTTTCCAATTGCAGACCTGAAGAAGAAGGACAACCTGCTGCTGTTCCAGACAAAGATCAACCCTCCCCATTACAAGGTCATCATTGGTGACGACACCTGGGACCTGCCAAAGGTAGGGCAGTTGTGCTTGTTCCGATTCCTTAAATCCTGGCCAGATTCTTCACAATCTTACGTGCCTCGCAGTGACAAAAAATAGTTCGACAAAAATGTAACTATCACGATCAATTTCCTTCGGAATGATTGGCGTTTGGTCAGACATTTGCCAAGGGTGCATGAGAACACACTGTCTAAGTATATATGTCGTAAGTGCAAACACCAGACAGATTTTGAAAGTAACTGCTTTAGCAGAATTTTAAAGTAACTTCACAGGACACCGAACTTCCCATTTCTACGTGCCAAGCTGTCCAATGGTTCGCCACTGGCACTCGTCCCAGTTTGTCAACACTGTCATTTGGGGATTTTTCAAGTCATAAATCCAGTCAACCACATGTCAGTCACAAGTCCAACAGCAAGGAGACATACGGTGTCAAGGGGCGGGAACGGAATGCCTTGGCCAAGATTCCTTGCAGCCGCCTGCTTTGCCTTGAGACACGATGACATGTCATTAATTGGCTTGCCATGACTTTTTATGACTAGTAATAATTTGGCTGCAACCCTTGGGATGTTAGTCAGACATGATACCCCATACATTCCGTTAGTTACCAGAGAGCCATCACTGTCAAAACTGTTCTTCATGCTCCTGTGAAAATTTGGGTTCCCTAAATGAACCCAAAAAAGGGATGGGCTTTTCTCAAATTGCACATTGATTTCTTCACACCTTGTTCAGCCCAGTATTTTTTTAATTATTTTCCAAAATTGATCATTTCTCAAATATCAGTTATGAGCTGTCGCTGTACAACCTTCTATTGCACCAGACGCTGATTTGATCTTGAAGTTATAATGGAAAACTGATTTTCCCTCCTGACAAAACGGCCCCGGCCCCTACCCAAGAAAGCTCTACAACTATCATGTATAAAAACAGAACCCACAAACGCTTTCAGACTTTACCCTTTTGCCTTCATTCAGTCGGCCACACCCCCAAATCAAAACAATTGGAATATTCATTAGGCCACCCTAGCATGATTGAGGTGGGATTTGGAGAGGTTATGAATATTAAATTAAAAAAATTGCACCCTCTTGCGACCAGCTGTATCTTGTCTTGTTGGACTTGGAGGTTCAGTGTCGTGTTCCGTTCTGAGCATGCTGTCACTCTAAAGTTCATTTCTTATTCTTTCTTATTTAGGGACACAGCAACATGTTCCAGGCCATTCTACTGATGTTGCACCATGTGAAAACAAAGGAACACGGAATGCTAGGGTGAGGACCGTTTGGAAGTCGCTTAACTCCTTTTGATGCCTCTCAGCACATTCGTTGTTTCTTACAGACGTCTAAAGTATTGCTCTTAAGGATTAAACACAGCTTTGATTCCTCGGCATTGTTTTCTGGATTTCAGAATTCTTTTCAATCCCATCATTCAAGGTTTACGGAACAGTTTAGTGATTGAGGTTTGCTACTTTTTTGCCCTTTGTTGAACAAACCACTTACAAGATTCATGAAATCCAAGCCTTCTGGGAGAGAGATCATGTCTTGTTTAGTTTTCAGTTTTCCTTGCAACCACGCATCTGGATTTTTGTTTAGTAGATTTCTGTTTGTCTCCCGATCTCACCCCTGTTCAGACGTCACTGTTATTGCCAAATGGCTGCTCTTTGGCATGCTATTTCTAATACTTTGTTTCTGCCCTTTACAGACGAGTCAATTTGGGAATGTCAGGCATCAACATCCTGTGGGTGATCGATGACATTGAAAGGCTTCCAACAGTTCATCAGTGAAGAAGCCTGGGGGCGCGTACGTACAAACAAGACCATGGACCATGGATGTATTGAGTTTAAAGAAGAATGGATGGATGGATGTGAAAAGGTTTTTAATTTGCATGGAGGTATGTGGTAACTCAGTTTAAGAATGCTCCCCTTGGGAATCTGGTTCCTAAAGAACAGTGGACAGTCTGGGGTGTAAAGTGATAAGAGTGCTAGAGTGACCCTCTAGGGTGGTCTGTTAATTCAAGGTTGGCATCCCAATGTGTGCAAGTGATATTGGATGCAAGACATGTATGGGTATTAGCCACTTCCTGCCGGGGAGCCCGGTTTTGGGCACCGTGTGTTTATATGCGTGGCCCAGGTCTCCAAAATCGGACAAAGGGAACTGGGCCTTGTAACAAAAGACCAGGCTGCTGGGCATTACCGACATTTTATCACTCTCAATAGTGGAGATAATCCAGCCTTGTTTTGAAACAGTATACCACGGTTTGGGGCATTTAGAGTGAGCTGATTACCACGGGGGACAAAGCGCTCCACTACCACAGCGATGAGCCACTCAGCACTGCTGCACGGTAATCTGGCCCCTTTTGAAAAGAGGTCGGCAAAGAAAATCTTGAAAAAGTCCCGATTATGTGCACTGCACTTTTCAAACCACCCGGCAGCAAGTGGTTACAGATCGACTAATGGCATTTGGGCGTTTAACTTCGGATAATCACAGAGCTTGCCAATCAAAAATGCTGACCGTGGCAACAGAAGCATCCGATGTGAGAGAAGTTGAAAGCTGGACTCAAGCCCTTGTGTCGAAGCGACAAATCTGGATAGAAATGGCACGACTACTTTAATGGCACTACCCTTGATGCTACATTGCATTTAAGGTTTAAATCTTGCCTTTTCTGATAGAGGTGCTCGTGTCCATAAGCAGGACACTTTACCACAATGTTGCTGTTATACTTCTTGGCCTTTGGAGAATTTCAGATGCCCCTTGGGTTATCAAGCACACATGTGGGGGATTCAGACTCTGAAGAGACCACAAAGACAAAAACAATTTTTTTTTTTGGCCCTGATGAAGCCTTTGAGACTGGATGTCTCAGTGCTTCAGGCCTTTCTGCACAGCTGGAAAGGTATTAAAAATAGAAATGGGAAATTCAATATTGAGCAGGAAACAGCTGGGCAAAGGCCGCAGGATGTTATGGTTAGTTTTGAAAGAATCACACTGGTTTTGTCTTCTCAGGGGTGACATTTCATGTAACCACCACAGGGTTATTGTTTGAATATGTTCCTTTGTATTTTAAGTATGTCCTTTCCATGAAGTTTCTCTCCAAAGCTTCTGTAATCTGTTATTTGACAGATTCCGTTTTTCAGATCTGTCACGCCTTGCTTCTCTCCAAAGCTTTCCATTGTGCACCTGTTCGCATGCAAGGGGCATGTGGACAATTAACAAGTAGGCGATGAGCTTTAAGGTGTTTAGAAAAATGGTACACTGTCTTTTTTGTGTTTGGTTTTTTTTTTTTTAGGTTCATTTGCCTATTTCATGTATCTTTTGTTTTATATGTCAATTTTCTGGTCAAAAATAGGAGTTTGGGAATTGGATTCCCCCCTTGTTGATGTTGTTCTTTTGAAAGTTTGTGATATGAGGATGTAATTTTCTTTTTAAATTTCTGTTTCAAATGTTAAAGATTGTGATCTAAAAATTGTGCAGAATGAATTGATGTGAAATGATTTCATGACATTTGTGCGCAAAAACATGATGTTTTTGCAGAATCCATTCTATAGCGGTCACAATGAGTAACAGACGCCAATGTGTTCACATGAATTCCAAGGACAGGCACGTTGTGCTCTGCATGCTCTGCTTTGTCACAAACCGCAGGAAATTCAAATAACCAACGTTTATTGGAACGGGAATAAATCTGGAACACAGCGCGTACACCTGAGGGGGAGGGTACATCGAGGAAGTGATGCCAAAGCGTACGTCGTTTACAGCAGCTTCATTTTGTCGTTCTTTACTGATCATGGTGCAGTGGTGTTCAGGCTTTTTTTTTCTCTGAATAGCTCCTCGACAAGATGTGTGCGGTGTCTTGGCATATGTGACCCGCTCTGCAAAAAAGGGTAGTAAGTCGCGCAATTCCAAAATATGTTACGGCTTGTTCTATTTGGAGGGGGCAAAATGTCTTCAAAAATGTGATTTTGTGTTTTTTTCCCTCTTTAGCTTGTATAACATTTATGTTTTCAGAATTTGTGACTATAAACATGGATACTAATGAATAAAGATGAAAAATTGATCATTCAGAAGGAAATTGTACAAAGCATTGTGTTTCCAAGTGCTACACTTTATGAGCTTTTTCTCAAGAAGTACTTTTATTGAATCTGAAAATGTGGATATACAAATGACTAATTACCTCTGGAACGCAGTGCACTACAGGGGTCATTCATAAATCCAGTTGTAGCTTTTGGTGTACTCGATCCAGCCATTTCAAAAACTTTTAACCTGAATCTGGCGACTTATTACCCATTTTTCTAGAGCCGGTCACATATCTGCTCCGAGCGTGAACAAAATAAGGCGTGTTTCGAAATGCACGCTGAGTACACACAACAAGTTTATTCTGGAATGTATGGTCTTTGCTTGCCCGCTGAACAAGTCTGTCTTTCTTTTGCCGGTGAGGGTGCACTTCTGCTCAGAGTGGATTGCTTGGAGCTGCTGTAATCAAAGAAATGTAAACCGTAAGGCAAAAGTGAGCTAGGAAGCATTTGCTTGAAATGTGACCTGATCCTGCAAAATGAGTCCTAAGAGCATTTTGTTTTTTCTGAGATATTTTGTATTGGTTTATAAGTACAGCTCAATGATAGCGATTTTTTTTTTTTTTTTCATTTCATTACTGGCAAATTGATCGGGGGGGGCCAGTCTAACTTGTGTGCTGGAAGTGGGTAATTGGCATCTTGCTGTGTCATTCCTTAAGATTCCTGACTGTTGGGGAGGGGTACCGTGAGTCTAGACTTTGCCAGGCGGTGATGTGTTGGTCACGGGAGCAAGCAAGGTACCTGCAGCTCTCAAAGTTCAGATACCATTGCTGTCGCTCATGAAGGTCAAAACTGATGGTAGTGGGCACCAGATAGTTGTGGCCCATGAAGAATAATGAAGACACGGCATTACTGGCCAAGGTCGTTTTCCAATACTTCGGCTCCGTCTCGGGCTTCAACTGTTTTTTTTACTACCTGACTTTGAAGCTGTAAGCGCACTAATTAGTCTAATATTGCCACAAAACATCAAATAAGATGTAAGAGAGCCACAGTAATTCAATGTAATATAAACGCTTCAGGCCCACAATGGGGGATTGGTTTTGGGAACGAAGCCTGAGACAGAGACGAAATTGAGTATTGGAAAACGGCCCAAGCTTTTCAGTGCTGATGAGTAATTGCTGAGCTGATTGGTTGTCAAATTTGTTTCCACGTAACTTCACATCGTACAAAAAATTTGAGTCAGTACCTGTCCCGGCTTCAAATGAATCATGCAGGTGGATGCTAGCCTGCAGTCTGGTTTCCAGACAGCAGACTCGTGAGACCAGGCATGAAATTTTTCAGACAACTTGAGTCTGATAGAAAGCATTATAAATTGGTATAGGAAGAAATGCAGGTTACAGACTTTCATGCGCAGTTTCAGATACTTTGTACAACTGCCAATCTCACCCCTTTGAGATGAGCTGGTGGGTAAACTGGATTGGAATGAAGTGTCGGCCATCTGCAGATTTCCTTTGACACCTCTCTCAAATATGAGTCTGCAAAGTGCAAATGCTTTCTGTCGGTTTTGTAGTAATACTGCAGGGATTTGAACACGTTATAATCAGGTGCCATGACACACAGCAGTTGGTCAGCTCTTAACCCTGGGAGAGATGTTACTCATTCTCCCTTTGTCGCATTTATGCACGTGCCGTTGCGCCGTGGGCGTGTCCTGCCCAGCCGCTTAATGCCAACGTGTTACATTCTGTATTAAAGTTCAAGGTATGTTCTTGACACATTTATGCACCAGCTGTGCCCTGTCTTAAGTGCTCAGTTCCTATCAGACTGTGTAGTACATCTTTGGAACAGTTGTATAGTTGTAAAGGGACGCAACACTGTTGGCAGTGTGTTCCACAAAATCAAAGGACCGAATGATCCAAAAACCTTGTCATGGTGTCAATTTTAATAAAGTCAATGAAACATACACGTCAGCTGGCCACTTTTGGAGAGAAAAGAATTTTTCCCCCCAAAAGCGAAATTTGTCTAGCAGAAGTGAGTAGAGGATTATTATCTTGGCCATTTCTTTGAACAAAAAAACTGATGATTTTGCAATACTGTTTTAAAACGGAACTTTGCTTACAAATAGTTGCCGGTACCTCAAACTTTATTACATAACTTGCCAAGTTTTCCTGTTTTTTTTTTTCAGATGTACTATTGAGTATTACGAACTAAATAGTATGTGAGAAGTGTATTGTTATGGAACCAAACTCTACTTTGTGCATTTTGTACATTTCGTATTGTGGATTGTTCAGATCCATTAGCAAAGTATAAATCCAGTATTTATAAAACTCTCCAGCATATTTCATACATTTATGTACATAATATATCTGGGGAGGAAAGCATAACTGAAGCTTTGAAACTGCTTTTTATAAAGTAAAGCAACGTTTCAACATGAACAATACATCATTTGGAAGAATCTTGACAAAGCCTTTAGTTGATTGCCATCGTTTGGAAGTATAAGTTTATTCAATGCAAGACCATCTGATTATTTCAGTTTCAAATTTTTATACTTGCCATTATATGGACCACAAAGCACTGAAACCCTTTCTAATCAAACGTTTGATGTCTGGCCAATGTCACCTGCATTGGTTTTTCTCAGTTGAGTTGTCGGTACACGGATACCAGGCATAACATCGGCGGTTTCACAATACTAACATTTGAATGCCAGCCAAATCCACCCCATGCCTGCCAGGTAAATCATTCAAGATAACATCAGACCTTTCTTTAGGCACTGTGGGAGTAAACAAAAATTAACATTAATTTAGGATTTTTGCCCTGCCCGACGTGTATTTCAACACTGTATTTTCAGAGTGTGCCCTCGTAGACTTGTGAAAACAACCACAAGCGTACTAGGGTGGGACTCGAACCCACGACCTCTGGCATCCAAACCCATCTTTGAAAAATTAACATCTAGCCAGTTGACTTGTTGCAACACATTGGGGCTACACCAGCTGCAGCCACTTGCCATACATGTAGGTTTGTGTTACTGGCAGGCACTGCCAGAAAATTTACATATGCAGCTTTAAGTACAAGTACATTAATGTACACTAAAAAAACAAAGCTAGGCAATTTTTCTGCCCAATGTAGGGTACCGGGTGAATTGCTGAACTGTTGGGCCAAAAAAGCATAACACTGGATAAAAAAAGGTAGTACAAATTACATTTTTTTTTTACAACCGCTGGGTAAAGTGAGACATGTTTGCCCATATGTCAAGAGAGAATCAATGCAGTTGGGTAATCTGTTTCCCAACAGTCAGGCAGTTCCCCCGGTGCCCAACGTTGGGCAAAAAACTGCCAAGCGTTTTTACACTGTAATAAACAGTTATAGCCTTCCAAAATTCCTGTAATTGTTACATAATTCAACGAACAGCTTGTTTTCTCCATTATAAACTGCTCAGCATTTTGTTCTTTCATTCTAGAAAACATGATGGATATTGGCCATACAGTAGATTAATTCTCACCACATGTGTATAACCCATCCAAGTGCAAGATATTCCAGTCAGGAAGTCAACCAGAAATGTCTGCTGATACAAGCACCAACATTTGAACATCAAAAACTAAGTACATTACATAATTATTTTGAGTAAAGTATTATAAAATTCTATCACAAAACAATATATTTAGCAGCAGACTATTCAGAATCACATGCTTACAACAATCATTTTCATCACCAGAAGTTGTAACATTTTTAAATGACAACTGTCATCATTTCAATTACATTATCACACTTTGAAAGAGTTGTTTTCTGGCAACAGTAATACCGCATTTTCATTTCAACCAATTCAGAGATGCTCGAGCTTCTAGAATGATGCAATGAGCTCTATAATATACTTTGTGTAATTTTAATCGGCGTGAAAACTTTACAGAAATATATACAAATACCTGGCGCCGATTTTTTTTTATTGCGACTGGGTCAACCAGAACTTGTGACGATTGATCACTAAAATCAAATGTGGTGAAATACTGCTCTACAGAGCTTCGAGCTCGTGCGACATTTCCATAACCACCAAGTGGTATGTGTAATGATACCATGGATAATCGTGCTGTACATGTACAGACAGAATCGACACCACATACTTTAATCCGTATGCTTTGCTTATTTTCTGCGCTCTGGGCACTTCACTTAAAAAAAAAAAGGGTTTTCTTTCATGCAACCATACTAGGGTATCAAGTCCATCCCAGTGTAACCATGGCAACTGGTGCAAACTGCCTGCATCACTCTGTGCTAAATTGCACAATCTTCGCACATGCCCTCCTCTTTTGCAGTGCAAGGCCTGAATTTAGCAGTTTGCACACAAAATTTCACTTGTTTCTCAGCTCCATCCTCCAGAGTGCTTCAGCATTTGCATGCACAAGTCACTTTCTGCATTCAGAAAGAACTGGGCTATTGGAAGGATGCAAAGTCCAACAACAGCCGTTCGTAATGACATATCGTTACTCCAGATTCTTCTTCTGCTAAACTCTTGACAATCCAAGACCACATCCCAACACTGCATCCGCTCGGTCCATTTTTCTGCGAGTCCATTCCAGACCTCAACAATTCAGATTCTGTCCCAGCAGTTGACCATGCCCGCTCTAAGAGCAGAATCCTAGTTCATAATGTCTACAACCTGTTGTGGCAAGGGACCTCAATGCTACATGTACCAATTGTTCCCCATTTCCAGGACACACAGTGTTTCAGTTGTTGTCATACACAGCCCCATTCACCTTTTATTGGACATTGCTTATGTATCGGCCATCTTGAATTGAAAGTGAGGCTAGTTTTCATTTTGGGATCCTGAGAGTAAAAATAACAGCAATGAAATCAATGTTCATTACAAAATACAAATTCATGTTAGTTTATGTTGTGAACAATTTAAAATTTGAGAAGCATTTTATATAAAGTGTTTTAAGCAAAAAACAAAACAAATAAACTGAAAGTGAGGCTTGGAACCCCCTATAGTCTGGCACCACCCAATTTAACAAACTACAATGAACAAGATTCAGGGAACAACACATGTACATGGCTTCCCTTTTGAATAAGGTTGATGGTTTTGGCTTTCAGAGAAGTGACCATGAACTGTATCCTACATGTAATTATCAGCAAATAGCTCATGTCAGTTCTTTGTAAGTCTAATGCCTACCACGATGCCCGTTTCTACTGGGTGTTGCCAAAAATGAGCATTTTTAAACCGTGGGTATTTACTGCAACATGCAATCGGATGGAGTCTTGTCGTTGGAGTGGCCTACGTGCACAGACAGAACGGCAATGCCTCCAGCTCGGATTGCCATTGTTAGTCACTCTCACAACTTTAATCCAAAAAAGGGGAGAGGAAAAATGAACAGAGAAAAAAGAGCGAAGTATAAAGGATATAAAATGCCTTAGTCACATCCTCGATCAGTAGGCACAGACTTCACGGGACCTTTTGCATTTGACGTGTTCAGTCAAGAGTGGTACAGATTTTTTTTTTTACGGAGGTGATTGCTGGAGTTGGAGGTTAGGCATAACTAAACAGCTGACGAATAATTCTACGAGACTTACAACAAAAACATAGTCCAACAGACGTGGAGATTTTTTCTTACCAGGAATGCTATCCTCAAAAGTCAAAGTGCAGGACAAGTTCAAGGACATCTGTCAACCGTTGCTTGATTTTTCCCTGGATACTGGAGCACAATACATATCCCTGGGTATCCAGCAAAATCGACCAATGATTGACAGGATCATCTTTGCTTGAACTCCCCCCCACCATGCCCACAGCTGGGAGTGAACATGAACATGAAGAGTCCTAATATTAATGTGCACCCCTTGACAAGAAGGAAAAAAAAAAACCCAAGATTGCCAAAATTTGGTATTTTTGCAATCAATATATTGCCAAAATCTCCAGCACACACTTCACATATTTATGCTTTAATTTTTCTCATTTAGCATTCTTTATGCAACGGGCTGTTAATTTTAAAAGAATCTATGCACACACCTTTAAGGGGGTGAAGGGTTTCATGTAAACATGGACAATAAAATAATCCTCTTTTTCTTTTTTCAGATTGACCCTTGTAATGACCACAGTTTTTTCTCGTACATGTCGGCCAAAGGTTCTTATGTGCCCCATAACAACCTATTTACAGAGTAAAGTACAAAATGAAAAGAGTATTTACAAAGCTATCAATCATAAGAATCTCATGATGTGCATTCCTACGTCTTTCTCAGTGCAGGAGTCCTTAATCGTGCAACAAAACCTAATATTTGATATCGTCAGTTACGTTCCCGCAGGTAATTTTTAAATATCATTTGTCCTTTAATATCTTACAAAATGACTGTTAAAAAGTCAACCCCAAAATGCTGATTTTTTTTTCTTTCAAAGTCTTCAAAAGTAAAAGTTTGTAATCCCTTTTTAAGTACAGAAAATTGAGTCATTTGCCAAGACTGATCACGAAGTAATTGTTTTTTTAAGGTCTGTTTATATTTGACGCGTCTGTGTGAATCTGAAAGAAATTTGACATCAGGAAACCCCGGCTGTGAAATGTGCTCAAGTTCAAAAGTGTTCAACTTTTATGAATTTGTCATGTTTGCGTAAAACAAATCTCTGATGGTTCACCCCCCACATACTGTTGGACTAGTGACTCAAAGACCCTCCTCAAATCCTGGTCAGTTTAATGTCCTATTTTTGTTGATTACTGCATTTACTAATACTATTATTTCGATGCCCATTTGCTTAGAGTGATGCGTGGAGAAAAGAAGCTCAGTAGATCAAAAATACACATGTACATCAAAGTATTCACTGCTGAAATCATGTTTCTTTTTATGAAATAGAGCTTCAGTTAAATCACTCACTGTTTCTGCAACAGATACAAAACAACTCCCTTGCTAAACACCGTCTTGCATTTTAGTATTGTGCCCTGAATTTAAAACTTCCCCAAAAGAATGCCCACAAAGAAAACTTCAAAATAAGTTGAAGATAGTATTTACATATCACTAGAGAATGTACTCACAACCTCGAAACTGTATAGTCAGGATGGTCACATCGCCAGCACCTGATAGCCCAATGTCTGAAGTACCGTGTGAACAATCTTAGGGCAGGAAACGCAACATAAACACATTAAACTGCACAAACACACAATCTCTCACACTTCAAAGTATGAGCTCTGGTCAAAAACACTCTGCATCTTCTTCAGTGACGCACTTCCGAAGAAGCCGGTTTGTTATTACAAGAACCGCCCTGCCTGGGGGGGTGTGTCTGGTGAGAAATATCCGCAACGCAGGCGTGAATCCTCCACATCTGCTTTCCTGTGGTTTGAGACCCCCTGGCAATCCAACAGCTGTCATCCGTCCGGTGCTGTTGCCCTTCCTGTCCCCAAGAGTGTAAAATGGAACACCTTGAGGTTAACACTAAATGGTCTGCTTCTCTGATTCTCAGATGCCTTTTCCGGTTCGGATCTAGGGTGAGATGAGCGCTGCTGTTTGAAGTTAATTTGCTAGGTTCAACAGCCTGAGGTTGATGATGCACAACGAACCTGGAAACACAAAGAATGACCCTTGAGGTGACCCATTTTCAAAGAGGATCTTATGTTGTGTCCACACTGATTTATGACACCTGGAAACCCAGCATGGCAAGCCAGACGTCTCGCTGGGTGAAGAGCCCAAGGTGGCGATCTCATCCAGGATGGCCTGGTCAGTTGGTCAGACATTCCAAGAATCTCAAGTATCCTGATGATTCCCGGCTCAAAATAAACCTTGGCCTTTTTCAGCATGAGCTCGAAGGTAAGTTTTTGTGGAACACATCGATAGTAAGGAATCTGTGTGGAACGCTACCTCATGAATGCTCAATAGTCAATCATTTCTCTCAAGGAAACCAGAGTCTATGGCAGTCCATTCTACACCTGTGTTCTCATATGAGGACCTTCTGTCCTTCAGACTGTTCCCACAATGACCATTTTAACATTTTCAAAGGACAACATTCATCAATTCTCAAATGTTGCCAGATCCCACAAAACGGAATATTGAATGCGCCCTTTTTGGTAATTTATAGTTCGCAATAGAAAGAGCCAAGTGAACTCTGTTTGATGTATTACTCTGGCAACATGACAGAAACAGACATTATGATTACTGATTTCAAAGTGAAAGAGTCTTGTGGGATCCAAGACTACAGACCTCTATCGCAGGGCAACCATCTTGCTTTTCTGCCATTCAAAGCAATGTAACCAAACTGAGGCTGGAAGGCAATACAGTTTGCTCCCTTTAATTAATATGTGAAGTTGTATTACTACTGCCGATGGATCTACAGGGAACAAGACAAACATGGCAGCATTGTGATAAAGGTCTATATAGCCTTGAGACTTATTTTATGGGATCCAGTTGCCTGTGAGAAACAAAAATAAGTAGAACTTCAAGAGACCTACCGTATCCCCCTGGCCTCTTCCGCCAAACTCTCACATGGCCAGGCCCCTGGATATCCTCCCGTTGAAGGGCTTGAGCGACTCCCGCAGTGAGCTGAGCAGTGACAAGTGCAGCAGGCTGTCCAGGTCATCCTCTCGCTGAGAGTCGCGTTTCAGCAGATCGCTGACCCGGCTGTACAGCTTGTTGAGCCACAGGAAGCACGTCCGGCAATCGTCGCGGAACCGCGTACGAAAGAGGCCTAAAGGACGTGGGGAGGGGAAGAACAGGACAGGAAGGAAATCACCTGCACTTGATTGCCTGTAATGTGACCCAGCATGACAAAATGAAAGCAGCGTCGAATTCCACTCTTTCCTATTTGGAGGGTTCAAAGTCAAATACTGAAGTGGAGGTCAATTCTGGGGTTTTGTAAAATCATTGGAAAGAGTGACTCGTCTATTCAATTCCAAGCTTTTTTGCAGGATCAGATATTTAAAAACGTTATTTTCTCAGCAATTTTGATGATACTATTACTCATGGCCGGTTAAAAATGTTGAAACAATGTCAGAATAATGCCACACTGTCACATTATACTTTTACCCTAAGTGTTCCATGTACACGTACATGCCACTGGAAAACTCTCTTTCTGCTGAATTCAAAAATATCAATATCTCTATTAGAAGCAGTTTGTTCTACATCCTTCACTATGCCTAAATAAACATGAGAAAAGTCCAGAAAATCAAAATGCATGGGTGCTTGTGTTTTGTAAGTGAAAAACTAATCTTTCAATAAATTCAGGCCCTTTTCCTGCCAAACACCCGCAATTTCCGCTTGAGTAAATAGGCTCAACCAATCAGATCAAGGCTTTGTGACTGTAAGCTACTCCAGGGAGAGATTCTGAGTACAAAGGCACAGCTTGGGTATGAAGTATTTTGCCAAAGACCTATCAAAGAGAGAAAAACCCTTTACCTCCTGAATGATGCTTCTCGATCTCGTGACCAAACTTCCTGATGAGGAGCTGAACCAGCCCGACGCTGGCATCCATGATGGCTTCGTCCTTGGTGTAGAAGAGCCTGTCGATAATTGGCAATACTTGGGCGGTGAGGCTCAGGGTCCATTTGCTCCTTTACACAGCAGGAAAAAAAAAACTTCTGAATACATTTTGAGAAAATAGGACTAAATTTGAACAAACCTAGTCTGTTTGCAAGTAGAAAATGCTTTGGCATATTCATGTTAACTGGTCCACTGTAATTTAGACAGCAGCTAACTTCTGGAGCAAGTCTCCCCAATTTATCATGTCCAATAACTGAAACCTGTACTTTGGTTAAGTTTCTGTTCATGCAGGTTTTTACATTCAATTAGAGCGTATTTTGTGTGGCCTTGTTTTCAAACATTGAATAAACCACTCCAAGTGTAAAGGGCTTCATTTTACATGAGGTGAAGTTTACTGGAAAGCCTGACGACACGGAAATGACGACTCGGAAATGGCCCCCAACCGATGATGAATGCAAGTGACCAAATCCAAGACAGGTGTGAGCGAGTGAAATTTATGGAACAGCCATTGGATATTCTTCCGCTGCCGTGATTCAGCGGTGGGAGAGCCAAAGAGACTGACCTCTGAACCAGATAAAACACAAGCAGGAAATGTGTTGCATCCCTGGGACACAAACTCTGGCTGCAACCTTGAGCTCACGCAGAAGGCTTCCCCACAGCAGATTAACATGATTTTAGTTAACAGAGAGGAGGCGCTGCTGAAGAGGTTTTCGATAATGCGAGCTACATGCTCGTTCTGAGTTTGAAAGTGTCTGATAAATGCGCCAACATACAATGTACATCGCATCCTGTAACTTCATTCGGGAGTTTCTTTGAAATCTTGGCTTCCTCTCAGTCTCCTGGGCTCAGGCTCCGTCCCTGAAGTTGAAACCACTTGAAAGCACAGACTGTTAAGACTTTATGAATTGGTCATTAGCACAGGGTTCAATGCAATGCAAGCAAAGCATGCTTTTTTATTTAACTTATACTCCAAAGGCAGCGTGAGAGATGAGGCAAACTCGAGTTTCATTTAACTAGCTAAAGAAGCATCCACCTTGACTTAAAAACAACATGAATGTAGGAAGACCTCAAGTCCATGACCAGTTGAGGAAACATCGGCTCTTGTCCAAGTCAGTTTCAGTCGCCTCCGCAGGAGCTGCTGAGAGATCCAAGTCTCAAAAGACGGTCAGCTAAACAAGGGAAGAATCGGGGTGACGTGCAGACCGTAAGAATTCATCTCATTCCAGTCGAGGCCTGCTGTCTTCAATTACAACGTACATCCTCTGGCCGTCAAAATCAGAAGCCTGAGGGTGAAAACAGACCAACCGGGTTTCCCTGTTCACTTCCCAAAACACCCAACAGAAAATGACGTCAAATGGATCTCGGCAGATTTTGTAAGGCCAGAGGAGTTTTCCGTACGTATCCGTATCCTAGTACAATACATGAATTTGCACACCCAGGACACACCATCTTTGATGGTACACTTGAAGGGCACATAGTTCTTCCAGGGCACTGCAATTAAACGTTACACAGTGAATGGAAACAGGAATTTGGGAAGAAGATTTCACACTTCAAAAGGGGTGTTCTTTTCCCACTTCGTGAAAAAGCATGAAAATGTTTTCCCACTTAGGTGGATCTCTTCAGTGCAACATTAATCAAAGATCTTCCACAAATCCACATCAATATAGGTGTAAGGCAAATTTCTAGTTGAAAGCAAGTACATTTCCTCTTGCTGCATTTTTACCCAATGCTGATCCCAAAGAAGGGAAACCCAAGCGTCAACTGTTCCCAACATGACGCCAGCCCCGACCTCAATGCCAGCACTTGCTAAAAGGTCACGGGGCACACAATCACATTTACAACTGCCACGTAACCCGCTGACCTACATCTTACCCTCACTCCAAGTTCCAACCACAGCTGATGGAAAATATCCCCCTCTCGCCACACGTCCACCGATGAATCAGCGAGAGGGATTTCCGACTTAACTAACCCTTTTTGAGCTGCTTGGACATGCACAGATTGCGAGCACACGCAACTGCCACGTAACCCGCTGACCTACATCTTTCCCTGCCTCCAAGTTCCGACCACAGGTGTAGGAGAGGCCCATCAGATGAAAAATATCCCCCTCTCACCACACGTCCACCGATGAATCGGCAAGAAGGATTTCCGACTTAAAGGTCCCTTCTTGAGCTGCTTGGACATGCACAGATTGTGAACACACACAGCAACAAAAACAGACACCGGTGGTTCAACAGTGTTCTTTTCCTCAGATAAGTTGCCAAAATAGAGGTTGAAGTCAAGCATGGCTTAGTCGGTATTACTGTACAACAGTGTTGCTTTACACCTAACGGGTAGGATAAGAGTAATTTACAGATCCCAAGACTTGGTACTCGTCACTGCAGAAGTGAAAGGAGGGGGAACAACAGGCTAATGTTACGATTAATTGGCACCTGAATGCCCAAATTCTCGCCTTCATTCTTGAACTGCCTGAGAATGCACATATGTGAAAAGGCAGTATCACCGATTTCAATATGTTGGAGTGCATGCTCCTGTGATGGTGCCCCCAACAGGACATACAGAGTACCAGCTGAATGCCTTACACTCCGTCTCTCCTTCATATAAACCCTGCATTTCCTTTTACGGCCTCTTTGCACTATAACAGTACCAACTGGTCAGCCGTTGTTGACAGACTCCGAATATTGTTCTGAACTTCAACAGCAAGAAGTGTACCAGTAAGATGTTACCTCACAAAATATGTGACTCTTGCTCGAGAACCATCATGCAGAAATAATCTCAACCACACGTGCTACAAGGAGACACCTCATTGGTTATGATAAGCTCCCCCTGACTATAAGGATTCTGTTTAACTCTATGGCAAGTGCCTGTAATGTACGCACTCACAGTAATACTCAACTCTTTTTGTACTCGTACTCATGGAAATGAGCTCGACTACAACTCAGGCAAGTATGATCAAGGACCATAGTTGACCATAGTTCGACCAACTCCGATCGACCGCACATTAGTCGATGATTGTTGGACTAGTCTAGTCAAATATTCGCAACCAGCCTATCGAGGTTGGTCGTATCGTTGGTTGCCATAAATCATTCTACACTGTAACAGCACAGTGCAGTGAGGACCAGTTATAAGAAAAATGCTGGAAAAACAGTATGTCATGAGTAAACAACCATTTTCACTTCTATTTTTGCTATTTTGTCCTTCCTGAGGCTAACTTTTCTCCCCTTTGGCCTAATGACCTGACAATGCTGACTGGGGTCGCTGGCACTTTAACTTTACTGCACATGCACTAGGTATGTACGTCTGATCCAACCACTAGTTAACTAGTGGTCCTTGAATGCACTTACCCTACAGTGTTGAAGAACTCATACTTGAAAATTTCTCCCGTACTCACACTCAAATTGTACTCACAAAATGCAGTTATGCTTCCGTTTCCTATTGTTCCTGTAATATAACACTCTCCCATAAGATGGCCACAGGCATGTGACAACTGAGGACAATAGACTGACCACTGAGGACAGGGACACATCCTCTGTTCTCTTTGAGTTCTGTCCACGGTGGTCAAGTCAAATGCGAATTCTGATCTTAGGTAAAATGATGCGTTACTTACTCTTCCGTCGCCAAGACGTTGAGGATGCTAGTCCAGGCCGGGTAGTCATTCTCCATCTCATCCAGGGTGGTGCCCAGGCTGGACTTACGGGTCCCTTCTAGCTCCCGCACTGCCGGCACGATGGAGTAAGGCGAGACCAGCTGCTTGGTGAGATGGTCGAAGGTCACCAGCGCCTCCACGCACTGCTTGTTGACCCAGAGGGTGCAGACGGTGTAAGTTGCCTGGCAAATGAGACGACGTGTTCAGTGCATAAAAAATTGCCTCTACACCAGCAAACAGCTAAGGGCAAAGAAACTCTGCAAGCCTCTACACCAGCAAACAGGTAAGGGCAAAGGAACTCTGCAAGCCTCTACACCAGCAAACAGCTAAGGGCAAAGAAACTCTGCAAGCCTCTACACCAGCAAACAGCTAAGGGCAAAGGAACTCTGCAAGCAGTGTTTGAGCGTGTAATGAGATGGAGAGGAGCACTTCTTGGTGTATCAGCATAACTAAAACAATGCTATCGAAAACAACGCTGTAATTTAGGAATGTCTTTACTGTCACTGCGATTTGCCACCGACTGACTGCTGTTTTCACAAAGAGAAGGTCTGTCCAAATAATCCCATGTAATGACCATTATCTGGCCAGCCTATTTGGAACAAGATGTTAAAAGACAAAGACTGGCACTGACATTTCATAATCGCTTTCATTTTAGCTAGCCTGTGTATTAAATATACACTGCACACATTGTGCAGGTCAGCCAATTACATTAAGTATGAAAATTACATCACAGGCAACTTAATGGAGTAGACAGCATAAGTGAATGAAGCAACAACAGCTTACCTCTGTACTGTTGTCCTCGGGAACTTGGACTTTGTTTGCCTTCTTGAAATCTGCATAGTGGCCCTTCCTTGATATCCTCTCATACAGAGTCGGCTTCAGCTCTGCCTTGCTCATGTAGACCTCCTCGTAGAAATGCTCAGTGGGGAACGACTCCTGAGCGTTTGCTGTGGGACCCTCCTCGTCGTCGCCCGTGACCACACCGGAGTCGCAGGAGACGTTCATGCCCGTCTTGCCAAATGCCAGCAGGCTCATGCCCCTCTTGCTGCCCCGTGATGATAACCTGGTGACGGGGGCATGGTGCCCATCCGAACCGAGCACACCGTCCACCTCTGGTGGGAAGGAGCTCATCAGGCTCTTGCGAACGTCGGCACTGGAGCGGTAGTACCATGTCCGGCGGGGCTTTGGGGGTGGTGAACAGTTCTGGGTCTTGCGCTCAGAGAACCGGTGCATGAAGTTGAGCTTGCGCTGCTTGGGGATGGTGTGGCAAGAGGTGGACACGTCGGCCTCAGAGTTCGGGGGAGTGTCCTGCGTACTCGTCACTGTGTCCAGGGAATCTGTATCGGCCGACTCCATGTCCTCGGTCAGCGCCTCTAGATCGTTCCATTCAGCAAGAGACAGGGAGGCGGAGCTTATGGAGCTGGTTGGGCTGCTGGTGAGGGAAGAATGAAATAAGCAAGGTGTATTACGAAGCGTTGCGAATGCCTTGGCGAATGCCTGCTGGGTGGCTTGCTGTGCACTGGAGACACTCCTATTATGCTCGTCCACCGGCTCACCATCCATCGATGACTCTTCATTGCTGAACTTGTATGAATCGCCCATTGTTGTGTCGCTGTCCAAGAAGACGTCGTCCGTTTCACTAGAATCCAGCGAAACCCCCGGCAGAGTGAACGTTCCATAAGGGCCGCTCACCACTGGTTTGATAGGGTCCCTGCCAATGACGCTGTTCTCGTAAATGCCAAAACTGCTGAGGATGTCATCTGCCAGGCTCCTGTTCTCTAGATATTGATCTATAGGGAGTAAGTCAGAATCAAGGCTGAAGGGATCCCCCAGAAAGCTGTTAGAATCCAAGCTTTCTTTCTCATTTTCCTCTGTGGTATCTCCAGTGAGAGTCTTTTCAGAAGTTGAACACTCTCTGATGTGCTCCTTCTCCTCGTTTCCTTTATTCTCCAGCTCTTCTTTGTTCAAATCATCATAGAGTACCTCATTGTCGATGAGCCTTTTGTCAGACTCCCTCTTGCCCGACCAGATGAGCCCCTCAACAAGGTCAATCTCAGAATACTCGGTGACATTTTTCTCATCATCGCTGTTGGACTCTTCATTGCTTTTATCCTCTTCGCCAAACTTGGTGCAAGGGGGCGGCTCGGACGTGGGCCGTATCTTTGTCTTGGGAGGGCTGCAGCAATATTCAGCCGACAGGCGATTCTTGACAGCAGAGTCTGTGTCCTGCACCTGCCAGTCTGGCTGGTGGAAGTCACGGCGGAAGCCCGGCACGGTGGCAAAGCGGCTCCTAGATGGGCTCCTCTCGGCCCTTATCTCGCACCTCACTGGTAGGCTGAAGCAGGGACCCTCCAAGTGTTGCTTGGCTGTTAAGGGACGGGGGCCGATGCCCTGACTGATGACGGGCTCCTGGAGATCCACTGTTTCGTCGCTGCTGCTGCTCTTAAGCGAACCCGAGCCCATCTCGTCAAAGTCCCGCTCCAGCTTGGCCAGGTCGCAGCAGATGCTGGAGAACAGCCCCTCCCCAAGGATGTGCTGCCACATCTGCAAGTAGTCCTCTTCCATCTCAAAATTAGGAAAGGACAGCTTCTTGTCCTCCCTGTTTCCCAGCCGGCCCTTGAATGCTCTGCTCTTCTGATCGCCGTCCAGAAACACCCCCTCTCTTTCATGGTCGTGCCAGACTGTTTCGCCACCGCATACGGTGTGTCTCTTGGGCTCCTCGGGACTGTCGTCGGAATCCGAATCGGAGCACTGGTATTCCACCCGCGTGTCCAGATCGTAGGAGAATGTAACGCGACGTTGTGGGCAGGCCATACGTGGTGACTCTGGGCTCTTCAGTATACTGTGTTTCCGCTCTGATGAGCTTGGACTGGCATCTTCAGAACTAGAACCATGCACAAAGAAACAGAACCCCGAAATACAAAAACACCTCATCATACTTGGAAGTTCATTCTGCTACAAAGTAACATATCGCATCATGCTTGACTTTACAAATATGCCACCAAAGCAGTTGCACCTTGATTTCTCACATACAATGCACTACCACACGTCATGTGAAAAAAGATCGGCATGCTAGTACAATGAATTCATATCAACTACTAATTTTTTTTTAATTAAGCATGCCTTTAAAAATAATGAAAGTAAAATATTACAAGTTGGATCAGTTCAAAAACAAAGTAATTCGTCCTCCACTTAAAATACATGTACATGTACCGGTATACTGCACGACTGTAACAGTTTTCTGCTCAGCAAAGGGGCTCATAAAAGCAGGGTTTCTTCCAATTTAGGAGGGAAAAACATTCAAGAATACTACCATTTCAACTCAAACAAATGTTATTTAAAGACATCCACACTTTGAGGAATTCCTGATGGAATGCAGTTCACATCAAGTCCTTCCTTTTGAGGATACAAATGTATGTCACATAACTCACCTTCAAAAAAATCAACGTCCAACTCTGCTAAAACCAACAAAATCTTGAAATGCTAAGATTTCAAACCAGCTACAAATTACTAGACATAAATCAAAAATTCAATAAAAGTGCTAGTTTCTGAACTGAAGTGCTTGTTTCTGAACTGAAGTGCTTGTTTCTGAACTGAAGTGCTTGTTTCTGAACTGAAGTTGGCCTGTAAGTCCAGGGGTGCAGGGGCCTGAACACTTTCTCTGATATAGATGCACTGCATTTTGTTTATGTGCCAAGCCTTTAGGGGCTTTTCCAGTCATGTCTTGCGATCATTTTGACACCAATTTTGTGAAAACTAACCGAGTGTTCTCAAGAAAAAATTTATATGAGACAGGTCAGTCAAAAGTCAACCTTTTCCCAATGATGACCAAAACAACAAAACCCTACATGCAGGTTGCATAAATTGACACTTCATAGATGTACCCAAATGCCAAATTTTCGAAAAGAATGGGCATGGGACAGCTGAGTTTAAAGGAGGGGGATCCCCCCGCTGTGAAATGCACTGAAAAAGCCTGGCTCTTTTGGATCACTAGCATCCACTCAAAACTTCACATCTGTCAATCCAATTCATTGTGTGTTTGTGTAAAAAATGACAGTTTTGACAAAATCCAACAAGATCGAGTACTTGTGCACTGACACATGCTGTCCCAAAGCTCCCTGGACCCACGTAAACCCGATTGAAGCAGTCGACTCAAGATGGGCTCTGACAGGATACAAGGCCAGCAGGAAGGAAATAATTTGGCCAACCTTATAAAAACAGGATATCCAGAGGAAGTGTTGGTTGCGGATTTGAGATGCTCGGGAAGGCATTTACAATTAACACCTTTGTTTTTGTTTTTTTTGGTGTGCTTGACATTAATTATGTGTATAACATACATAATAAAATACATCTTGAAAATGTGCTTGACATTGATACGCAGTATGATTAACGTTGACTGGGTCCATCCCTGCAAAACCAAACTAAGTTTTCCTTTTCAGAAAAGGCAGATGTGGGACAGGAGAGTGACACTGGCCAGTTTCATGGTCAGTTTAATGGTCAACAGAAGAGTTTTGCTACCTCAAGAAGAAACAAAAATGGACTAATCTTTAGTGCATTTTATTGCAAACAGATGGCAAGGTTTGGGAGCGAATGGAGATTATGATTAACCCTAACAACGCTGAACTCAACAATATCCAACGGTGGTCACTTTCTGTTTGATTTTGTTGATGAATAGTGAACAAAAAGGCCTTTTGTTCCAGCTGTTGGATTCTGTCTGGTTCGGCAGACTTCAAACTTTCGGAGCTGTTGGATGTTGTCAGATAAAGCAGAGGTAGGCGCATAATCAGGGTAGGGGTTTTATGTTTACAACAGGAATTGTGCAACACTCAGCCCAACCTTGCTTGATTTAAATGCAAGGATAATGGCGCTGCAGAGCTCAGGTCTGGGACTGTACCAGGCTTTGTTGGACCAAACCCCACAGTACATGTATAATGTACAGAGACTGACACCCCATACATGTATTTGCTCCAACACAACTGTAAGGCCTATTGTACACGGACAAGCGGTAACGGAAAGCGACAGGGTGCCGCTTGCTATGAAAAGAATGGTGGTGCCCCACATGAAGGATCCAAGGTATAACGAGGGACTGCTGAAAGCACTATTACCAACAACCTGCATTCACTTTTCATTCTACTGACCAAAAGAGATAACATGTACATTGTACAAGTTTACTTTGCAGAACTCCAAATAACACCCCCCCCGGGCAAAGCCTACCACATCACAGGAACTGCAACTGTCAAGTCATATCCACAGGTGCAGCAAAATACCGCTGGGGGGAGGGGATACACGTTTCCATGGCACACAGAGTTCACTTCAGAGTGTTTTCCCCACAAAATATCAGATTCTGACATTTACTAATCACAAGCCCACATTTTGTCCCTCGGCCCATGAACGGAAACCAGAACAGAGTGCGGTCTGATGGGTCAGGGACAAATCAGATAAACTTTTTTTGTTAACAGTTTGGAAAACCCTCCCCAGTTGCCCTTTGCGTGAACCGAAGGGTCCTTTTCCCCTGCCCACCCCAGCCTTTAGTAACTGCTCCCTTGATGCCAGGTGGGATGACAGGTACGATGACATCAGAGGAGAATACAAGTAAGGATTAATATTCAATGACTGCGCTCAAACTACCTGTAAATCAAGCCCCCAAAATATTATTCACTTCCAGCAGCTGTCATGTGCACCTGTGAGAAATCTAACCTACGAGCACCTGCCTTACATTGTATTCATTTCCAAATAAGTCCATGAGACCGTGTAGTGTTGGGGTGGGAGAATAACAGGCAGGGTAGGTTAGGGGCAGTGCAGTGACTGAGGGATAGAGCGGATGGCGTATGCAGTACAATATTGTACAGGTACATGTACGTTTGCATACAAAACGGGAAACCTTTTTAGCAATACAAATCATTGTGTTCATGACTTTCCACAACAACAGCATCCGACATGTATTCACAGCTGTTAATTTTATGGATCTCATTTCTAACAAACCCTATTTTTTGGCTCCGACGAGGGACAAAAATCCTTTCCTTTACATCTATGCTGCCAACCCTGTCTGGAGCTCTACCGAGACAAAAACTTTTTTATGCTGTCAACCATGTCTGAAAATAAACTGAGAAAAAAATTTTTATTTTATGCCGCCTGCCCGGTCCGGAAAGCAAATTTTTTAACCTGCCTTTTCCCCCGACCAAACAACCCTCCCTAAAAGTAAAAAAAAATTACATCCGTAGAATTGTCTATGGATGCCCTCAAGAGAACGCACGGCAAGCAAGCCCTCAAGCACACCTGTCAGATATTGAGGTCATACCTAACGAGACTGCTCATTGGCCGCAACATGCAGTCTCAGTGTAGCACATTTGAAAATTTGCTTAGGGAAAGTGTTGACGGAAAGCAAATTTTCAAATGTGCTACCCACAGCAGTTTTTTTATTGCCCGATCACAACGTTTGTCCGCTCTCAGTGTAGAAAGTCCAATAGGATGGCAGTGTTGGATAAATTGGACTGCACAAAGGTCTCTTACCACCCATCAGAGAAAATGGCCCAAGATGGGCTGATAATCCCGCCCCAGTGTGTGTAACTGTCCTACTCTTCGATGTCCTGGTATAGCAGATCATGGCGCCCCCAACTTTTGTATTTTTACCTTTTTACTTTTTTCCTCAAGACAGAGAGCAGTTCCTCCAGGAAAATAAGTGTTTCTCAATATCTATTTTTATATGAAAACAAGGAACCAGCTGTCATTCCATGTATTGTGCCTAGCCTGCTCAGGAAGCAGCAGTTGTGTGCTAAGATGATCTCCCTCCCCCCGGCACTGGGGACTTGCGCTATGACTGGAAGCCTTCAGAGTCATTCTGACCTCAGACTCTATTGAGAACAGAGCACTGACCACCACACCGAGCTGAACCAGTGTCCATCTGTCTTTCAAGTTACGCACTAATGCGCTTCCCCAAGATAACCCGGTTGGGTAACCCCCTGGGTAGAATGTGGGGTTTACCTCGAGATCGTGGAGTGGTACCCGAAACACGCCATGACGCGGTAGAACTCTGTCTGGATCTCCGTGTGGTCCTGGTGTGTGGTGCCAGCCCTATCTAGCAGCACCAGGCCGTTTTCCTTGATGTAATCCGTGACTGCCATGGACATCATGACCAGCTTCTCGGTCTCCTCTTCGGCGTAACCTGGGTCGGGAGGACATATGTTGCTAAAAAACTTCAGCAATACTCACTTAATACAACTCTTTAACCATATCCTGCCGGGGAGCCCGTTTTGGGGTACCTTGGGTTTGTACGCATAGCCGGGGTACCCAAAATCGGGCAAAAGAGCTTGGGCCTTTTAACAAAAGACCGTACTCGGAACAAGAGACAGACCTGCTGGGAATTGCCAACATTTTTTTCATTGTCAATAGTGGAGGAAGTCCGTCATTGTTCTGAAAGATTACACCACTGTTTGTGGCATTCAGTGCAAGTGGGTTACCAGCACTCCAGAAATGAGTGATACAATACCGCTGCATGAAAACAAAAGAAACTTGTGGAACACCACACAATCTGGGCTCTTTTTATACGGCCGCAGGCTGGCTGCAATAATCTGGCATCAATAGATTTTGTCTGTCCGATTAGAGTAGCCACCAGACAAACACTCCATGGGGTTTAGGCATTCAAGAAAAAAAAGATAAGAATTTTTGAAGATTTTTGAAAACCGAAGATATCGAAAAATGGCCCGTATGTAGGCACTGCATTTTCAAAGCACCCAGCAGGAAACGGTTAATCCTAACCCCTGAGGGTATATTATACATATATGGACTGGCATATTTCACAGTCACTAGTGCACGTCTATGTGCCCCGAGGGACTGTGGGTGACCAGACCAGGGTTCTGTTTCCTGAGGCCCAAGGCCAAGGGAAATGGGACCTGCTACTGGTCTGTCATATTTTCTTGGAGTGCATAGATGTGCACTAGTGACCAAAATATGCCAGTCTATATGTGCACATTAGAGAACCCTCACATGACTGTGGTTCAGCCAACTAGGATAAAAGGCCAGCGAGTGTGGTGCTATAATCGGAATTATATTAAAATTGGAAGACTCAGGAATGTTTGTTATGAGACTTCATGAGATTCTTTCTTGGGCTTCGTTTCAGATTTCAAAAAAACTCACAAAATACAAGGAGGCAGTATTTCAAAAGTTTAAAACCAGGCAATACCGTACTTTGTTTGAAGTATTCCAGCATTCTCAAACATTTATCATTTTATAGAAACTTGACACTACGGGCTTTGCACTTGAAGGACGTTTAGCCCACTGTATTAGCTGCCAGGTTGTATCTCTTCAGTGTCATAAAATCCCAATTTTGGATCTTGAAAGATCTTGGAGGGTTGAAAAATATTCAGTGTACATGTACATGAGCTGACTTATCTAGTTCCTCATTACAGTTCCTCCAGTTCCCTCAGAGTTTTGGCTGTATGTTCAAAGCCCGTTTCGATAGATTTTCTTCTTCAAATACCAGTATTTTCTTCAATCCTTGTGCTAAAACTAATCTGCACAATCCTCTTTGCTTCAAAGCCGCCTTCCTATTGTACAGTACCCTCAAAAGAAGGGTTTCCCAAATTACCCCCATCTCCTCTTCTGCCCTACCCCAATCACACCCTCCTATCTGCACATGCCTGTAGGAATCTACCCAGCACTATTTTGACAAGCACAGAAAGCCAAACCGTGCCGGAGGAAGCGCTACATGATGGCAGTGAAATGAGTCAAGGAGTTGCCGATTACTCTCAATTTCCTGAACTCAAACAGTGTGTCCTTACTAAAAACCGATTACATGATTATTTTGGTGAAACAACTGCCTCATCTTTCAAATTATCTGTGTACCTAAGACTCTTGTAACTATCTCTGAAGTTGACAGGAAGCTGCTAATGGCATTTAATACAGGAATCTGTATGAACACACGCATATCACTGGATCTATCTGTTTCTCCTTGTTGATGCTCAGTTTTATATTTAAACTTTTCAATCTACATGTACGAACACTTGCGACTGATCACTTTTCGAGGTTAGAATTATGTAACCATAGATCAGATATTTCATTGGCAGGGCCTTAGGAGTCAAACAAGATCCAAATCCCAAGGCTTAACACAGAGTACGAGGTAGGGTGAACGACCCAGTGGTCAACACGGTTTGTGACTTGCAAAGGGACGGTCAAAGGTTCACATCTCACTGTTGGAGCTGTGCAATAGACTTCAAAGGCAAGGCACTGCTTTCACCTGCTTCATGCAAAAGCACAGCATGGGCACTTGTATTCTCTGGAATAATTTGTGAACAAGCAGGCAAATCTAGGGGAGCATACTTTTTTCTCTTTTTTTTTGGTCAGGCCCGGGACGCGACTGACGCACAAGCCTGATGGACCATATCAGACCAATGCAAATTCAAACTTCTCGTCCCAGCAGATTCAAAAGAACGCGCTACCAAACAACTCATCCAAACGTCTTCTGTTTCATTATTTACATATTGCACAAACATTTAAGGGCATAAACAACCATTCAACATCTGTTTAGCACTAAGGATGTACTAATAAAGCCAGCTGAACTCTGAGAAATCTGTTCTGTTTAGATTGCAAAGCAGAAATATCTAGCCCTCTGTTCAAGCAAATTGAGTAGTACTTTTAAAACAATGTTTTTGATAGGCGACCGCTCAGCGTCAGATGTGATGTTCAATTCAGTTACAGTTCCTAGGTTCATTCTTGAAGGAAATTTACAATATCCTTGTTCAAGCCTCTTTTCACCCTTTCATGGACATGACACTCCGTCACTGACATTTAGACATTGACTGTTTTGCATTTCAGCTGGCTGTAAGGCAGAAATAAGGCCTCGCTTGCAGAAATGTGGCCAAGGAGTTTTTTCTGTTGGCAGAACCAAACAGAGGCCACTCTAAGGAACAACAAAAAGTGCCTTTGAGCCGGACTGACTCCCTTGAAGACTGTGACTGCATGACTTGACTCATCCAACAGCTGTTGCCAAATGTCCATCTGCTGGCTGCTCAGCCTGTGTCTAATAATGCCCAGGATCACGAAAGTTTAAGTTTCGCCTTGCCCAAAAAATCAGATGGCCCGCATTTCAGGCAAAACACTGCGGGCAAACTGTTGACAAGGGGATTTGGAGGCAGAAATGTTGCACGATTTCACCCACATGATTAAGATTTGGAGGTACACAGCTACGTATCTTCCCCAAAAGACCTGGATTTCTTTCTACTGTGCAAGGGTGCTGCACTCTGCGGGCTGAAAAGATGTCCAAATCCAGTGGCAGGAACTATCCCGGGTACAGCAGCGTAGCAAGGTCATTTTGATTGGGAGAGGGGAGGGAGGGCAGGGAGTAAGTGTGAAAAAAGGCACTTAGCATTTTGATTTGAGGGGGAAAAAAAAGGGGGGGAATTTCAACATGATCTTTTGATAGCCGCTGTAGTGCAGTTGAAAGCAGACAGTCTCATGTAACATGACTGCACTACCTGTATTCCTGACGTTCGTGAGACGTTAGTACTGGGGCCAATTTCATAGAGCTGCTTAAGCACAAAACAATATACATCACATGGAGTTTTGGCTGGTTACCTGATTTATCAAACAAGGTTTTCTCGTGCTTAAGGGCATGGATGGGGGAAGGGCACTTAGGGGAAAATGGGGCACTTGCTTTAAGGCTAAGCTAATTTGAAAAATTGAATATCTGAATAATCAATCGAATATTTGGTTGTACCACATTCCCATTTAAAGCAAAAACAAAGTATACATGTTTATAGTCAAAGAACTTACTGTTACACATGGGCATTCAGCTGCTTTCTCATGTAAGTGTATTTGCAAGACCTGACAGACAGACTGAGATTGACTCTAGCACATGGACTTCATATAAAAAGATCCTTAATAAACCCACAGGGGTCATTGAAGCCACTGGGCGACCATCTTACCGAGCCGAATATAAAGGTGCATCAATACAAAAGTCGCTCACCTTGTAAAAACAAGGGTTAAATGTGCCAAAATGGCATTCCCTGTGACCAGATCTCAGCTGATTTTTCTCTGCTGCTGAACACACTAGCCCAAACTCCCTAGGTATTTTTGTTAGGATAATTTGTTGGATTTGGATACACAGAAGACTAGCTGGCTTTAAAGGGCTTATCAGTTGAATGTTTACTTAGGAACATGCTTTGTGAGACTTTCTGCTTCTCTTAAGTGTATGAATACCGTTTGGCATCCCCTTTTGGTCAGTATTGTTGAGAAGAGACTTTTTTATACACTGAAAATGTTACATGCTTTCCTTGACACATGGGGGGGTACTATTTGCTCTCGTGTCATCAAAGGAAGACACTGTTTATTTTGAGGGGTTTTCTCTCTAAATTGGGAGCCCAAATTTGCTCACTGACAGTATTTGTGAGAAAACTTTGCTCATGAGAGGTGCTCATGAGACAATCGCAAAAGAACAGGAAACTTAAGACAGCGAACTACCTGAATTTTGGTAAATCTCGGTGCTAAAATGCGGCATCTATGAGGTTGTGGCAATAATGTTTCTTCCTAAAATGACACTACAGTCATACTAATGTTAATGTTAGCAAGACTGCACAGGCAAAAATATGGATGCAGGCCACAAAGGGCACAGTAGGGGGCCGGGTACGCACCTTGCTGGATGACCCAAGAGGTGAAATGGACCATGGTGCTGGTCAGGTTGGCCAGCACCACGAAGACTGCCAACACGATAGTTGCATCATTGATGTGGGCTTCCAACGTCTTCAGCAGGACTTCGATGCCACTCTCTCTGACGGGGGCCTGTGACAGATGTGCGGCAAACAAGGTATACTGAGTTCCAGGAAGTAGCAACAAACATCACTTGAGTTGATTATCCTCCTGAAAATTTATTTCCTGGAACCTGAACACGGGTGGAGTTTCTAGCTGAATTTCATTTGGAAGTTTGCCAAAATTCTGAACATTCCTGTTTGCACTGAACACTCCATAATGAAGCATCAGGTGTTATCAATGGGAATTAAGTGTATTCATATTTGGAACATATTGGCGGCACTCACAAGTTGGTATGCAAACACAGATCTCTGTTCCCAGTTGGGAATATGCATTGATGTAAGACGGAACAGCACATGTTCCCAATTGGAACAAGAATTGTTTTCGTCTTAACGTTCTTTGGCATTCCAACTTTTGAAACACCATCATAGCAACTCATACAAATAGGGCCTTCCAGGTAAACTAAGACTCAAATCAAGCCTCACATGAATGACATAGACTAAGTTCATCATGAACAAAATAGTACTGCAGTTTTCTCTGTTACATGGGCAGAATTTTGTACATGACCCATTCTTGGGTGTGCCTTGAGATTCTGAAAACGATAAGTAAGAAATTCTCTTTGGAACTACGTGGCATCCGTGCATTAATGTGATCTGTCAACTCAATATGAGTCAGACTTTACATTCCTGAGGTGTGTCAATTTCATAAGCGACACTTGATTTGGATTCTTTTTTGAAGGTTTATGTTCATCAGTTTCAAAGACGTTAATTTCACTTTGGCAATCTTGCAAACTCCAGTTCTGGAACTAATCTCTGCCACGTAACATGTTGATTCTGATTGTGCTTAATATGAAGCTCTTTTCCGGAGAAAGAGGATTTAGGAACGACCATGACTTCTTGTGCTGGAAAATGTGGTAACCAACTTGTTTTGCCATCACAACCTTGGAATATCTATGATGTTTTTGGTAGAAACTTTCCTGAATTTTCCTCCAAATTCTCCACTGTGCAGGAAACTCTCTACACTTACTCTTTCATGTCAGAATTTTAATTTCTAGAAACAACTATCGCAATATAACAAAACAGTGGACTACTGTGACATGTAACATTTCTCAAAACCCTTGAGGACGCATGGTACTCTTACCTTCATATCTGGTACAAAGATACCACAGTGTCCCAAACCCGGGCCCCATTTCTTAATGATGCCAAGCTGAAGACACTGCTTACCGGATTTTTTCCAGTAACCAAAAACAGCTGGGAGAACTGGTTACAACCATGTCAATGAATCCACGACAGTTTGGGTGGTAACCTACATGTACTTCTGCTTACCATACATTTTCTGCTCTTTATTCCCGTGCTAAACTTCGATCAGCGACCCTATGTCAACCAATGATTGAGCTTGCTTGGTACCTAGGATACATCTTATGCATTCGTGACCAATCAAAATTAATCAGCCGTTGGCACAGTCACTGATCAACAAGCTTTCTATCCCCTACCCCTCTCTATCAGTCTGTGGTAATGCTGTAAAAAATCACCTTTTGCAATGGCGTGGGTTTGAATTTGGCTAGCGGCTCCAGCACCTGGCAACCGCACAGCTGGATCTCGGCCGAGCCGACGTGGACCGTCATGGTGCCCAGCACCGTGGCGGCGACCTTGAGGTCAACGAGGGTCGGCAGGTCGTGTGGCCTCAGCTGACTCAGCAGGCGGACCCACAGGATGTTGTGCTCCACGGGGACCTATAGGAGGAAGGATAGGAAGCACGAGACAAGAGGGGATCTGATGAAAGAGAGGGATGCTCAGTGCCTGGTGACTGCAAATAATTTGGGAGGGCAGCGAACAACAATATGATTCATACAATGCATAAGATTATAATTTTCGGCTTCAAGTACATGCAGTAGTGAAAAACTAGCCCCTCAGAGAGACTTTTGGACTCAAGCATTAGTTAACTATTCTGAAGATCAACAAGGGAGGCTCCTTTTACTTACTGCACACGTAACGAGTAAAGACAATCATTTTTTTAAAAACAACTCGGCCACATACGGACCACAGATTGTGAGACATCCGATTTCATCAATCCAAACCAATACACATCACATTATTTTAATCTGCAAAGAACTGAAAACGATCCTGAGCTCAGAAATGCATACATGTTCGTTTTCAAGCACGCACTGAGTGTGCCATCCACTGGGTCAAAACGTCAAAATACCATGACATTAATTTCCACCATTGAAGTAGGCAAGTATTTTGTCAGCGACCATACATTATACGTTGTAAACTAGATGACCATTCATGACGAGGCTTGTGGGTCCTCCAATGTATTTTTGAAGGAAATTCAAAAATACCAGAGGACATCCTCTTTTTTTGCTTCTACAAGCAAATTTAGTGCTCACTAACCTCTTATTTATCATAAGATCAGCTCCTAGCCACCAGACAGGCAAGCATCATCGGAAGAATTATTTTATTAAATCATCATTCGAATCCATATCAGCAATTTGTTTTCCTTCATATAATTAACTAATTAAAACAGGTCTGTGAAAATATCTGTTATTGTCCTTGTTAACAGTACCAATCTTCTCACCACAGTCATTTGACTTTACAAAACTCAAATGAGTGGTTTTCGATTATTTTGTTTATTTCAAACTTCACCGAAGACTTCCCCAAACACAGGTTCCATTTTGCTGTCAGACATTTTGACACCCTTTCCCGGGAACAAAGTTTCAAAACTTCCGTTTTTATTCTGCACAGAACAGAGAATATGTAAGAAATACCACACCTAACTAATTCCCAAAGCTGATGTGCAGGATGTTAAAGAGAGAGAGATAAAAAAGATGGAAAAAGTCCTTGTACATGTACATGTACGTCTGTGTGACCATTTATGGCAGTCCTTAAAGCTCGCTTTGAAAGACACGGGCCAAAAAGTGAACTGTAATTTCCTCTCTCCTCAGAGTCACATCTTAAAATACACCTTGCCAACTAGGTCACAAGGGTAGCCCTTCCTCCTACATATTACAAAATCTCCCCCTTCCCATGGGTTACTTGCTGTCAGTGAAATCCAGAAAACTGGGGGGGGGGGGCTGCAAACCCACCAGATGGCATCTTTAAAGGGGAAAAAGTCACTACACTGTTATATGAAGAAAGAAAACATCTGTATCAAGGTCACACTTGGGTTAGGGCGGTGATGGTCTTCACATTACTTTTAATTTAATCTCCCTCAGAGAAAGGATGCAGACAGGGTAAAACATTTCATTCAAATTGGGAGATGGGCTCCCGGGACAACTAGAAACATGTGGAGGGTGGAACTTTTGGGGAATTAGCAACAAATTGTACAAGTCTCATGAGACTAAAACGCTACATAAAACAAAGGCACAACCCTGGGAAATCTTAGGCCTCAGAGTAAGATGAGAACCTTGATTTCACTACCCACAGTTTGAAAGACTATTTTCTGACATTCAAGGTCTAGATTTACAAAAAAATGAAAGGGTATGAGAAGTTAAATAAGTTGTACTTCATCAAGCTTTTGTGGGAAATATAATGCACTTAAAATTCTTCAGAGTTACGTGTAGGTAAAAGCTACCTAAGCCCACAATCTGCATGTACACATACTGTACTTCATTTGAAAGCTTATAAAACAATTTTTTTTTTCAAAACTGCCTTCATGGCTAAGATAACTTCAGCCAAATGAATCAAAGTGGCTCGGACAGCTCACAAAAGCATCCGCAGGCTGGTTGAAAAAAACAGGGTGATCGCGGGCCTGCGGCAGATCTAGCCAAGTGACAGAGAACCCGCTGGTAACTTGCAGGTAATCCGTTGTCAGGAAGTGAATATTTACGGCAATCGGCAGGCGCTGCAGGCTTTTTCTCTGTGTGTCTTGACACAAGCTGTGTGACATTTGGGACTGCACGGACGTGTGCAATCACTGACAGTATGCCCGATTAAAGTACCTCACGACATCAATTTTTACCCCAACCAATTGAACAGACAAAGAATGCAGATGGCAGAATTTCAGAACAGTTGCTCATGATAAACTGTACGGTACATTGTACCTGTATACGGACCTGTGATGATAGGATAGCTTTTTGTTGAAGGAACTTGGCTGGGATGAATTTTATTACACTGCAGGAATATTAGATGGTTTGTTAAATACTTTAATGGCCTAGAATACAGGGGTTATAACAATGTAATGCCTGACATATACATGTACAGTGGCAGCTTACATGTATGTGTACATGTACAGAAGCTTGATAAAGACTGCGGCATGTCCACTTTTTCTAGGATAATGCATTTTTTTGGGTCAAGAGAATAGAAATATGAAAATAGAATTGTGCATCTGCTTTGAGTGTGAAAGTCCGGAACTGATAACTAGAAGGTGGTTTATAAATCAGAGTTTTGTTTTTTTTTAATACCAAAGCCACGTCATTCTTGAAATAAATCAATCAATAGCTTGTTAGAGTCTGAACACAATGTACATGTACTTGTATAGTACATGTAGGTAACTACATGTAGGCCTTAAACAGATTGCTGTAGCGGTATACATCTGCAGAATTGTTTAATTTTTAAGTTAGTTTTTCTGGGTTTTCCACAGATTTTTCCAAGATTTCTTGGCAATCTGTACAAGTCTCCCATTATTTCCAATGGAATTTTTCGGTAGATTTTTATTGAGTTTCAGAAGTCTCCATGAACATTTCCACAATTCTCCTTTGAGTTTTCCACTGAGGGTTTCCGTGGCATTTTCCCCAGATTTCCATGGGATTTTCCACTGGTTTTGCCTGGGGTCATAGATGTGGCTGTCAGCTTCATTGCTCCGTACAGCAAATTAGCACCCTGGTAATCTTTGGCATCACATCATATCCAGTGTGTTAATAATACAGCCCAGACCAGCCAACACACAGCAGGGCTGTACTTTTTTAAGGAACAGGAAATTTAATCAATGATACAAGAGCTGAGAATTCCCCGCAGGATGGGCCAGGGTTGCAGATCTGAACTGTAGCACCCCCATTCCTTGCAGAGACTAAATGTCCCTGCTATTAAATTTGATTTGAAAGAAAAAAAAAAACACAACAAACTCATGCATACATGTAGGTGTACATGTGAATTCTGGTGCAAGCAGCCCCTACTGAGCGAGACCCACTTATTTTCAATTTGCTTGAGACTTAAAGGAATTGTTAGGACAGAAAACAAGTTGAGGCTCTCTGATCCAAATGTCAAAAGTTGTCGGGTGGCTCAGAGATTTCAGCCCCTTCCTCTTACTCAGAGAAGGGGTATGTGTCATCGCCAAGTGGCAGAAGCAATCAATGCGCTGTACAGCTTGTTATAATATCACTCTCAACAACAGTGCCAGTGCTGTATGTACAGAGTATTTTGCTCTGCATTCAATCGAAAATTTACAGGCTGTGAGGTGGACCAAGAGAGGGCACAATTTTCTTAGCAATGGAGGCTCCTTTGGTCAGAACTGCACTTTGATGGTTCATGAACGACTATACAGTGGTTACGGTAGACCTGCTACCGGTACCAACAAAATGAATACTCCTGACCAATGTGGCTCTTTTCAACCGATGAAGGGGGCGCTCTTGCTCAAGGCAGAATATAGTAACAAAGAATCAGCGCATACAGACGTGGTTGAAAGCTTAAATGCGAGTTTAGGCTGTTAGCGCTGAAGTACAAGTTCTAATACTCAGTTGATTAACTTACCAATCATTCGTGGCTGTACATGCAAATTCACTTTATTTTCATAAACCTATAAATAAGCACGATATAAATAAAGAGTAAATGTAAATCAAGTTCTTTATTACTCAGCTATAGAAAGAAATGATTTCCAGGAAGAGATTAAGTCAGGAAACGTTTAATTGAACACACATATACACATGCCAAGTGTACTATTGATTACAACTGTACTCTTTGGGACAAATGCCCAAGTTAAAGATACACACATGTACCAGTACATGTAGACGGGTCCATTTGCAAGCATCCAAAAATCAACCAAATTACGCACTGTTAAAATTAAAGGTGGCTTAATGATACATGTATGTACTGGTACAAATGACAATAACATTCTATGAAGTCAAATATTTTCTGGCATAGCGTCATTTTGAAGAAAATGATAAATGAAACGTCTGTGCATACTGCCCACGTGCATTCTACAATGTAAGTTGCAGTGGGTGAATCTGTGGAGTGAAATAAGTTCACTGGGCATGGTAATGTTGACAATCCCCTGGGTTTGACGTCACAAAAGAATAACTGGCTGAGTGAGAATCAGCCCCAAACGTGGATTTCAAGAATGCGTCAAGAGAAGGCACATTTCAAAACGCGACACTGGTTGAAGAGGCACATGTACCCGGTACATATTTAACGCACACGCACCGCATGCGCTCAAGCCTGAAGCCACCATAGTAATGACTTCTAATTCTGGTTACCACATTACCGTAGTCTATTTAGCGTGACCCCACGGTGTGTACAGGTTAATTGCTGCCTCACAGCTTGACATTCAAAGATTGCCTGCTTTGGGTTAACGAAGAGCTGTTGCGGAGGGGATCTGAAATAACTTGCAGTCAGACCTGGGTCTCCAGGCTCAAGTCTTGGAGTCCCATCAGTGATATCAGTGGGGCATGTATCCTGCAATTTGACACTCTCACAGATGCTTCCCCCTGCTGTACTCAAAAACAGACGGGGGGGGGCACACAACTTACTAAGGCTTTGTAACGCCTGAGGTATTTTCCAGGGAAAAGTTTGGGTTTTCTTTTTAGAAAATTTGCATGTGTTTTCTGAGATAAGAACATACATTTACATGTATATACATACATGTATGCCAAGATATATTCCTTTCAAAATGCAATGTTTCTGAATTCCTGAAAAGACGTTTGGTACATGTACATGTATCAATTATTTCAAGTCAAGTTCGGTAATAAACACGATGTTCAGAGAATTCCTGCTAACAGTTGTGTGATGCTTTACTAACTACCAGTAACTGACATCCTTACATCCATTGACTACAGTGACAAAAAAAAAATCCAAGGATGATAAGCATTTTATTTCTATGCCATGCTGAAGTACATGTATATGTGATGTAACCTCTGAGAGGTGATAAGTTTTAATTTATTCCAAAAACTTTTAACTTTCAAATATCCAAGCTCTAGGGCTGTGGTAAAAATTCAATCGATTAAAAGGAATATTGAAATATTGATTTTGAAATCAAATATTCAATCATTGAAAAATCAATGAAATACCATATATACAAGAGCCAGGGTCTGCCTTCTTTCACCGTGTTCGCTCAAGCATGGGCCGAGAATAATAGCTGAAAAGCAGGCTGAGGATCTCAATTTTTACGGCAGCTATAGCCACCTCCCAGTGCGAAGGGGTTAAAGTACTCTGAGAAAGATTCTACCAGGATCAGGCTGTCTATCTTTTTCAATTTGTACAAATTTATGTTAGTTCACTGTAGCCAGAAAGCAGTTTCCACTATTGATTGAATGGAAGGTTGAATATTCAAATTTTTAGCTACTCGAATCGACTCAGCCGTACTGAACTCCCCATATGCTAGAGTAATTACATTAGACAGATTGTGGAAGTACATCCACTTATTGCTGCCAATGTTTTGGGAACAGTGGATAATCAAATAATCCACACAGAGTATGAAGTACAATCACAGTTCGGTTCAAGCTTTACTTGAAAAGTTCCAAGCTGTTTTCGGATGTGTTGGAGCCTAAAATGTACACAGAAGAATGGCTATGGAAAGTGTTGGTAACAATATGGTACATGTATAATATAGTGTATGCAGTACTGTACATACATGTCAACATACATGTACATGTACCCAAAGTGAATAGCTTTTGAGGTATGAATGTATCCCACAAATGATGGTGCAGCACCTGCCAATTTAAACAATAATGCTGAGTGGTTCCATGAAACAATACCAAACAATGCATCTACCATACACGTACATGCATAACAGCTGGAAATGAAGATTCATCAGTACTTTGAAAACAAAAAAAAACATGGAGGTCTTTTACATGAGCGGCTGATCACTCAACTACACCATGTGTAAACGTCGACTATGTCATGGGCCCATGAAACTGGTACAGTGCATTTTTCCCCGCCCTCAATCGTGTCACCCCACTTTTCTCAGCGAACAGACCCTTTACGCCTATCATAGCAACCAGTTTCCCATTCTCCTTTTGCAAACGCTGGCCTGATTCCCCACAGCATCTGCTGTCAAGCTGACAGGACTTCCGCGCAGGTACGGTAGCGACGTTAGGGGAGTGATGCCACAAGATACTGCAAAAAAGCTAGCTGGGTTCAGTGCTGGCAATCCATGGAGTGACTTGTCTCCATGCCTGCATGCAGTTATTCTATCCCTCTCAATGCACACTCCTTCAAACAGCAAATCTGTTCAAGTTGTGAAGCCTTACCAGGGTTTGATCGATTAGATCATGCCGCTTCCACCGTTAAATTTACCATACGTACGCATGTGAATGCAGCTACATTCCTTCTGGGTCAGGGTCAAAGCCAAGTGTCAAGATAAACACCATACCCTGCATGATTCTCACGAGAACTTAGCAGCAAGGTAAAAGCACAGTGACATGCATGTACATACAATTTAGAGATGGCTGCAAGATACAGTATGTCAGACAAGAGATTTGTTACTGGTATTGTTGATCTGATCCCACATGACCCCACATGACCCCACAAGACCAATTGAAGACCTCCAGTCTGAATTCAACTCACATACTATTCACAGGAATGACAAAAGCATTCCTTTGCCACACCGTTCATCTTCTTGCTTATGACTGGTCTCATGGTGGTCTCGACTACACCATCGATTGCTACAGTAGTTAAGGCTTGTTCATACTTGTGTAAAACAGGACAGGAGCACAACTTTATGACATCACATCATAATTTTGTTCTAACAAGTCCTAAATGTTGAACACATTTCACCTCCACCGAATTTGGCTGCAATTGTTTTGTGACGTCAAATCTACTCTGCTTTTGTATTCACCAGAAGTGTGGAGCGGCCTTTACTGGGTAATTGTGGTACAGCTGTGTCAAATTACTAGAGCGCTAAATTCTCATTTTCCACACAGAGAAAATTTGACACCATCATGGGCGCAGACATTTTGAATCCACGTGTGTGCTTGTAGAGCATTCAAAGTCAGATAGTAAGAATATCGACATACGGCATGTACTGTACTCAGTAATGCGCATCAGGTACTGATAAGATCTAGTTTTTGAAAAAATCATGGCAGAGTTTATCTACAGCACATACATGTACGTGCTTTCATTTACATTGTTTGTGCATAGCAAAATGAAACATTCATTTAATGATCATAAATGTAGGTTATTTGCATAAAATATCGGCTTTGTTGACGCAAGGTATAAGAATACAGATGCAGATATGCAAATAGCCATACAAGAGCCATACAAAATTTTGACTTTTTCATAGGTTTGTGCACAAACATGGATGCGCCAGGCAGGCATCACTCTGAGCATGAGTCAGTGTGTGAGCAGATTTTGTTCGGGGACTTACCGGTGAAAACATGAGCAGATCCAGCAGCACCTTGATGACTGCCTTGGGGCAATGCCTCTCCCTGGCCACTGTGCTGTTCTCATTGTCGTTGCTGCCAAACAGCTCAGGGCGCTCTTCTCTGTCTTGCTCCTCGTTCAGCTCGGCGATGAAATTTCTCAGGATGTTGGTGTCATTCTCGCTGACCTCCTGAGAGGACGACCAAAAAAAAAGAAAAGAAAAAAAATCCAATCCAACAATTTCTGCAACAGCTTCGGGAAGTACAATGAAAAATGTTGGTAAGTTTAATCTGGAATGCTGAGGGTTCATCTAATATAGTACACCAACCTTTCAGCTGAGAAAAACTTCAGATATTTTGTAACAGACAGGCTGGCCTGAATCACAGTCAGACATTTTGAATCACTTTTCATACAGGTAGTTGTCCACCTAAATTTGACATTTGTTTGAGTATGCAAAAAAACCCTGTTCATTTTTACATTTCTGTAAACTCAGTGCCATGATTAATAGTTAACAAGAAGCAATATTAAAACTTGCTCTCATGACAGCTGGAATACGCACATTTTAAAAAGTAAATAGTACGGCCTGCCAACCAACAGCTGGCTCGGGTGTGAGTAAATATTTCGCAAATATTGAAAATATTTCATATGTAATTTGAGTTGAATTGGACGAATATTCTACCCAGATATTGTAATTCATTTTGCTGCTAATATTAATATTGTTCCTGCTGGTTGAAGTCAATGCCAGCTCATTATAATGTACATCTTGTGTAATACTTTATTTCACTTTAATGAAGTTTGTTCTTTTATAGGATATCATCCACTTTGTGGTGAAAGAACTTACTGGCAAGTTAAAGCAAAAGGCTGGCGGACGACTGTACAATCCAGCAAAATCTAATTATGCGCGCTCTGCACCAGAAGTGCTTAACCCTGCATGCACAGGCAGAGAGTGGCCTCAAACAGATGACATTTCAATGTACAAATGCACTATCTCTTGGTGAGGCACAGAGTTCAAACATGTACCGGTGGCAGGAGTCAGGACTGGGTTGACTGGGGTCACTTGGGTTGACTGAGTGGTTTGAATCGGTAAGGACATGCATGTTGGAGAACTTGGAGCTCAAAGCCTGACTTTGATATTCAACATGTCATTCTGTCTTGATTCTCAGTTTTGAACCCACACTGGGTAGTCAACTACTCAGACCACACTGTCTTGCGTCTGAGGCTTGATTCCATGAGTTGTAATTGAGTCAATCATGTCAGTCAACTACAAATCCATCACAATTCCAACTGAGAGTCAAATCACAGCTAGTGATGGATGAAAAGTAACAAAGGAATACCTTTGTTGCAGTTCTTCTAAACAGCTCTTTCACTTGACCTGGGAATGGATGATTTTGGAAATAACTGATGGCTTGTGGTGGCATGATTATGTCCCCTGCTGAACCAATTCATTTTTTTCCCCTGGCAATAGCTGTGTTTATTGCAAACCCGAACCAGATATGTACCTGCACTGCCTTGTAGACTTGGTCCACTGTGGCCGGGTCCAAAATGCCCCCTAGATGAGCAAACAGCTGTCGTGTCAGGTAAGATGCCGCTAAGCTTGCAATCTGTCAAAATGAACCAAAAGAAAACAGAAGAAAAAAAGTGGGACGCTGCGTATTTAAAATTCACCACGGAACTCATGGAGAATAAGTTGCATGAACTTCACTTTGTGCGACCTGATATTTAACTATGGGTTGCTCAATATTCAAAATTAAAAGTCTAAACCACAGTGAAAAAAAAAACCATCAAAGCTGACAGTCGAATTCCAATCTCACATTAGTTCAAACTTTTCCGTGTAAGCACAACACAATTAGAAATTGATTCTAGATTAAAGCAACATGCTATTTATTCAACCAATATTTATTGCGACATGTACATTTGTACATGTACGAAAGTGAAAATGATGACCATGGTTTCACGCAGTCAATGTACATTGTACATAGGTGTGAGCAGGCCTTCCCCTGTGTGTGGTCCCCGTCCCCTGGTGACAATACCTGCGCACATGCACATGTAGTACCCTATGCACAGCCAACAGCATTAATTTTTGGTTTCCACACCTGGTTACATGTATTAAATAACAATGACTTTGAATCTTCGGTTCAAGCGGGCAAGTAACAGGCAATATGCCCTGGGATTTGAAGCACAATGAACTCCCCATTTGAGCCAAAAATTGACCAAGAACCAGGAGTCACATCAACTCTACTCTCCGGAAATATCGTACACTGTACCTTAAAAATGGTCATGCACATCCAGGATCCTGCATGAAATGCAATCATTTAAACTACCACCAAATTACATGTACTGCTCCACAAATGTTGAATCACTCCTCAAACTTTGTCTGACTGATGACTGCCCTACGTGGTTCACCCCATTGCTACTGCTAGGATAACACACTGGCTATAAATGGAAGGCTGTCGCTTAAGATGGTGAATCATGCCCTCAAACTCAAAACTTCCAATTTCTGTCTCTCTGAAAAAAAGTCTGCGTGTATGCATGTTTGAATAGAACTAGCATAAAAACTGGCCATTTACGGAAGGTCTCCACGAAGAAAGAAGCATGTCCCTTCAAGTATGCTTTTTTTAGGAAATTCTGTCGGCGCCTGACACACATTTGTGTCAACTTTTGGCTGTTCCTGCCAGTCGCATCCTGGCAAGCCAGTCCCGAGAGTGGCAACCAGTTGAATCATACCCACATCCAAGGAATCGGCAAAGAGCTAGGGTTATCGGTGTCAGACATCCATGTACGCATGCATGCAACGTGAACGTCAAGAAGTTTAAGAACAGGGCACACAATGGTGGGGGGGGGAATATGCTAGACTATGCAGGAGACAGGAGAAGGCTGTGTTATTTCAAATACATGCCTTTATGCTATTATTTTCAGATTTTTGACCATTAAACACTGACTCGTCAAAAAAGTACCTTGCTGTTGACTCCTCAAACTACCGATAGTTGGAACTTCAAGGAAAGGGGGGGAGGGAGGGATAAACATAATCCCACCCTTCCCCATGCATAACCTCTAGGCCCATAAAGCAAATGGTGAATCAAGAAAATTAATGGTCTGGCTCTGCCTTGAAAGCAGTTTCTTATGAAATTCTCCATGGACTAGCTTGAGTTTTATTGTGTGTCAACAAAAGATCTATGTGAAGTTGCATGTACATGCTCATGGTTTTGGACGTTACATACATGTACATGGATACCAGTACATGTACAGGTATGAAGGATATACATTTTTCCGGAGTCAGTTTCTTTCCTGTGAACTGCAAAACACAAAGATACCGACAGTAAGCACTTTCTCAACATCTGCATCGTACGATCTGTGTTACAAGTACTGAACTTTTACGTTCGAATTACAGCCTACTTGTGCTGACCAAGATGACAGTGTGCTGAGAATAAACAGATAAACTGAGGTGGCTATTGACGTATCAAATGTGCTGGAGAATGAAACCGGTTGTAGCCATGCTAGGGGGAGATTTCCCACAGAGTTGGTTGTTTCCTGGTACTCCGCTGAGCTCATTTCCTGTTACTTGTGCTTTGTAATGTACCATGCCTGAACGTGTAGATGCGCTGTCACAGCACGGCTGGTGTGTTTAAAATCAGGTTTTTAGAAGCAATGATGAAATCATCTGCTTAATATTCTCAACTTGGGTTGTAAGGCAAATCGATTTCACTTTTCATTTCATTTTATTTTTTTCAGCGACAGGACAAAAATCACTTTGGTTGGAAACCACACCTTCAATGTATTTCAGGAGGCCATTTTAAAGTACTATGAATGCAGAGAATGGAAAGTACCAGCTCTGTACTGCACTGTACTGCACAAATCTAAACTTTTCAATCCCAACAACCAAAAGGTTAAATGAATTCTCATTTTTTTCTGTACAGGTATAACACTGTGGACGAAGATACATGTACAAAGTGCACAGGGCAACGGTCATTTCTCCTTGTTTCGGACAGGTCGGTGACCCTACTCAATAACAGGAAAGAGTAAAGGTTATCCCGGGAGGTGAAATTGGAGGAGGTTGCCGGGACAAAGATGGATCACTGGACAGTATGGGAAGGAAACAATTTAAATGCAGCTTTATTTTAAGGTTGGAGTACTGCAGGGGAGTCACTCACCTGTGCACATTATCCAAGCAAAACTTGTAATTGACACTTTAAACTTCAACACAATCTTGACAGCAAAGTTCTCAAACATTGTCAAACAAGCAATTCCATCTTCAGAAGTTTGTGTTGGATGAATAAGAGCAATGGTTTCTTGTATTTAGTTCTTACATCTTGAGAGCATTTTCCCAACCAGTCAAGGCCTTCTATCCTTCTTTGAGGCCTTTACTTTATCAACAGCTTTCTGAATCAAAAATAAGTCTGACAAACCCAGAAATTACAACCTAATTCTCAATTTTGATTCCTGTTGTATTAGGTCAGAATTAGGAAAAAAAATAGGAGCATGGCCTGCAACCTGTTTCCCAGACTGAGGAAAATCAAAGAAATCCACATAATCCCATTGTTACATTACAGCATAAGCTGCGCGTAAGGACTGTACAAAACTCCATACACAATCATTCATTCATAACATTTTGCGTTGGTGAGAAAAAAAATCCTCAATGAAATGATTCCTTGTCTTGTGGGCATAAAACAATTTAGGACTGTGTGCTCCAACATGTTTGGATTGTACTAGACAAATAACATTTCTCAGCAGTGTTGTTCTCTAGTCAATCACAGGTCCCTGCAAGTCTGTCATAAGCCATTCTTCTAAGTCATAAGCCATTCCAAGTCTATCTGTGAACAGTCTGAAGCCAAATCACAGGCTATTCAAATAGCATTACTCTCTCTGTTACTTGTGGCTGGTCTCATGAGAGGACTTCTGACTAGACTTGTAAGACAACTTGTGGTGGATACAACTTCGGCACCCATTCTTTGAAGCGTAAAAAAAAAATTGACCATCTGCTCACCTCCTCTGGCTTGCTGAGATGCTGCAGCATTTCCTTGGTTAACGCCGTCTCTGACACCACGCACCAGCTGTCCAGGTTGAGCGAGTCGGGCCTGGACGAGCAGGCCGATGACGGCTCATAGTTATCACCATCATTGCCATTGTCATCATCGATGAGACCTTGGCCGGCATCCTGCAGCAGTGGTGGCCCAGAATCCTCCATCATCAACACCTTCTCGGCAGTGGACATGGTCAGCACCATGGGCACGTTGGCCGCGAGATTTGCTGCAGGATGGGAAAAAAAGAAATGAAACCAAAAAAGTTGTGAGAAACATTTCATCTGGGAGGTGAAATGATGCTAAATCCAATTTTCAGAGAAATTTCTACATGTGAGGTCCAAACAAATGGCCACTTGACATTCAAATAAGTTTGGATACACTGCGCAAGATATTGTTCTAACAGAAAGGGGGGGCCAAATATTTTGTATGATAGTTAGCATAATATTTCCACTGGGGCTTCATCAATCATGACAATTAACAGGGTACCCTGTACATGTACGTGTATACTGTACATCAGGTCAAAGTATCAGCTTTCATAAAGGCACTTCATGTAAATGCAGAGGGAGCAAAACACACTCCGAAATTTATCAGATAGCTCAAACAGAGTGCAAAACAGCAAAGATAGGAATAACCGACTGTTTTCCTTTGGTGACAGTGAGTTGGATGGATCATCCTGGATACCGGCTGGAGACATCTCGTCATGCCTCCTGGGTCTCCTCCAAAAGACATTCCTCAGGAAGGACCGGATCCGTCTAGCAAAGGAGGCGGAATGATACCGCAGGGCCCGCTGGCACGATGACATGTTGGACTGCTTCGGTTACAGTGCAACAAGAATGGGAGATTTCTCTGTGATCTCGACTTTTTATATATACCGGTATTATTCCAATACGAAAATTCAACAGAAACTGTGTGGAATTCCTCCTAGCACTGTTGTTCTCGGCATCATAAGATTTATGACTTTCAACACGGATAAACCAAATAAACAACTGAGTTTCACCACAGGTCACATCAACATGATGTTCCATGTACATACAATGTACATCACGTACTGTCCCTACAATGGCCATTTGTTTCTGATTTAAAAAAAAAACATTAGTCAACCTTTCATTTCACTTTCACTGTACCTTCCACACGTACACGTATCAGTTTATCATTGGACTTTGTTTGATGAAGCAGTTGTTAAAGGTACATTCTACATTTGCAGCTGTCCAGGAAGAACAAGTGCAAGTAACTAACGAAACTATTGCTGAAAAGCTTTCTGGTTTAAAGATAGTTATGGGACTATACTCCCTGTGAAGGACTTTTTTCAGGCAAGTTGTCATTTAGAAAGAAAGACCATTTCCAATGATGTCTTGAAAGACACAATTTTGGGAAATTGCTATTAAATGAGCGGTTTGTTTTTAATTAACCCTAA